AATTGCGTATTTGTTTAACGAAGATTGCACAAATATATTAACATATTGGTCGTACAAATAAACTCGGTCCTGTCAAGTGTTTTCAACGTTTCAAAAGAGGTGATTTTAGCGTCGATGACAAAGAGTGTTCTGATGGAACTAGATGAGTGTGGAAAACTAAAACCAGGCGAAACCAATTAAGCAAGACGTCATCAACTACCGAAATGCATAACAAATTTTACACCCAAGTGGGTATAATGGTCAAAAACTGCCTGGAAGTCCTACCCTACTTGCAGTATTCTATAGACCTTTGGACTACTGACTTTTTCGACGGATGCAAAACGTACAGCTTAATGATTGGATCAAGGACAGAGACGACTTAGGGATAGTATTCGAAAAATTCCGCAGATGGAGAAAAGTAGTTATTTCCGACGGATCCATCAATAATGTATTTTATTTTTTTTCTTTTTTCGATAAAAATTACCAATTGGAAGATAGAAAACCTTCCAATATTTTGTTTTATGAAAAACGCCCTTTAACAATTTTGTTTATTGCTTTTATTTGATAAATACAATTATCTTTTAATATAAAATGTAAATGTAAGAGAAATAAAGAGGAAATAATATTACACAAAAATATAAAAACAATTTCTTCATTTGGAAAACAAGGTAGAGCAAGAAACCTCCCCAAAATCGTTGTGTTGCTAGTGTTGTTTAGTGAGACACATAACAAGAAGGATGTACAAAATGAGTTTTCCGTTCTACCTACCACCCACAAGTTCGTCGCTATGGTAACTGTGGAGGAGAAATACGTTTTTTATATGTACATACACATATGTATTTGTTCAATTTTTTTTTTACCTTGACAAATTCTATTTGAATTTGTTTTAAATATGGCTGACGTTATTATTTAATAATATTTACATGAAAATAATGTCTAAACAAATGTGGGTTTAAATTTCCTTTCGATTATATTTTATTTTTATGTAATTTTTAAAGTGTTACCACTCCGTTTGAAGCTAAAAGATTTACTTATTTCCTTTTTTAATATTGTCAATAATTAATATTTCTTAATAAAATTTAAAAATAAAGAGAAGAAGAACATCACTGGAATTTATTACAGTTTGTCAATACTTTAAAATTAAATCAAATGCAAACCCTTCAATATCAAGTTATATGAAAAATAAATTTATACCACTTTCAAAAAAAAAAAAACAAAAAAAATACAGCACATATACATATAAAGAAAGCTTCAGTTTTGACGTTGCTTAAAAACGCATTTTTATTTCGTGGATGTGAATTAAAATAATTTTTTTTTTGATAACAGTTTTCTCTATTGAGAAAACCTAATTAGCATTTAGTAATTTGATATTTGTTAGTCTCTGTCTATGAGTACTATTTTTATTATGGCAGAGAAAATGAAAACCTGTTTTTTCGTTTTCTTCAAACTCACGTCATCAGCATCGAACCTTTTTTTATTCACACACTTTAGTTGATCTTATTAATTGTGGTATTTTAAGTTCAATGGCCTCTCTCGTTCCTCTAGATCGGTACCAGTGTTACCGTACACCCACTCTCATTTTGTGCTCTTTAACGAACAGATAGGCCACTGGTGGCCTGGTCTCCGCTCTACGGGATTTCAACTGTACATCTGTGGGAGTCGGCTATACTTTGGGCGGTTACAGGGTTTAAATAAGTAGCTATGATACCATACATACGGCTGACTAGGATTCGCTTGTTCAAATGTGCGTCAAGAATTTCATATTATTAACAGAATCTTTAATATTAGTATCACATACATACATACATACATACATACATATGTATATTATGAAGTGACGTTTAATATTAGTATCACATACATACATACATACATACATACATAGGAGCGCTAATAGTTCTCTTTAGTTTAATGTCAAATATTAAGCATATTTTAAATCCATACTCTATATTACCATCGTTTATTCTTGTTCTTATTTTTTGCTTTTGTATTAATTTCGTACAAGCAATCGTATGGGAGCTACATTTTATTGCAAATTGTTAAATATATTTTCTACCAACGCATAGGCTTGTATTATAACTAGACTGTGTAAAATTTATTAGAAAATTTATTATTTTTATAAAAAGCTGAAAGACAAGCCAGTAAAGGGTGTTTCCAAGAAGAAATAATTTAATTTATATAATTTAATATTTTGGCAAACAATTTAGCTTTATTATAAAGATAAGATTAAGTCATTAATCATAGTTCTATAGCGTTCCCCATTGTCTAACATTATGGCCGGCTTGATTTTTGAAGAAGTATGAATTCCATCTGCCCATAGAGCACACCAAACAGTGACTTTTTGAGATGTAACTCGTCTCAACAATGGATTATCATCCTACCAAATTCGACAATTTTGTTTATTAAAGTTCAATATGAAATGGCAAGCCAAACTGACTATAAATCAAGCAACAGCTATCAAAAAGACTAACTCAGAAAAAAGTATTTCTTTACCGAAGAGTCTGCCACGAAGCCGAGTGATAATGATGTATGCACATTTTACGCCAAAAAGGAAAGAAAGAAAATAAATCGTATCTCTGCTAGCATAATCGTTCTATTCCTCACGGAGGTAAAAGACCAGTTGCATCTTCTTCTTCACGGAGAAACCCTAATAGTTGTTGCTCATCAGTTAGATCCAATGTGTAAAACTGCGCGAATACAACCGAGGAGCACAGTGGCGCCTCGCCTATTCGAGGCCAAATCAGCCCACCGATGCATTCCTTCGATTCCGAAACTGTAATTTTAGTAATTACATTTTTTGTACACTTTAAATGTAAATGTTTCCGAACCATTTAATTCAATTGAATTTTATTTTTATAAAACTGTATTTTCTAATTTCTTACATGTATGTAAATAGGTAACAGATAGTTCTTAATTAGTTATTAGCTCTAAGTAAGGAAAAAACAATTATAATAAATAAAGCCGCGCATGAAACGTTCTCGGAAGCAAAGGGGGGACTTTAACGTCGCAAAAGCTACAACACTACATTTGTATATCATACAATTATAAACAAATTAGGCCCAGCAAAGTACATACATGCTGCTGCATCCCGCCAACGCTGCCAACAATATGCATAATAACAAGAAGGTTACGCAAAACATTTCGCTCAACATTGCATACCATGCAATATACGTAGTTCGTAGTGCGCTGAATACATTCGTGTGCATCCGGCGTAGTTTCGTTGTCAGCATCTCCCCACAGGTCCGGCGGTATACGTCCGAGTTTTCATTGAACATAGTTGCGATATAAGTTTGATTGTAGCTTGGCTTTAGAATTATTAAGAAAATATGGAACCAACGAATAAAGTGAATCAATTTGAAATTGTGCGTTTAATTACAATAGTTAGAAGAGTTCTTTAAACGATCTTTTTGTGGCTGAGAATTTATAATACTTAAGTGGCTGAGTCCCTATTCGGAAGCAAATCGCTCAAAGCAGGCGCATTAATCTCGTCCAATGCGTTAATTGATATCAAAGTAAAAGAGTAAAGTATTACTTACAAGTTTAATGAATCCATTCTCCGAAACGAAACATTAATTTTACCATATCAACAACCAAGTTGCCACACACTTCCAACCAGCCTAAAGTAATCAGATGTCCATCTCTGTGTTCGCGGCTATTAAATTATGACACAGGCCGACACTTACTAGTATTTCTGTCGCGATTGTATGAGTTGATCCAAGTGAACTTCTGAAATATAAACCTCCTTCTACGAACCATGTCCTAATCGTTGTTAAGTGACATTACAAACGTAGGAAGTATAACTGCTTCCTAATTATGTATATAATCGATTTTCAGTTAAGCTTCTCCTCCGATTTTCGATGGGCGTCTTGATGATTTCACAACAAATGAAGGAGCATACAACCTTCTCTGTCGTGGCTCGACAGTTACGAATACGATATGCTATCCTCATTATCGCACGGGTACACCAAGAATCCATTCAACGTGCGCCAGCATATTCATTTCAGCTTAACGTTACTCCGTAACGCAAAACCACAGTTAATAATCAGCAACTTCTGGAGGGTTTCAAGTGGCAGTGCTAAGAACAGCATGCTGCCGTCGGCCCACAGAAGGAATCTCTGATAACCAGGCACCAAGAGAGTTGCCGCTCTATCCCCTAATCCAACTTGACGTGAGTTCGGTACATGCTCTTATCAACACCGGCGCCTCAAAAGTTAATGTTATTACATACTATGGAAAGTAAGGCTACACGGTTAATGCTGTAGCCAGTGTATCGAATCAGTTACAGCATAATCGAAATTTTTTACGTTACCCTAGGCGCCCACTATTCGGAAGAGGTATGAACCCAACACAATAGAGGAAAAATTCAACTTGATGCAGAGGGCTTTCCGATTATTTGTCGAAATATTGAAATTCTTTTATATATCGCGCGCAGTAATATAACCTTAGTTGAAAATGGAATCCGGCAATTTAGTCTACGAAATCGGTCTCAAAATATGATCTTCCATATTCCATCAGGTACGACACTGATCGTACACATCCAGAAAACGGGGGGGGGGGGGAGAAGAGGGTAAATATGATGTGAATGAAGCCATACTACACGGCTGGAAGCCATTCAATGCAGAATGGAAAATGCGTCTACGTTCAGGTACAATCATCGCGTTATAATCTGTTCATCAATAGAGAACAAATGCTAGTGTTACCATTAAAATCACATTCCTTGGTACTGCTCGTGCTGAAATTCTACGCAAGTCGCATAATTGGAACCCAATATATATCTTCCTAAATATTTTAATAATTGTGGGATTGAAGACAGATTTAGTTTAGATTCAAGAGGGTTGTTGTCGATTATATAATACAAGTATTGATGCAAATGCATTCATCCAATATGGAGGAATAAATATATTTTATCTAATTTTATAAAATAATGAATTTGTCTTAAAGTACTGATGCTATTGTATATACATATTTGAATTTCAGATCTTGTTCCTTAAAGAAGAGCCGGATAAGCATTTGTGTTGATGCTTGTGTTTCATCCATTCCTCAATTTTTGTATATATAAAAGCATTAAACTGTTTTAAAACTTAATCCTCTGAAAGCAGTTGGCACGGTATAACTATGTGTTCCGTATTACCAAATTTATTACAAATGGGTAAGGATCAACAGATTTCTTTGCCACAAAAACTCACGATTGAACAGCATCAACATCAACAATATGCTTTAAAGTGGAGTGAATTCCAATCGTCTATCATTAACTGCTTTCAACGCCTACGAGATGAAGAAGACTTTGTGGACGTTACTATATCATGTGATCAGCGATCATTTACTGCTCATAGAGTTGTACTTAGTGCCTGCAGTCCGTACTTCCGAAAATTGCTGAAATCAAATCCGTGCAAACACCCAATAATTATTTTACGAGATGTCCGGTCAGATGATATGGAATGTCTTCTGAGGTATGTATGCAAATAAAAGAAATAATAAAAAATACAAATTGAAAAACAATTAAATTACTTAAAAATGTTATGCTAATATGTACGGTATATAATATTAGGTTTGAAATTTGAACTAGTAAGATAGGCAAATGTTTTTGTACCTTATAAATTATTTTCAATTAATATTTTGATTGTTGTGCATAAAATCTATGACAAGAACAGAAATGGAATCTAGGCGATGATTAAAACAGTGATGTTTATTTTTTATCTTTTAATCAAATAATTTTATAAGCAAAAAAATTGAACAGGAATCAGTGCTATGATGTTGAATGCAAGTCTCTCTTTAGTCTAATTAACACCGATAAAATTGAATGGTTTGCTCACGCTAGAAAATCCCGTTAAAATGATCTTTACGGGGAACATAGTTGACGCCAATCTACGCCAGAGGCAATAGGGGAATCCCAATCTAATTGGGACATTCACTTTCTAGATGGGCACAAATTCAAGACTAAAATATATACATAAACAGAGATATTCTATGCGTTATATTTCTGTCAAGATTTTTTAATATACTGCAGATCGCAGGGCTTGTAAGCTAAACTTTATGCGGCGGCTTATGAGTAAAGAATATAGTAAAAACAATTTCTTCTGCCCTGCAAAATCTCACTATGTGTGATCCCTTCGGCTATCAACTACAGAGATCGGTTATAGTTCAGTAAAACGTTAGACTTTATAGTAAGCGAGTCGAGCAAGTTAATCTGAAGGGGCTGAAGATAAATAATCATGAATTTGGTTTATCTTACGATGAAGTGGTACTATCAGCGTAAGTGTCCGCAACAACTCTCGTCAAAGCCAGTTTGTCACCGCTATAGTTATGGATGGGTATATCATCCAATCCATTTTGGTCGCGGTCTTGTTCCTTCTTTAATTTCTCTTTATTTAAGAACAGAACAACTTCTTGGTCTACACGTTTGCTGCTCTGTAATGACCCTTCCCTCTCAGGTGAGTAGCATCTTTATGATGATTTCTAGCGTTGTAGTGTAACAGGTACTAACGCCCTTGCTTCGTGTAGATGTCATTCCAGAGTGCAAGTTCTATTTTCGGTCATGGGTACAATTTACTTCCGTTAATTACTGGCGAGCGATCCCGGAACAATACCCCTAGAGCTCCAATCCCATTATTATTTGACCAGGGTTAGAGTGGCTTCGAGCATGGCTTCGAGAAGAGTAGGGTGTACTTAGCCGTTAGGCAGTAGTTCGGGCAGAATACCCATAAGGACGGTCATCACACTGCTGTCCTTGAGGAAGTTTGCCTCGAAACATGATCAGCTCTCCGCACTCCGCTAGCTCTAGCCTTGCTCATTTGGTGATGATGACATTGTAAATTGCAAATGGAATCTTCGCTTGTTGCCCCCATACTATGGCCACTATAAGGTTCTAAGTGTAATCAGAGGCAACATGAAGTCATTCAATAGTAGGCAGATTATCTCTGTAATGGTACAGGATGGAAATCAAAGCCAATTCAATGAAATATTCCAAGGGTAGAGTAATCAACAATCAAATTATCAATGAATCTATAGACAGGGGTAATACTAGTGGAAGCGATATTAAGACTGTATCCGAGACATATGCACGTCTTTTAGGGTGGAACGCTAATATTTGTTAATGCGGGATTAATTCAGTTTAACGCTTTAGTTTTGGAGGGGAAAAAAGTTCGTAAGGGTCGTTGGCTACTAACATAGACTTAAGTCAGCTATAAGCTATTGTTGTTTTCAGTCGTGGTTTAGTCTAAGAAGCATGATAAGAAATTCCAACTTATTATGTACATTTAAGCAAATATTGTAAACAGAAGTCATAAATTTTGTGGGCCTAACCCATTTTCTTAATCTTTTTGGCCTTTTAGCTTCATGTATAATGGGGAGGTAAATGTAGCACATGATCAGTTGCCAGATTTTTTAAAAACGGCGCACTTATTACAAATTCGTGGCTTAGCTGACGTCACTGAGAACTGGCGTTCTTCAGGACATATAACGGCAACCAAACCAATAGATAATTCAATATTTTTAAACAAAAAATACCAGCATGATCCCGATAAAGACAACTATGGTGCCGGAACAGCTGAGAAAGCTAATCTTCTTCCAAAATGCAAATCGTCGTCTGAACGACCGGTTTCGTCCACGATGGTTTCGAGTTACTCCAATGATATGAACAGGAACTCACCAGTTCTCAAGGAAATAAAAACACCAGTACCGGTAAGTTATTACGATTTATTTTAAAATAATAACGATCTCTACTACACGGTCAGTATTTATCACGATATTTTAAACGCAATCCATGAAAATACTACGCAAAGTGGATAACAATAATGAATACTGACCGTCTGATATGATCCAATATAGTTTTTAGTGTTTTAAACATATTCAAATCCAGATTTCGTAAAGGTTTGAAAACAGCAATGTATACACAAAAAAAAATTTGTTAAATGTTTAATTCGTGCTTTAAAACTACTTCGCGTGATTCCCTGCCGAACTTTTCCTCTGATTTGTAGTGTGGGTATTGGGAGCCTATTTCTTTCTTCCTTAAGATGATCTCATAAAAAACTCTCTACAACATAATTTTCATGGTCTGACCAGTGTTCTATACTATCGAATGTATAATGTAAGTAACAAGTTATTAGACTAACCACTGAGATCGGGAGAGTCATGGTTTCAAAGCCCGAGAAGACCTGAAAAGTCAGTCTTGTACCGGAGACCCTATTGGTACTCGATTTTGCTTACTTAATATATGTATTTATTAAGAAGGAACTCCGCTTCCCTGAAAAGTTTTATGTGACAAAGCACAATGTCATCTTACCTTAAATTATAAAATGTTTCCGTAGTTCTATCTACTACCATGCGGAGGATCGGGCATGTTTTCAAGTTAATTTTAAAAATTATATTTTTTAATTTTAGTCCCTCGACAGGGGATTTACAAAAAAAAAAATACTATTGAACCATCGATATCGGCGATTTAAGACTTAAGGTATTTTAATTTTATATTTATTAGACACCTGAAAATATGGATCTACATCGCAGTCGCAAAATCCTATTAACGCCACCACCTCAAAAGCGTATAAAAAGCGCCGACTTGTTTCGAGCGCAGCATGGCATTAATACCAGCCTCCCACTTTCTGAAGGAGAATTTTCCGCAATTTCGCAACATTCTTTAACGCGAGAGCGAAGACATAATGTCAGCGACTTTGAGCGGAAAATGGAGGTCAGTATTCAATTAATATAATTATACCATATTATTAAAAAAAAAACTGTCTTTTAAAATTCAACAAATATGAGTAAATGAAACTCAATATTTTGGGTCGTCTATTTACAGCGTATAGACGTCAAATCTACAAATGATGAAAGTGGCGACGACGAGTCCAACTGTAGCAGCGATTACACAATTGAGCGCGTTGGTAACAACCAAGAGATTAACGATTCAGAAGATAATTCACGTCCTATGATGCACAATGTATTTCTTGGCGCTGCGAAGCCTTTGGAACAACAATCTCTTCTAAATTTATCCGACTTTGGTATGTTATTTTCTTTACTTTAACTTTTTAAATAAATATTCCTTAAAATCAAGCTTGTGCGTAACATAACAAAGCTGAATAAAATAATATACGACGAATACTAAAAATTAAAAATGGGCAGTTTATTTTAGTCTAGAAAATGCAACCTATGCAAAGATTTCCAACAAAAATCGATAACATCTCTGTTGCCTTGTTGTGGTGAATTTAAGAAAACAACAAGAATGAGCGGAGACAAGGTTATTTTTTTCATCGTGCAATCGACAGGAAATAAATGTATATGTATATACATATCCTATACACACTTTTCCTGTCGTAGCATATTTTGCATGTTTTTTATTGCTATGCCATTGCACGGATGGGAAAAATGTGCAAACCGCGAACAGCATGCATTTCCTAGGCTAAGAGAATAACCCTAATAAAGATAACGTTTCATTAGAAAGATAAATTCAGTATTGATCTGATGCATTTTAAGTACGCAATTTCACGTAGGTAACGCAAAAGTAATATATGCAAAGGACATTTGCACTGGCACTTATCAATTTGTTGTACTTACCCGTGCAGCACAGCCTGATATAGACAATTTCTGTTCGCTATTCTGCTAAGTTGTATGAATGTTACCAAATTACGTTTGTTAAGGTTAAAACTGCAAAAAGAGAGCACAATTTTGACATTTAGTTTGGAGGGGAAAATGCAAAATTGTTGCCAGTAGGAATTAGAATATTAAGGACAAATCAAAAACACTTAAAATTAATATTTCACTAAAATGAGTGAGTTAGTAACAACAAAAGTAACCAAATGTGAGATTATTAAATTTACTTTACTGATTTCAAAGTTTCTACTATAACGATTAAATACATTTTTGTGGCTAATTCTTACTGGCTTCTCCAAACGAACAAACTTATTAATATATTTAAATTTACGTTAAAACAAAATTTTAAGTTTCTAAATTATTTTATAAAATTATTCAAGTCTAAACACTCATGATTGCATTCATATAAAAATTTTTAAAATACACATGCTACGAATTACTCGAGCTCGAACGGGAGAATACAGAAAGTAAAATACAGCATTTCGCCAACATTTGGAGAGCGAAACGAACAACTAATTGGCATAAATCAACGGGAATTCACTACACGTGGTCGCTATGATGAAGAAGGGGAATTGTCGTTCTCGAAAGTCTTGGCAAATGAAACTATTTGAGAAAATTAATTATAATAGATATATGAAACAATGGCCAACCTTTCCCAACCTGTCTGTTGTGTTAAATTCAACTGGACATTTAAGTATTTACCATATTTCTTCTTTTGTTTATTGAGGTAGGCACCGGTGGGCCATACTTTTTCACAAAATGGTATGCTCGATACGACCTTATAAGCGATATTGAGGAGGTTTATCCCACGGCAATTGGCGCAGACTTTTGGGTTCTCTTTTTGTACCAGTTCTTCCCAAGCATATTGGAACTTCGTCATAGTTAAGTAATGGATTGGGGAATTTAATTCACCATGTCCTCGTGCTTAATTTTTACCGCCTTACATCTGGCTGGAGAAGTGTGTTCTCCATAAATCAAAAGTCTCTGATCTTTGAGCCTACAAGAGTATCCGGTCTTTCAGTAGAATTTTCGAGCATTAGCCCTGTCGTCCTCGACCCCGCACGTGTAGTGTTTTTGACGAGTGTTCTGACCTGCGCAGAGAGGGTTGCGTGATAGGATTATACATACGTAAAGAACTGTGGAGACATGTCCGCCGTCTATCACAACATCATCGATCGACTTTCCGATAGTTATGCCGAAGTTGCCTTCTTTGCCCACGCCGTAATCGGGCCGCGGACGCATATTAGCCATATGTTGAAGAATATCCTTCTGATGCGGATTGTGGCGAGATGCTCATCCACTGCGTTATATGCGAAAAGTTGTTGCCCGGTTGCGTCCATATTAAACTCGTGCTCATACTAAACTATGGGAATTATAAGTATAAAATTTTATCGTATTCTGGTCAGCTTCTGCTATAGTTTTTTTATCGAAAAATTAATGGTGAAACAGACACCTGAATTTTTTTATACCCCCTATTTTTTCCTAATTTTGGGATCGTCCCGAACAAATATATATGTATGTATAACTTTTTTTTGCGCTTTGAATTGCTGAGTCATCGCGATTCTCGTGCTTTTCAAAATTAGTTTTATGTGGAAGGTGGTCGTGAACTTGTTTCGATTTCACTCATTTGCAATAGCGTCTGCATTGGTCACTCAAGAAATGTCGTGTACACAGACGGACGGACAGACAAACAAATTTGTCTAAATCGGTTCAGGTCATTATTCCCTGAAGTTTTAAAACTTTATATACATATATGATTGATCATATTATATGTATTTATTTCGATTATTTATGCCGCTACACACAACCGTTAGCATACTACTCAATCACATATTCTATATATTCTACGACGCATAAATATTCGGCTATGTCGGATATGGTAAAAATGACGTAATGATTATTGCAAGTACTCAATTGTTTTCGGTAAATTAATTTTTTTTATTAAGTAAAACGAATCGATGGCAAATCGACTTGTACTCGCTTTTTCCAAACTTTGGTTTTATTTTTAATCTTTAAAAGGTGGCTTGATTTTGTGGTTTTCGAAAATTCGGACCAAAATACAAAAAAAAAATATATAATTTTGAAAACCTAACCTTTTTCTATTTCATCCAACCTGATTGGCACCAAATTTGTCGCGAAGGAGAGCATTCTTACCTTCTGATCTTCTAGGTCGAGATCGCATCGTTTTACTTGTCATACGAGGACAGAGGACAGGTCTGTTCTTCTTCTGTCTAAGTTAATAAAATCTACCAATTCTTAATACTATTATTCATATGCTTTACAAAATTATATGCCATGATCTCAATCGAAGCTTTTAACGAATGAGTAAATAACTTTTATACAACAGAGACTCCAGATGAGATATCAAGCAGCTTAAGGGAAAATGCGTGCAGTCCACAAAATACTTCACATCCTTTTTCAACAATATTTCGGAACAGTTTTTGGAATTCCAAATATAAAGATGTCGAAAAAAAAGAAGTCGGTTTCAATTGCAGTTCCAGTGTTCGGAACAATTTTTCGATAGATAGTTTTTTATCAAAATCGACTGCATTATCCTTAACGGTGAAAACTGGAGTAAAAAAGCAACCAGCGATTTTACAAGACATGTTTATAAAGGAAGAACAAAAACAGAGCCATAGTGAAGATGAAAATAATGACAATAATGATCCTCCACAACTTCAAGAACAGTATAACAATAATCAATATGATAGACAGCGACCGTTATATAATTACTTATATGAACTTCAGAAATCAGCAATTAATCATCAAAATACTTTGGATGCAAATTTAATCGCGAGATCTTTTTCATCTAATGGTAGTAGTGAATATCCGGATTTATCATTTACTACAGCCACCGTTTTCGACGATCACGTCAATAACAGTTATATACTACCCTGCCCTCTATGTGAAACTCCATTAGAGCAAAGATTATTTCGACAGCATCTTGATGGACATTATCCGCGAGATAGCCCAGTTTGTCCAGTAATCGAATGCGGTCGTCGGTTCGCACATCCGAATTCGGTGAGGAATCATATGCGAATAAAACACACCCATCAGTGGGCTAAAATGAAAGTAATGCGCTCTTCTGCGGGACCATTGCCTAGTGGTGGACTGGAATTAAACAAAAGATGTGAGATTAATTATGTACCATTAGTATTTATTCTTTTCATTAGCTTTTGTTTATTTATACATAAAAGAGAAATACAATTAAACAAAGGCTTGTTATATCAATATAATTGCAATGTTGTAAAAAATTTCAAATGTATTTAATATGAAAAGTGTAATTACACAGCAGAATCCCGAGGGCTACGACCGCCGGTTATTTACAAACGAAATTCCTCCGTTTCTTTTAGTTTTTAAATTAGTATGAGGCGCTTAAGCCAATGATGGCAGAAATTATATAACTATTTTTTTTTGGTGACATTTTCAACTTTGAGAGCAAAGCGAAAAACGACGAAAAATATTTTTCTCTCTAATTATTTTTCTATTAATAGCCGTTATTTAGGTACTACCTACTATTGTTCTCATATGTCCCATTTCTTTAACTTGGAGTTTGTGGAAAAATTAAAAAAATTGGAAGCTAACATCATCTTAGTGTTAACGCGCTCAATAAGATGAGAAATGGGATTGGTGTTACTTAGCAGCGACAATTTTTTAGGGCTTTTTCTAATCATTTCATACGTCAAAGTCAATCTGTCGCTCAATGGGGTGCCGAAGTTCTATCTGCCATCGAATCTATCCCTAACCATCCAAAGAAAATATCATATCAATACATATTAATGACTGTGCTCGTCTAAAGCTAATACGAAATTCAAGGAATAACTTGTCTTACTCTTCCAAATGTAAAAACTTTTCCCTTGCTCTCTTCTGCTGTATTTTACCTAATACCGTGTTGTTTCCTTTTTTTAATTATTTACAAAATACAGTTGCCGTTAAATTTGTTTATGTTTTTGGTATCATTTGTTTGTTAAAATTTATACACACAGTTATATGCATTGGCAAACAGCGAAAAAAAAATATAAATTTACTTACGGTAACATCAGCAGCTGTGGTAGTACGTAAACGGTATGAAATTATAATTTCTATGGTATTCCCATATTTTTGATTGGGAGAGTTGGCACGGAAAATACTTTTATGTTTGTGAGTGTTTCTAGTATAACACATTTACTACTAAAACATTAATTCATTTTAAAAAGCAGTTAATATTGACATATGTAAAACTTGTGCTCTCTCCCTACAAAATTTGTATAATTTAATAGCATAGCGAACAGAATATATCTGTGATAATTTACCCACGTCCTTATGTTTGAACGCAAAATAATTGATACATTTTACAGATATATGAAACCCGGTATACAGTCCAAATTTAGTGTCATGGAAGTAAAATATTTATTGTAAATCATTTTTTCATCACAATAAATATGCTAAATTTGAGCTCCCTCTAGCAAATTTTGCCAATATTCTGACACATTGTTATCAAACTGGAGAGCCCATTTGCATTCATTAAACAGACGAATTGTATAATATATGTAGGCGTAAATTATCTTGGAAAAATTGTAAAAGAGAGATAGACAAAAAACTGTTTATAGATATAGTAGGCTGCTGGCTGAACAATGGTTTTAGTTTTGCTCAGACGGGGTCTCACACGCGGGGTTAATAATGCGGGTATCAAATTCAACGCGGATTACGCTTTTAGACATATGTACAATACAGTTCGTGTAGACAAATACAATATGAGCAGTAAAAAATAATAGCGTCTTAGTACTCTAACCCGAGTAATATGGAATAAGTGAAACTGCTACTTTCTTTGCTATGCATTAAATTTTGTTGTTGTTATAAATGTAGCTCTTAACCGATTTGACTATCGCTTACTTGGTCGAATCTGCAGTAGCGCTACAGTCGTTTCTCCTTTTCACTTTTCGACGCCAATTGGAAACATCAGGACGTTCATCTGACATTTCACTGATAGTGAATTACCCAAAATCTTCTGTAAAACCTTTTTATCAAAAACGCCATAAATGCGTCGGAAATTATGAGTAAACAGTAGGGCATAACCTCTGTTCGTTGAGAAAGGCATTTTTTGCTTATAGGAATTTGTTCTACAGCTCCTGTAACTTTATCTAGCTTAACGATAAAGAAGGCACAGACAAAAATAATCTGTCTGAAACCTAATTTTTTCCTTAATCTGTTTCATCGGATTGACGAAAGTTTCATAGTTTTTCTGGTGTCTTTTATGTACTCCCGAAACAATTCCACCACAGACGTGTTCACTTGGTTTGCGGAAGTTTTTTCGTGCGGCCTTTCAAAAGTTTTGTGAATGGAGAACGCTATTACAGAAAGAAGTAAAGATAGAGCTTGATAAGTTGACTGATAGGAAAAATGCTTGTTAATTCTCTTATAATGTATGGCGAATCACTGAAGATCTCAATACCGAGTAATATTACTGTAGGGACCAACGAGGTGATATGGTGATTGATGTTCAGAGCATGCTGTGATAATAGAGACAAAAAATTCTCAATCGGTGACGATGTTTTCAGTGAGCCATCACATTTCAGATGCAATTCAACGTTTGGTTGGAACACATGGTGTTTCCGCTTACTCATTCAAATACGTCGATGAAGATCGTACACGCAACTATATTAAAGAAACTGGTCGCCCCAGCACATAGCATAGCGCGTGAAAATTAATTAAAAAGATTTACGCTTTGGACCATTCCTATTATACTATTGATTAATTTTACAGAGATCTTTGTCGTAATTTTTTGTCTTTTTTTGCAGAATATCGAAAATTGTTCTGTTTATTTTGCGATTCGCTTAAATTTGTTACGTATGTGGGCAGCTTTTTGCTGATATTCACAAATGAATTGAAAACAAGGTCGAAAATTTCTTGATTGAATTTTCGATTTCTGTGGATAAGCCATTATTTTATGCAACTTGGCTTAATCAACATACTCGTTATTCTATGAAATTTAGTATGTATATGTAATGTAAATATATCTCTACTTAATTTAATTATTATATTACATACAGCAGTTAGCTGGACAAAACTGTGAGCAGAAAACAGTCAGTTATAAAAATTATATTACGGAATAATATATTTGGTATGGTACATGAAAATTATGAATGAATGAAGAATTTAAAGATTAAAATCGGCAATTGTTAAAAGCAAACGCACAATTTCTAACTAAAAATTATTCTAAAAATTGGCAAAACAAAACCATTCATAATAATAATTTTATGTATCTATATCATGCACAGGAACTCAGCGTCAATTGGAAATCCGTGTACGAGCCACTGATCCGCGCCCATGTCCAAAATGTGGAAAAATCTATAGATCAGCGCATACGCTTCGTACTCATCTAGAGGACAAGCACACGGTTTGTCCAGGCTATCGGTGCGTTCTTTGTGGTACTGTTGCGAAATCTCGAAATTCCTTGCATTCTCATATGTCGCGACAACATCGGGGCATTTCTACAAAGGATCTTCCAGTGCTACCCATGCCTTGTGCCTTTGACCCCATTTTAGCCTCACGTTTATTGGCAAAGGCGGGCGTAAAAATTTCGCCAGACGACTTACATGATCGTGCTTCATCCGCAAATAGTTTGAACATAAGCGGAGGAGAGTACGGCTATAATAATCAACAAGATATTGATAATTGTGAAAAAAATGATCAATTCGATGACAATCCTGAAGATTTAACTGCAGGTGGTATAAATTTTTCCAGCGGTTCTACCAGCGATGATAACAAACAAACGAGTTTGTTAAATTTAGAGCATGCGAATGCGTCGATTTCTCAAATGAGAAATGATGCAGCTATAGCTGCAGCTGTTGCGTTGAATCAAAAAGAATTATCCAGCGAGCAGTCAACAACGAACCAGCCACTTCTAGATCTTCAGCTACTGCAATTTTTAACAGAAAATGCTTTTGGTGAGCTAATTTTGAATATTAATTAAATCTTCTATTACTTAATACGATTAGTTTATATGTGACAATGATGGTTTAAAATCTATGTGCATATGTATATATCAACAAGCGGTGTGGTCACACGTTGCGGTGGCGGTTTGGTGTTTCGTTTAATTATTAGTTATTGTAATTGGTGTTGGAAAAACGGTGATTGCTAACGATGGATTAAAACTGCAAAGTTTCAACTAATACAAATTTTTAAAATTATTATTACATAATTGAGACATCTACATATTTGTATATATTGTGGGGGCTGAGATAAACTGATAACAGATAGAACTTCTGCCGGTTTTGCTGACATATTGACGTCTAAGATGAATACATATATTTATGGAAAATGCTCTGCATCAGCAGCGGACGCGCCAACGCAATGCTAAAAGTTGGTCAACTCTCATATTTTTCGCTGCCCAATTTTAGTTTTGATATATTTTCTTTCGCGAATATTGGAAATGTCACATAAAAACAGATTACCTACTTCAGGAATGCGTATCAGAAATAAGCATTTGGTCGAAGTAAGCCGATGGAGTCTGCATTATATCTACGAACTAAGTCTCTATAACATCGAACCTGGGTTCTAGTCCACTTCCGTTAAGGAAAAGTACTCTATATGTTTCGAATAAGAATCAAGTAAATCTCACAAGTTTTTCTTATAGATAGGGCGGGGTAGAGTTTTGGACTATGACAGCGTCTGATGAATCATCGTTCTCTGTGTATGGGATACAGTGAATACCGGCATAGAAGGAGTAAAGAAAAATATATCAAACGAAATAAATACAGAATAGCATTTCAGACTTCCAAGCTTTGCTCTATCTCTAGAAAATAATACCGGGAATTTCACGGTTGAAAGCGTTTGGTAGTATAGGTTATTAACATGCAGAGCAAGTATGTGGTAGAACATCACCCTTTGGTCCGTCTCCTTGGGGGCAATAAGAAGCCGCCAATGTCCGATGATAGAACTGCTTGATAGCTGTGTTGGATGGAAGCATAGTATTGTATAATAAGTACACTCAAGTTTGGTTGTGAACAAGTGTTATCTGGGTATTTATTTCGTTTAATGCGGTGGTGCTCATGTGTACTTGAGGAATACTTACTGATGTTATGCTTACCTCAGATGCTGGGTAATACTTACGATTCTTCAAAACCTTCTTCAAAACCTGTTTGCTGTAGAGAAGAAATAATAGAATTATAAATACTATTATCATTTGAGTTTTCTGATACGAGTATCTCCAAGTTGGGCAAAGACAGTCACGCTTTGATGCCGTTGTATCGACTCAATTTCTTTTTAGCCCAGCTTTCCGAAATTCGTCGTCCTGATGAACAGCATCGATTGTGACGGTCCGACAAAATTTAATCCAATTAATCAATTAACCGGCGGCCGCGGTAGCCGAGTGGTTAGCATTGCGTACTACCATTCGGAGGGCTCGGGTTCAAATCCTGGTGTCGTACTAACATTCAAAAAGTTATAGAGAAAACTAATTTGAATAAAAAATTAAGCTAAATTTCCTATTTGCGGTCGCCCCTCGATCCGAGGGTATTTCTGACATGAAAAAAAGCTCCTAATAAAAAACAGTTAGCCGTTCGGAGGCGGCTTAGTATAAACTGTAGGTCCCTCCAATTGTTATTGCTCGGAGCAGCGGTTATAAAGCGCCTATTATAGAAATAATCAGCTTTAAGGCGGAACTAGATAATATGGTCCGCCGAAACAAGTGTCAATCGACATACTATAACTATGGTCAAATGGCGATGGTTAGTTATGTAATTTTCAAGGCCAGATGCCGTGGAAGCTGAATAAATATGAGTGTCACGATTTTGGAGAGCTCGGTTCTGTCGTACTAAAGAAATATTCCTGTGGCCGATAAGGCGATATTAAGCGGTAAAAAATTTGGTGAAACATATTAAATTGATTATTTATTTATCAGCTAACAGGATGTCGAGAAAACGAGCTGGTTCAACGTGTTTGGAACAAAGGGAGTGTGGTCTTAGATGGGTGCGTTTGTGGATGCTATTAAGATACATACACACATTTATCTGCATACATACATATGCATAGCCTTTAATATATATCTGTCTCGTCACTTTGTGCATGTATGTAGTATGTATATACTCTCTCTTAGCTTCTAAGTTTTAGGTAGTGATATCACTACCATTTAGCTGGAATACCGACATTATTTGAATTAAATTGTGCGCATACACCGTTGGCACGCTTACTGTAGCAGGTGTCAGCACCATCATTTGAATTAACGGACGTACGTGTACATACAAACAGACGTCATATAATGAATTTTTTTTTTGTACTTACCGATGTTGAACATTTTTGAACATAAAAAAAAGCATGATACGCATACCCTCGCATAGATTAAAGATCAAACTAAATTTGTGACGAACTCCGACTATTTATTTTGCCGTCGGATAGGTAAGGAGTTCACCTACACTGTGCGACAAATCCCACTTTTCTATCACACCCGGGAGCGTTGCAATAGGGCAAAAACTGAAAAAATTAGATTTTCCACTTTCTTGCGTTCATCGAAATATTTTTAAGTGTATAGACTATAAACGCATTGGGCATACCGCCGGATAGTTAAACAGTCCAGCTACACTATACAACAAACCACACTCTTCCAAAACACCTGGTTAACGAGCAAAGTTAATAAATAAACAAATGACCATACATGTAGAAATGTTTGCTGCACTTTATGCTCACGCACACGTATCAATATTCTCAATACATGCATAAGTATAGCCTTTATTCTCTGCCTCGTCACTTTATGCCTGCATGTATAATGTTTAAGCTTTTTATCTGCGTTTCACTGGAACCTAGCGTACCAATCGGTGATGCGAAGCTTCTTTCTTGTAATGGCCGTACGTTTGCCTTGTAAGTTGCGAGAGACGTTTTTTTGTCTTTTCACCGGGTGCTGTACTCTGATAGCAATCGCAGTCTTCGAATGTGTCTTGGGGTTAATTATTGTTTATTGCCGGTAATTCTACGTACAGATCGTGAAGAAGTGGAAAAGGTCGGCGATATAAAAGATCGATTTCGAACAAAGATTATCAGACGATTAATATCATATTAAAATATGAAAACTCCTGTCCTCTGACGACTTTTACTAATTGTGGTCGTTCCTTTAGTAGGGAATGTCAACCCATCTGAGTGAATTTTACACATGTATTGAAAAGCACCTCATAAATATCGCACTGTCATACGGAGGCGACTTAAAGTTCTTTATCCCTCCACACACCATAAATTGGAGGCGGAGCTTGGCCAAAAAATTTATTTATACGTTGGCACGGTAAAGCGGTGTAAAAAAAACTCGATATTACAATGGGATTACGATGCTGGTAGTTTTTGGTCAGCCGCATACCACATGTAGAGTAGCTAGTGGTTATATTTATATATCTTGTATACATGGTATACCTTGTTTAAAATCAACATTGATTTCTTGCATCCCACTTCAAAAGTAAAATCAGAATCACCAAATTTGTATATTAAGGTAAACAGGATTTCTTAATTCCCGGCTTTTGGTTGCATTCAGTTAATTTGGCATAATATGCATAACAACTTTTTATTAACATTATTACAATAACAATCACGTTTAGTAATAGTATCGTAATACCTTCACTTGATTTTTTTTTTTTCATTTCAGGTATGGGAATTACGCAGGATCCTAGAGCAGCTGCAACACTACATGCCGCAAAAATTGCTCATCTAAGTGCAATTGGAAAGAGCTTTGATAACTTGCCATCTTCACTAATACAAGCGCAATTGGATTTGTCTAAAGAGCAAAATTCCAAAGGAGATAATCCTAGTAAGGGGTGCAGATCGGAGGGATTCCAAATTGGGTCCATTTTGAGACAGCATACCTCATACGACACACCTCTTAACGATCAAATATTTTCCAACATAAGAAAGGAACAAAATACCAGTGAAATTACCACTTCGAAAGATGCAAGCCAACCGACAACAGCATCCCAAGCAAAAGACGTCAAAACTTATGATTTAATAGAGGATGGCGATTTGAATGAGAAGAAATCACCAAATGCATAGTTCCATTTACATATAATAGAGACAAGCATATAATATTGCCATTTATATACATACATACTCGTACATATGCTTGCATAGGAATAACTAACAGGCCTTAAACATGTGTTTTATGCAATTTTTGTATTGGTTCGTTCACATTGTTGAGTTAATAAATACCGACGTACAATTCTGGATGAATTTACAGTAATCATTAATTTAAGTCTAACGTTTTTATGATTTTGAAATTTTTGTGGTAGGACAAATTAAATACTCAGCGCTGAAAATACTTAGGATAAATTTAAGTTCATACATTCACTTTATGATGGAAATATGTATGAAATGTCAACATTTCGTCCTAGACCGCCGTATTGATCTGCCTTAGTTCAAATCGTTCCTTTAATAAAGTAATAGAATTATACAACTGGTTAACTTTCCGACTTTTATTTTACAATTTCGTCTAAGATTAGGCAAAGTTGACCCATGTATGTAGTCGAAGTCATCTAACGGAGGACCGTGGAAACGAGTACTTTTGAAGGACATGCAAAGAGATAATTAGCGTCGTGTGGGACTCATGACTTGCAGGTTATATGTTACGTATCAATACCCTCGTCAGATGCCAATATCGTGCAGTCATCGGCATATGGGGTCAGCAAAACGCCCTCTGGTGGTGGAGGGATGTTTGAAATATAGAGGGCACCAACCCGTGGAGACTTTTGCTCACTTTTCTTGAGTTTTTAGTTGTGGTCTCGAACTCATACCGATGTCTGGGCTAATTCATGGGCTACCTCTTTGCCGCCCGGCGGTAGAGAATGCCCGTAGCACTGCATAATTGGCCATATCATGCCGAATTATTTAATTCGCCATACAAATTTTCGTGAGCGAATTACAGTAGAAGTGTGTAATTCGTTCTCAATTTCTATGCGAATTTCGACCAAATAGATGCCTTCTCTAATTCTTATAGAAACCAACTGACAAATCAAAACAAAAATAATAAGAAAAAAATTAGAAATGATTAAAAAAAAACTGGCATTACCATACCAATTCAATTCATGATTTTGTTAACTTCTACTAAAGTCTTTCATATTCCATGCGTTTTCAAATGTAACAAATAAGCGAAACCGAAAACTGTCAAACTGCGTGTCGTGTGAATGGGAGGTAATTCGCATTCGTAATTGAGAGAGCGAAACACGTAATTGGGATGTCGTGGAAATGCCGTGTTAGCGATGCACAGTTTGCTTTTGTTTGCGCATCAATATCATTACCGATTCATTTCGGAACATGATACATCGTCAAAGTTTGCACAGTTGCATGTTTCCAAATGCGTGACAATATATTGTTGCTTTGCAACTGACGTTTTGGAACTCCCACGTTTTTTGAATTCAATCAACCTGCCTAATTTTAAGGATGGGCTGCAGTTCTGCAGTTTAACAGAAATCCAAAATTTGCTTATCAATTTAAATTTTTTTCTCGTATGTTCCATGTTAAATTTTAAGCACGATTAATATTAGGCTCTGTCAGCAAAAATCAAGTTTGGCTTTAACCAACCATTATATGCCCGAATGTGAATATGATATTTACGTAATTTGTAACACATCACGAAATTCAATAATTTTTTTAACATTCTTATCTTTATATCCTGGCGTATTTGAATTTCTACAAGCGTTAGATGAAAAAAATATACACTACAGTGGAGTATAAAAACAAAACAATCATATTCCATTTCGATGGGTCTCGTGTTATATTTATAATAATTTTAATGCTAGATATGAAATAACAGCTGATACCTTTTTAAAAACAGTCTGTTTTATATGAACCGAATAAAAACTTGGCAATTATTGACAAGTTGGTATGCCTAATGTATGTATTTTCCATATTTTTTCTTTTTAGAAATGAAGTTTCTGAGAGTTTTCCGTGGTTTCTGACCAATTTTTTCCGTAAAGGTTTTATGCGGTAAAATATATCACTCGAGATTATTAAATAACATAAGAAGAATCGTCTAAATATTTACTGAGAGCCTTTCTAAAATGGTTTAGGAAAAGCTGTTCTAATGAAATATTTACTGTAAACATTGTATAGCTTGAAGGATTTGTCATAAGTCTTATTTACTCGAAATCGAAATACGAAATTCTTACATATCATGGAATATTTCATACTAACAATATAATTAAAAGTTTACTTTATCTGACCTAGTATAATTTTACTGAGAAATTCCTTGGCCATCGCGTAGTTTCTTAATTTCCTTCGTGGCCCAATTGCATAGTGATTTCGTTCGTGCTGCTTTTGATCTCTTACCGTCGGCTAAGAATTGACTAATCGTTCCATCTTCCAACAATGGATACAGTCGTGGCCCAAAAGCGGTACATAAATCGCCAATAAATCCTGCAGCGCTAGCTACCATAGAGTCTGAGATATCTCCTTCAACAGCAATGCGTTTTATAAATGCAGTTATGTTGGGTAAGTGAGACTCTAAGTGAAATACATCAGGATGTGGCTGTTGTTCAAGGCCTTTTAATCCTTGAATTATTCCTGTATAGGCTTCCAAGACACTTTCGCGCAATTCATTTAAATATTCCATCATGTCGTAGCTATTTTGATCTACCTATAAATACAAAAGTATGTTAGTATTTCTTTATTACTCCCATATATTTTAGTTTACCTGTAGTCGGGAAGCTGCATTAAGCATATCTAGTACGACATTCAAATATTTAACAAATTCACTGCCAATGCTTAACGCCATATCTCCAAACGCTGATAAAATTTGCGGTTTCACACTACGATGGAGTGTAGGTTCAGACAAGTTTGCAAGGAGCAATGTCATAATATCGTCACAGTATGGTATAATCAGCTGCTTGAGAGCTCGGCATATATCTCCAGTTAAACCAACAGCAGCACAGCATACCTGATATTCTTGGTGTGCTTTCAAACCCATAAACAAAAATGGTTTGAAAGCATCCATATATTTCACGAATTTGAAACCAAGCAATTCGACAAGAGTTGAAACAGCAAGGAAAGCGTCTTCTTGTACTCCACCTGGTTTGCCAGAAGAAGAGTTGAACATTGTCAAAAGTGCAGTCATAATAGCATCCGATATTTGAGGTGCATCTTCCTCCCGAACTTTTCGGAGAACACTTTGCAAGGTAGCACAGAGTAGTGATTGCAAGTCATTAAATTGGTGGCGATCATTATGGCTAGCAATGTGGGATTCCATTTGTAATACTTGATTAAGTCTTTCAAGAATAACAATGGTTGTTCGCTGAACAACTAAATAGCAATCCAGAGGTGAATTCTTTATCATGTCCATTAGTGCTTCATACGCAGCAGCTCTTAGATTCGCTTGAGTACCATCCTGTCTGTCTGTTGTCTCTAGCAACTGAGTAATAATGTACTCGAAATATGGTGACAAACAATATGTTTCAGGGGTTTCGCCCTCATTTACTTCGGCCGCCTCGTAAGCAGCATCTGATAAACCAATGAACGCCCAGCATACATTAGCAGCGACACGAGGTTCGGCCTTAAGTCCTTTAATGAAGCACTCAAGTAGGGTATTCAAATATGTTTTATTGATCGCTGCCTCTGGAACAATCTGCGAAATTACAAGAGAGAAGAAAACATAGGGCAATAAGTTAAAATTTTTAATAAATTAATCACACTTCTAGACTGAAATCTCGATATTTTTTTTTTAAATAATTAAAGAATATGCTAACAGCATTTTATTTTTAAAACTAAAACATACATCACATATACGTCCAAATGTCCAAGCTGTTGTGTCTCGTACAATTACACTTTCGTCGTACATTAAATGTATAAGTGTAGGCATTGCTTGTTCTATTAAAGGTTTGAGAGTATTAGTTTCCAAGCCACTTAAAATGGAACCGAAAGTCATAACAGCAGCATCACGGAAACGCCAATTGGGTGACTCTATATTATCTTTGATGAATGGGAAAACATAAGGAACAATCTCATCTTCGCAGCAAGTGGCTAATAACATCAGACAAACAGATGCTGCTTTAGCTGGACTCCAGTTATCTTCATCGTCACATTCATCCTGCTTTGTCAACTTCTCAACTAAGACAGGTGTTAAATATTGTAAAGCTCCACGAGCGTAATGCTTTGATACTCGGATTGGTGCACGACCCGCATCATTTGCCTCTTGGGTTTCAATTGCTAAATCGATTTCTTCATCGCAGACATTTGACCAAAATTCAATTCCCTGTAATGCTATTTGATCATTTTCAGATTTCATTGCTTCCAAAGTTATAGGAAACAAAGCTTGAGCCATATAAGGTTCCATATATTGATAGTATAGTGTCAAAATTTTAACTAAACATTGCAAAGCGGCAACGCAAACCTGTGTATCTTGAGATTGTGTGGCTTCGCAAACTACTTCCATAATAAAATTTCTCTCAAGATCCTTTTCAAAATTTGCTTTAGTAAACTCTAATGAATTGTGCAAAGCTGTAGTTGCCGCTAGTCTAACATGATTGCTTGGCTCTTGTTTTCTCATTCCATGAATAATAGCAGTTAAAATTTGATTTGACTGATGTTCTAAAACGCCGTAACGTATGTCCTGGCAAATGTATCCGATCGCTTCAAGAGCAGCTTCTCTATTCATTTCGCTGGAATTATCGGCTACTACTTTATTTACTAATGTTTGAATAAGAACCGGCCATCCCTTTATTGGTAATTCTGTAACAGCCACATAAGCAACACACTGTGCTGCACATGATGGACGAGTATTTTCAGTTCCTAATGCCACAAGAATCTAAAAACATAAAATTGCATTAGTATAATATAATATTTGGGAAAATTAAAAGGTTAAATCTGATATACATTTTTCTTTATATACTCTCGTATTTCTTCAGGAAACTGGTGCCACCGATGTTGATATTGTTGATTTACAGTTTCATCCTTGCTGGTTAAATGATTTTTAAGTTGTAAACCTGCTGCCATGCGCGCTACTGGGCTGTTATTGACAGTGACTAATATATCGGATAGAGCTTTTAGGAATTCGGGCAGGTTTTCTTCCGCTGCTTGCTCCAGAAAATTTTTAGCCGACAGAAGTTCATTTTTGTCTATAAAGAATAAAAAAAAGATAGTTATAAGCTTTATGCTTCAAATATCAAAACTATGAATATTGGAGGATAAATGAAGATTAAAACGAAAATTCAAACGAATCATTAGGTTGCAGATCAATCTGCTAAGTTGCAATTAAGTTGTAGAAATCGCATCGGCAGTTCACTTTCGAACAATATCCTGAGTGTATCGCGAAATCGAGCAATAATCAGCATAAGAGATCAATGAGACCCTCTCTGATGGAAGAGTGTCGTAATGTCGAAATTCAAGACACATTGAGCTGAGTGAAGAAAAAGTACATCGCAGACTTTATCCGCCGTGCCAAAAAGTCCCCTTTGTTATAAGTTGAGAAGTACGAAAGCACAGCACGGGGATTGGATTAGTACATATCATTATGTTTGTATTGGAGTACTCTTGAGAGTTTCCTATCTTTGTTTAATATGAAGGTAGCAACTGTTATAAAAGGAAAACTAAATGTGCTCTGTAATACAAGTTACAAGGTAGTTAAACCAACTCTGAACACCCAGATTTATGACTAAAATTTATCAACGAGCTAATATGGCCACATTTTACTTACCCGGAGATACAGTTTTTTCCAACACTCGAATTAAATGGAGAGTAACTTCGGCATTCATTTTGAATTTATTTGTATTTTTTCCTTAGAATCTGAAAGGCGAAAAAAACTATTAAGAAAATTAAACAAAAATATCAACTTTTTTATATAATTTCTAATGAGTTTGCACACAACGGTCAGATAACGGTAAAAGAAAAAGATCTGACCCTTGCAACATAGATTAAGCTTTTTAGTAAATGATGAACTCCCGCTCGACTCCAGAATTCTTAACAGATATTTTCCTGTTATCATGGCCAAAGTCAATTTGCATTTACTGGATGGATGGAACACACGGCCCCTTGCGTAACGAGTATAAAAAGCATTAAATTTAGTCAAAAAATAAATATTCTTGCTACATCTGCGGAAGTTTTTGTTTCTATTTTCTAATGACTAATATTTTTCGAGAAAGAAGACCTCCAATAAAATTTTGATAAGAATAATTACCTACAAAATTTAACCCTGCTAATAGTTATCGAAATTTTTCAACGAGTGCTATAAAACCAATTAAAATTTTGATATAAATATACAACAATATTCAAAATTTTGTAAAATAACATATCTTATCCATTTCATCACACTTGTTTAATTAGCTAAATGATGGAGAAGCGCGGGCTTTGAAAATATCTGCACTAGGAGTTTAATTTTTTGGTTTTTAATGTTATAAATAAACGTGGGATATTCGCTAAAACAAAATACATGCTCTTTTTACTACGCCATCGACTTTGCAGCCGGCAAGGATATGGCATAAGACAAGAGCATACCTGCTTTAACACCGAGACCTCCTATTTTCAATTTACGTATCTGCATTATGAGATTGATGAAAACACGAGTATTTACTTGCCGTGGAAAGATTAAGTGGGTTCGGTATCAGTTGGTGTAATAAATGGCGCCAATTACTGGCTTGCTATTGTCTACAGACTATAAGGGCTTATAGAAAGTGTCTTGAATGAAGGCAAAATATGTTAGTTAATTAATACTTTACTAAAATGTATAATTAAGTATTGTACAATACAATATGTATTTTTTTAGCTATCCTGAAATATTCATCCCTCAAAACTAAGCTGCAATTATATTTTCCAGAATTTCTATAATACAATGAAGTGCACATCTATACAAGTTTAGCACGTGAATTTATTTGCAAAATGCATTCTTCGAAAATTAGTATTCTTTTTCTTTTAATAAAACACATACATAACCTGATGTCTATGAATATATAGAATTTGGGTTTCGATATTCGCAAAAAATGCTTACTTACGAATTCTCAGCAACAATACCGCACATAAAAATGTTACACGGAAATTCTGCAGTACAATTTCTTAGTAAACAACTGTTTACTGAATACTCCTCTAAACTTTTTTACACTCAATGAATACTTTACTTTAACCGGATAATTTCGTAAAAGTTCGCAGAAAGTAACTGAAGAAATAAATAGCACAAATAATAATTGGCCTCATGTAGGAATGACACGATAAATTGAATTCTATTATTAATCGATTACTTGAATTCAAATAGCGACTATACCGGTCCAAATCGAACAAAAACACAAAAGTAGGAGACTAATATAAACACATAGGTTACGACACGTAACTAAAGTAACGCGAAACCGTTTTTTATGACTACAGCAGTGTAATATATATTTATATAAAATTTGATACAATAGCTATGTTCGGTGAGGTGATGGGCAGTTATAATTGTTCCCAAATTTTACTGAATAGTTTTCAGATATGAAAGAAACCAGTAAAATTTGCTTCTTAATAGCGTAGTTTTACAAGCACATCACTTGTGAATGAACCGGCTCGTTAAATACATAGTTCGTCCTCTCAATTACGAATGCGAATTACCCCCCTTCACTGGCACGCAGTTTGATAGTTTACGGTTTCGCTTGTTTGTTCCATTCGAAAACGCATGGAATATGAAAGATTTGAGAAGAATTTAACAAAATCTTGTAATGCTAGTTTTTTTTTATTAATTTCTAATATATTTCTGCGTTTAATTTTTTCCTTCTTTTATATACAAATAGTGTTTGGTTTCAAATAAATGTTTATGTGTGTTTTCTTTTATGATTTCTATCTCTTTTGTCTTGATATGTCAGCTGGTTTCGATAAAATTTCGATAAGAATTAGAGAAGGCATTGATTTGGTCGTAATTCACATGGCAATTGAATTACCTACTTTTACTCTAATTTGCTCACGAAAATTTTTATGGCGAATTAATTAATTTGAAAAGAATAGTGAAAAATCCCTCCGTCAACTAAAAGAAATTTCGAATTTTTGTTTATACCGCCTTTTCCGATATGTAGCCCAGTGTAGCATTTCAACAAACCCTCCCATCTTAAAGAAGCTTCGTGGTTTGTGAATGCTTAAAATAAAGTAGAATAGTCTCCATCAATTGGGTTCAGAAGTAGGATATCTCATAGAGACGAAAGAGTCCTTTTCCCACAACGTAATGAACAACCCTGCTAAAAGCACTATATTGCATCTAATAATCTTGATAGATGCTAAAAAAAATACTCACTTGTGGAGAGGTATCTTCAGGATAAATTTATCGAGCTTTTTGTCTGAGATCAAAAAACTTTTTTCAGTTCATAATTGTATTCGTATTAAACGGAAGAGATGTTCGTCTGTCGATGCTATTATATATTGACTGTCTAAACAATTCGTTTAGCTCATCGATTATTTATAAACGATAACGAATACTCAGTACTGTGTATGTTTATTAGTAGAGTATACTATTCGAAGTTGTTTCTGAGTTTGTAATAAAGGTAAATTATTTTATATAGTAAATATTTGGTTAAAAATTTGTTTTATTGTTTATTTCTTTTTTTGTTTCAATAAAAATACCATTATTTAAAAAATGTGTTTTATGATTTAATTTTTTAATGATAAGTGATTGAAAATTTTAAAAATTGGGTGTGGTGTTGGTATATGTAAAAACCATCTATGCTTGTTTGTGTTAACTTGTAACCAAAACAACACAGTAATTTAAGTTAACAGTGCTTTTCAATTTAAGAATAAGGATACCTCAACTTTGTATGGGTTTTCCATAAAAATGCATAATTGATCCTCTTATATCAATATTGTTATATTAAGGTAACATATTTTAAATAAAAAAGTTACTGGTGAAAGATAAAAACAAACAATACATAAAGTGGTTATAAATACTAGTTTGTTCTCCCAACGCGCTAAGCAGTCGAAATTCGCAATGAAAATTGTATTATTTAAAAATAAATTATTTAAGTAAGATATTTAAATTAGGGCAAGGGCCGCACCCTCACGAATGCACTAAATTGACAAATTCCATGGCCGTCACATAATTAAATATACATCTGGTAGTTCTACATCTCTATTATCGATTTCATGTATAATAAAAATTTATTGTTTTTATTGTGAATATTTGTTATGAAATAGCGTTTATGATTAAAAATTTATGAAACGCAGTTCACAATTTTTTTTTTTATTTATAAGAAGAGTATTTGTGTAAAATATTTTAAGCGTTAACTTGAAGATCACCATGCAATATCGATATGTTTAATATATATTATTTATTACTCCCATTACTAGTTGTCAGCTGGTTAACACTCGCCAACTGATTGGACCTCTGGTGAAAAAAAAAACTTTGAATCCCTTTCAACTTTGTCCGGTCGGAAACAAAAAAATTGACACATGTCGCATACACGAACCCAATAAGATAAAGCGGTTCAACTGACACTAGAGGTTTTACTTATATATCCATCATTTGTGTTCAGGAGTGCATATGAAATGGTTCCGTCCAGTGTTTAGCCCAACTATCGTACTAAACGTTGCGGAACCGCATTATAACAATGCAACCTTGTATTCTGTAAATTTGCCTTACAACAATGCCTTGCAAACTCTGACGTTTTGGAATGATTGTCGAAGCAATTTGCTTTTGTTTGTGCATCAATAACTTTACCGATGCATTTTGGAACATGATAAATTGTCAAAGTTTGCACAGTTGCATTTAGGATTGCGTGACAACGTATCATTGCTTTGCAACTGACGTTTTGGAACTCACCCTCACTAACTAACAATGATCGCTCCTCACACATAGAAATTCGATGTAAAAGTTTTAAGCTGGAAAATTAATTTTTTTGGATCCTCACCTTTTACTTTGGATTTCAGTCGCCTCTTACGACAGGCATGCCTTACCGCTGGGGGATTCATAGTTTCCACTTGCTGGGTTGCAGGAAGGGAGCTTGAACTGTCATCACACGGTTTCCTTCTAACGGGATCAGCTGTTCTTTCGTCATTGTTAAAATTTACGTAATGAGTTTAAATATCGAACATGGTTCCTTCTTGTCTGGTTGTTGACGACTGCCTCAGAGAGAAGGAGTGGACATTAATGGAAATGCGTGTCTTTGTTTCAACAAGACAGCAATCCGAGACAATGTTAGGACTTCAAAGATTAGAGGCAGTTACATTTCGATTCTCGATGAAATCGTTCAGCTTCAATCCTAATAAAATAATGTAAAAATAAAATGCAACAAACATAAACACAGTTCTCTTTATTTTATTCTCTTCCCTTATCTCAAAACGGTTTTACAAAGTGAATTTTAATTATTTTTTTTTTTGTTATATATGAAAAAATGTTTAATTTAATATGCATATATCTTCATACAAATTTCTGTTTTCAGAATTAATATAAGTATATTCGCACTTTCAGCGAATAAATAAATTCCACGAACGCGGATTATGAAGGTAGGTAATTTGTCCTAATAAAATGTTGGAGTTTTTTGTTTTTGACGCTTTTATTTGGTTTTTTGTAAGATAAATAATTGCAAACCTTTTTATTTTATATTTGAGATATGTATGTATATGCACTCTGGATATATGTTTATGAAATAATGCTTAGTAACCAGCTCTTAAGAAAAAAGGAAAAACTCCTTATGAAGAAAAGCAGACTCAAGCAATTTTTGCATGCAATTTGCTTAAAAGGCGGTTATTATTGCGCAACGGAACGAAATCGTGGCGGTGAAAATCGTAACTCAGTTATTATAGCGCGTTCAATTCGAAGATTGACAGCGACAACAGTTGTCAATATTTGTATATGTTTACTAATTGAAAGCAACAAACTTGTGCAGATCTTCGTTAAAAGGAGTGATTTACGGAATATTTATTGTTATTTAAAGTCATGAGTAACGAAGAATATGTTTTAATATGCTTTTTAAGACAAGATTCATTCAACTGTCTAAAAAACTGTAAATTGTTATAAGAAAAGGAAATAATTTAAAATCTACAGATTTTTACTATACGTAACGAACCACCACGCTCATTATAACAATTTGAATATATTTTTATATGTAATCGATTTTTAAGTGACAGCTCACAACGTTGCGCTCCGTTCCTCTACTTTCATTATAATTCGCGTCTAAGGCCACAGTTTTTTTTTTTGAAATTTGTTACACTTCGTACTCTTGCTTTCTAAAATTTTTTAAGAACAAGCATTAAAAGGCAGTATAAATATGAGGCTATCTCAGAGATCCGAAACTATAACAATAATAAATATACTGAAAAGACTGCTTCGTTTCGGCACCTTGTTATCGAAACAAAATGAAATTGTTAATGTTGAAACCCCACAAACACATTGTTAACGTTAACTTTAAAATAGCTGCTTGCTATAATATCAACAGCACAATTCAATTTGAACATTAAATATTTATTTTGTTCTTTGACTTGATGGGCAGTAACAATTTTTACCAAAGCTTACTGCGTCGGGCTCGTTGAGTCAAAAACCCAGTAAAAATTGGTAATAAGAGAGCGCAAATTTGACTTTTAGTTGGAGGGAAAGTTGCAAATTCGTGCTGGGAAAATTTGATTCAGTAAAACTAACAAGTATGAAAAACAGCTGATTTGTGATCTGAGTGATTTTTTGTCAACAAAATAAAATTGATTTAAAATGAAAATAGTGTTAAATCTTTAATATGAATTATATGCCAACAAATTAAGTGGTTAAATGTAATGTTGTTTAAATTAACTGAACAATATCAATGAATTCAACAATAGTAAAGGCACGAAAAATGTGGTGGCAGTGGAGGGGAATTATCGTCCACGCACCACTAGAAATTAGAAGTTAGGAAGGCATAGGAGGATAATGCATTCTTAATCTTCCGAAACGATGCTCAAAAAGAAATATTAGTAGCATTTAGAGGAAAAAATAAAGCTCTTGCTTGGTTTTTTTTTTTTTTTTTGAATAGAGTCGAATAAAGTTTATAATAAATGAACGAATTCAAAATTAATCGCCAAAATAAAGCTTTAAACAACTTGCTGGCCAATTCTTCTGGATCCTCTCAACTTCGTTACTTTTTGTTTAACATCCGAAATTGAATTTTGTATTCTGGCGAACTGGTTACAATGTTTGAAAAAACTTGGGCAGCACTGCTTTTTTCGTCCTTGTCAAATTACAGAATAATAATAGAATAATATTCACATCGAAATAGAAGACGGAGCACTTCAAAATAAATTAGTTTTATTTATGTGTTTATTAAATCATAACTATTTGAACCTAATTTTGGAAAATATGTCTAAACGACAAAAAAGCTGAATGAAAACGCTATCTTCCAAATTAAAAGGGTAGTTTGTTTGGCGCATTTGGCGCAAACTTCTTAGCATACGCCTTTTTCCACTTTTTTCTTCATCTTCAATGAATTCCAGGCCTAAAATATGCCTACCCACTTTGGCTTTTTAATCACACAGTAGATTCTTCGCTGGTAACAGGGTGACAGAATACGAAATAGTAACAAAATTTACTGAATGGCAAATTTTAAACTAGTATAAACTAATTGCGCAAAATTCGTGGAGAGAGAATTCAACTCTCCTTTGACGATAAACTAACTCTATAAGATCTTAACAAAAATTTACATAGCTAATAAGCAATTCACACTAAATGCTAAGCTGATTATTTATTTGATTTGAATTTAATATATGTATATACATATGTATATGTATACTTAAAACAGAGTTCGCATAAACTTATAATATACCCGAGTATATTGGACTGTTGACTGTTTGTAATTAAATTATTTTCTTTATTTTTAGGCAATTTCTGACAATATTTTTCCTGCAAACTTGAACAATAAGCAGATTTGCGACGAGATAATTAGAAAGTGTTCACCATCCCGTCGCCTGGAATCTCGAGAACTTGCAAAAATTCTCATACAGCCGCATATCAGGGTAAGATACTTTTTACATACTTAGTTATATAAAAAAACAAATTATGTTTTTTTTCACCAAATTTTGATGTTGTTTATTGCTGAAAAGTAAAGGATCGATTTTTCTTAAAAAAAAAAGAGCTCGATGATGCGTCCCTTGCTTAGTTTCCCATTAGTTTCCTAAACTCACCAAATGCTGTCAGTCTTTACCTATGATTTCATATTATAACAACAAATAAGTGTCAATTATATATTAAGCTATTTATGTAATAATAACAATTTATTTAAACTATCTTGTTAGGGGCTTTTGCGCGCTCATGACGAAATAGGTGAAGCGTACATGCAACTTAACAAATTTCAGGGACAACGAAATAAATTAGAATTGTACCGTGAAAAGTGCTATCTCTTTCCTTCTGAAGTTCTTTACAATAAAATGCCTATAGAAGCAGAGAGAATAGTTGGTCTTAGACGTGTTGAAAACAAGCCTTTGGGGTTCACCGTCGAAGTTAACAAACAAAATTTATTATCAGTAGCCCGTATATTAGCTGGTGGAACTATTGATAAGCAAGGTCTCTTGCGGCCTGGTGATGTCATACTCGAAGTTAATGGAGTTCGAGTTAATACACCTGAGGCTTTACAAATTGAAGTGTCTCGCTCAAAAGATAACCTTACTATAAAGGTTGCGCCACAAATAGAAGACGATATTACGGAAACCCCTACTACGAAAAATAGCGTTATTGAAAGTCCCGGAAAAAAACTAACGGTAAGAACACTAAATAGTCTTGCTTTGAATTGGAAATTTCATCTCAGATATTAAAATAATTAAATTTTAATTTATAATTTATAATTTTAGTGCTTTATGCGAGCTTTATTTAATTATGACCCCTTTGAGGATTCATTACTGCCTTGCAAAGATATCGGTTTGCCATTTAAATCGGGTGACATTTTACAGGTTTGTTTATTTCACTTTTCAAAGCTCAAGATTTATATTTATAGATATGTACTTATTTAGATAATGAGTGTAAAAGATCCTAATTGGTGGCAAGCAAAAAATTGCAACGATAAATCGGATCGAATTGGATTAATACCTTCACAGGAATTAGAAGAAAGACGCAAAGCATTCGTGATACCTGAAGCTGATTTTGCTCATAAAATAAGCATATGTGGGACCAAGGTCTGCTAGTTGTATAATTCAATTACGTTGTTTGGTTTTTTGAAAAATGATACTTTTTCTTTTAATAAAAGGTGTCGAAACGTAAGAAAACCATGATGTACAAATCCATAGCCAATTGCGATTTTGATAAAGCCGATTTGATGTTATATGAGGAGGTAACTAGAATGCCTCCATTTCGCAGGAAAACTCTTGTTTTAATAGGTGTGCCAGGAGTTGGTAGACGCACTTTGAAAAATCGTTTAGTTAATAGTGATCCCGAACGTTTTGGCATCGTTTTACCGCGTGAGTTTTAATTTGTAAAATATAGTATGTGTACAGTTAAAATTCAATAATGCAACTTTATATTTATAGATACTTCTAGACCTAAGCGACCACTAGAAGAAGATGGAGCCAGCTATTATTTTACAGATCGGGAAAAAATGGAAGAGGAAATAAAACGAAATGAGTTTCTTGAGTATGGAGAACACAATGGTTATTTATATGGTTTGCATTTAAAGTCTGTAAAAGACGTGATCGCCAGCGGTAAGATTCAATAAATCATTTTTGAAATGTGAACGATAAATTCAATGTGTCTATTTTCTCAGGTCGTATGTGTATATTAGATTGCGCTCCAAGCACTTTGAAATTTTTGCATAATAGCCAAGATTTAATGCCGTTTGTTATATTTATCGCTGCTCCCGGAATAGAACAACTTAAGCAAGTTTATAATGAGCGACGCGCAACAGGATCTGTTAAAAATTTAACGGTAAGCTTTTCAGAAAAAACACTAAGAAAATACTGTCCACTTTTTAGACTTTTAATCTGCTGTTTTGTTTATCCTCTCGTTTAGTTCGATCGACAATCTTCGATTCGGTTTAGTTCAAGGCGAGCTCGTACCTTGGAATCGCTGGCCTCTTTATATGAGGTAAGTAATATATGATCTACCTCCCGTTAGATTAAGTCGAAGACTTGGACTGATCTTGCCCATTCCTAAGCTGGGTTCGATATCGTGAAAACGTGTGCACAAAGCACATTAAACAAGAAGTTAATACTGTTGGGGGTGCGGTCGAGATGATATCTCAAATAAAGCTTTCAGTAGCAATTTTGTAGCAGAAAAATGGCAGGTAGTACCACCCATAGAGCTCAACGCCATCATTTGTGAGCAGTTTTAAGGTCTATACTATGGCAAATGGTATTAAGCTCGTGCACATCCGGCTCCGGGCCTAAGCGGGGTTTATTTCAATGCTTTTCGCTTATAGTGCAAATTAAAGAAAAAAATGTTCATCAAAATTTGCCACTTCATCAATCATATTGGTCTCTAAAAGATTCATGAACACATTATATCTTATTATGTAAACAAAACTATAATAACACTCAATCCGGTTTCTGGTTTAATTTTCCCTTTTAAATGTCCCTTATAAATGTTTTCTTATTCCAGGAAGATGACTTGATTGCCACGGTCGAGGAAAGCTGTTTCCTTCAGCGACGTTATGGGAAATATTTTGATATGGTAATCGTTAATGAGGACTTTGATGCCACATTTCAACAAGTTGTAAAAGAACTTGATCAAATGAGCCATGAGGAGCAGTGGGTTCCAGTTGATTGGATATACTAAAAATAAAATTGCCTTATAACTCGAATAAATACTACGAATAGTTTTTAATAAAGATAATATCCCCCATTCGAAACTTTAATTTAAATTTTAACTTTGGAAGTAATTTCCCTTTATTACAAACGATATCAATTTTCGTAATCTATGCCGAAGGTCCTTATTTTATTAGCCTAGAAGAAATGTCAGAACTTCAGATTATTGTTTTTTTTTCCTTTAATAGTGTGAAAGAAGTATTTCTCTCATTGACCCAGTGTAAAATTACGTTCTTAAATAAGCATAGGCACTGCTTATATGGGCACAACCGAATCATCAATATCAAGCCAGTTTTTTCATTTGGCAGCCATGTCGCTTTCAGCTTAATTTTTCTTAATTGCCCGGACAATATTCTTGCCGGCATAGCCTGGGTCATCTCTGTAGCTCGTATTATTTTCTCCAGTATTCTGTTAAACAATGCTCACTATTCACTTTGTCCAAAGCCTTTGATACCACCAGGTTCGTGGAGGTTGTTTCCAGTTCGGACGAAACTTATAGTGTTGCTCAACGCTAGATTACATAGCCATATGCGTTTTAGAGATACAAAATTATGGCATAGCAATGTAGAGGTAGCTCCTTACCGTATCGCTAGATAAGACCTTATGGAAAACGCCAAGAGAATTTCTTCAATAAAACAGATAAGGTGTAAAAAAATTTATTTTAAAATATTCGTTTTTTTCATACAGCTATGCACTATAAAATAAAAATAACTTTACAATAATAGTAATAATAATAAAAATGTTGGTTTGGATTTTCACAAGTACTCTACACTATTTTTTTTTCTCATTTTGTTGCTAATAAAATTGTTGGGTTTTTCTTTCGCTTAAATCTGTTACTTTCAAGGCCAAAGAAGCAATATATCTATATACATACATATGTGTTAACGGTTATGTTATAACATATTAAAAAAATTGCTTAAGTTTGATTGCAAAGGTTCTATGACAAGAAAGAGTACAGAGAGTGCGCTCTTTGTGAGAGAGAAAGAAAGTGGTCTTATTATATATACACATTTACAATGAGTCTGTATTGAGAGATGAGTGGAAGTTAACCGGCTGCGCCTTTCGTAAACTCATACTCCTCCGCGACGTTGACAGCGTGGATCTCTGGTAGCTTATCAATGGAAATCCTTTTTAGAATCTATTTTATTTTTGAAATTGTTCGAAAAATTTGAGGCATCGCTCTCGTCATTCGCTAAACGAAAATTTGATTTCGAAATACAAATTTCAAATACAATAGTCATACATACATACATTATATATTAGCTTCGTAGATTAATATTTAGTACTTAAACTCCTGATTCTCTTGCACTTTATCCAGTAAAAATATTCATTTAATTAATTTGTGGATTGCCGTTTTCCGCTCCATACTTCTTTACATTCCACATGCTAATTTCATACTATCGAATGCAAGGAAGAATGGAACTAAAATGACAAAGTCTTTTCGTCGTGCACAGGACAGATCGCTAGACGTCTTCTTTTTCGCCTTCTGCTTCGCAAGATTATTAAAACTATGCCATGCGGGCTTCGCTGTACCTGCGCTCTTTAAACTAATCTTGCTTTTTATTGTCCATGTGGGATGTTGCTGAGCATACTTGGAAACAAAATTATGATCATTTTATCTGTGTTAATGAATCTTACCTTTAAAAATCATTGTTCATTGGCTACAAAATGATTTCAATCGTCGTCCTTGCATATTACATATATATATGTATATGTATATAAAAAAATGTTAGCTACTGTCACAATGCATTTGCTATGATGAAGCATTTGGTACTCTCTTTTTATTTAATTATTTCTTTTTTGTAATATTATAGCTCCAGTGCCATTGACCTGCTGATCAACTCTTCCGAAGTGGAAATTGCATACAATTAACATTCCACACTACAAGAAATAATTCCATTTTTATCCAGCATCTGACCTATCTCAGTTCTCATTGCTTTCGTATCGAAAATATTTGATTGACACACTTCCAGGCGTGGTGAAATAAGCGATTCTCTGTGAAAATGTGGTACGCTCCTGGACAGGTAGGCGGGCTCTTACAATAACAAAGTAGCGAAATCCCTCCCGTTTAAAGTGAATAGCGAGAAGTCGGAAACTAATTGCTCTCCTAAAATCCCAACTCTCCAGCTGTCGAAGTTGTGTATTAAAAAAGATGGCATCAGTTAGGTACTTTCTCCTGGACTGCCGCGCGTTTGCAGGTTTGTGATTAAAAATTCTCTAATCGTATAATTTCACTATACCAAAAGAGTTTGTATATATTAAGAACTTAATTTGTGTAAGCTTTTAGCTTAATTAAGTAGCCTAATGTATTTATGTGACATCGGAACTTAATTAAAACTGACTGCAAGCAAGTTGACTTCTCGATCTGAAAGGTATTTTAAAATATTGATTTTGATCTCCGTGAGTTTCTTTGAGTTCCTGATTGTAAATTTGGTCAAAATTACGAAATTGTTTTTTGTAGGGCATGTCGGCTCCTAGAATGTTGTTGGCTTCATTTGTCGAAAATATCAAAGCAGACACATGCCACAAGCTGGAGAATAAAACCGGCAGAAAAACGCTTCAGCAGATACAAATCGTTAATTTGCATTAAAAACTTTTTAATTTCCATTTTCTAAACATGTTGTCTACTATGTCGTACACTGAATGGTATATTTCTTGCATCAAATTATAAAAAAAAAATTATTCATATTGTTATCCAGTAATGCTCACCAACGAAATTATTAAACTCTATGCCGATTGTATAAAAACTTGTTCGTTCACCGCTAAGCTTGTTGAATTTACAGTCCATTTATATCGAATTGCAGTACTTACAAAGATTGGACATAAATGAATATAAATAGATCGAAGGGTTCAACAGTATTTGCAGCGTGTGGGGGCCAAACTAAAACACTGAAAAGGCACTTTTTACGTGAACACTATTTTCAATTAAAGAATAAGAAGATAAATTATGTTTTTGATTAAAATAAAACATTTGACATTAAATTAAAAACAGTATTAAAAAGGAGTGAATTTCTCACATTTGGACACTCATGCATTTAATCGAATTAAGTTACAACAAAGTTACAAAATTCTTACGAAAGAGGATTTTAATACCGGTGTGTGAAAATATTATTTATATATGTATACTGTATCGAATTTAATTTATTTTTTCTTAAAGATGATGATATGCAAGTTCCAATACCAAAACTAATTTTGTCCATTACGTACGCGAACGATGAATAAGCATGCTTGAAATAATTGAATTTTTTTTTTAATATATTTTTAGGTTAGTCGATTTTTAGTAAAATTTAACGCACTGTAAATTTAAAAACGCTGTAAATACGTTAAAAATATTTAATAATAAAAGTTGCATAAAGTGGATCAATGCTTATATTTCGAAGTACCTCAAATAGTAATTCCGTGGAGTGCCAGCAACAGCAATACTAAATTTGGAAAATAAGCTTTTACGTAACAAGGCAAAAAATCTTACTTGTTTTTGTTGTACTAACATTACAATTTGAGTCATATAAAAAATGTTTGATTTTTAATCTGTGTGCCAAAATGAAAATAAAAAAATTAAACAAATAAATAAGTTAACTTTTTTCTATTTTATGAACATTTTGAAAAAAAAAATTATATCTAGCCACATGTATAACAGATATTTGCAGTAATATGTACATATCTTCCACGATGAAGTAAATTTCTTAGGCCTAATAGCGACAAATTTCTTTGCTTGGTTATAATTTTTATATATTTTTGCTTTTACAAAAACAACCGATGTAATGGATTTATGCATATATATATCTATATGTGTATGTATGTCTTTGAATATCTTTACCTGTTTCAAAACTTTAGTTATCCCTGGAATGCAATTCAATCACTTTAGCTTACATATACATACATATGTATGTGTGAAATACCTTGGAATTGAAATAAACCGATTTTTGTACTGATCGTTAGAAGAATTGGTGATGCACTAAAGGTTGTAATGTTCTCTACTTGGCTTTGGACTATAGACTGTACTCCAATATTTTCTAAAAACGCATTACATGTATGTATATACCAGAAGAGATCTATGTCGAAAAGGAAAGCAGAATATTTATATGCCGCCAATATGCGACCAAAGATTTGCTCTCTCTTCTACACATTCGCTTGAATGCAACAACTTGTATTTTTATACATGCAAAGCTACATATGTATGTATGTAAAATTATTATGTATGGTCTAGAAGCATGTGATACGATCTACATACATACGGATGGATGGCTCCTGCGCAGTCGCAATATCTATAGTCGATTCTAAACATAGAACACAAGCGATATTGCCCCTTCAGACTCCTTTTGACAAAATTATAAATATCTTATACACTTTGCAAGGGAATAGGCAAAGTGAATAAACGAAAAAAGAAAAAAAAAACGTATAATGTAACCTAAAAAATGTGCAGTTACTAGGAATAAAAAAATCATAGGATTTTTTATTCCAAATAACTACTAAAATATTACTTTTGTCATACATACATACGCCGCATAATCTTGCACAATTTTAAATGACATTTTTTTAAACGGTAAATAAGTTCAAGAACTTATTTCATAAGTTTTGCATACATACACAAAAATACCTCCACCAGTATGTACGTATGTATGCAATATTTTTATTTTTCTTGAACTTGTTGTATTTTTTTAACGCTAGTAGGAATAATCTCAAAATTTTCAAATATTCAATAATACACAAAATGCATTTAATGTCGAAGAATTTAGATATTGGAGCGGATTCTTTCGTTTAACAAATTTGAGTTCATATTATATTTCGAAATCTTGGCCGTTTATTGTCTAATTGATCTAGCCCTCGCGGTAGAGTTACACTCCAAAATAATGAAAGGTCTAGAAAAATGCTTTAATGCTGTAAAACCAATTATCGCATAGAAGTGGTTGCAGGCTCACTTAGGCCACCAAGAGGTATGATACCACTGAGGATTCTGGTACGTCCAACTTATTTGCGTGCATGCCCAATAGAAGATGCTCTGTAAGAAGACCCACAGTTACTGATATCTCCTTTCTTCTTACCGCGATAAGTACGTAAGACCTGCTTTTATCTAATGCTGGCCACAGCGTACTGTTGCTTCCGAAATTAATTTAATATTAAAACAGATAAACTTTAAAATTTTACATACACACTTCTAATTTTAACTTTTAAACAGTTTTAGAAGAAATTTCAATAGATTTACAAAGCACACACATACATATATGCAGCATGCAATACTATGTTAAAATAGAATACAAATTTGGTCTGAAAGCCTTAAAAAAACTCCACGAGGACTTTCCAGCAATGAAATATATTTTTTAATAAAATCTAAATATGAATAGAATTTTGTAATTCTGTTTGTTTTCCTGTTGCCCCTTTCTGCATATCGTGTATATATTTTTATATTCGGTCCCACTTAGATATTGATATGGATAAGAGAGCACTAAAATAGACAGTATACTATAGATCGGTAGTTATATATATGTATATTGTATATTTCTAAAGATGGGACAACTACCAAATAAAAATCCTCCAGATCTCGATTTTGGTAAATTCGACTGAATTCTTTCCATTTATGGGGAACCAAAAATAGTGCAAATGCAAGTGAAAGTTCCTAGCAACATGCAGATATACAAATAGACGAAGAGAAAAATTAGGCAATGACGAAATGTACACATTGGTGTTATTCAATGGAAACTTGAAGAGCACATGGAAGCAACGTTTTATTTCCATTTTTATTTTTGGAAGTTTCTTGTATTTTTAGTTCATGAAGAAGTGAGATGAAACAGCAAACTTCGTTTTCGAAAGCATTTGGGAAATGAACTTACACTCGCCACAAACGACTAGTAGGTCTTTTTCGTCTATTCGAAGTTTGACTCATTTTTATTTAGGTTTATTTTTTGATACTAGCAACCCGAAACCAATATTCAAAATTTCGGCTTATTGAGATAACTTGTAGGCTATTATAAAACGAATTTAAGAACATATCTATTTCATTGTATAACAGGAGCAGACTTTATCTTTGGCTCACTAGCTAATTTCGATCAGAACCAAAACTGAGAAAGACATGAATTACACCTTAAGCCGCCAAGCAGTGTGATTTATTTAGATGAAAGCTCATGTTTTTGCTGTTTTTGATTTTGATGATTGCTGTATTGTTATATTAGTATCCAATGTTATATTACACACTTGAAATAAAGCAGTGTTGGGAAAAAATATTTTGAACGTTGCAGAACTTGTATTTTGCCGCCTCCACCTGACAAAGTCTTCTCTGGTTATCCTCACACATGTAATTCTCTCTTACTATTCCATTACGAGTATACTCAGATTTTCAGTCCACAAGGCTAGAAGTAACTATATTCCTTTGTTAGGCATTGTCCGGCGCATGTGCTAACTTCAATTTATAGACACTGCTGTAGAAATCGTAGTTTGCGTTTCCTCTTCACAATTTCTATTACTATCCCATCATCTTATTCCGAAACTCCGTAGTGGCTTCGCAGCTACACTTTCAGGTCGAAGTAGCCTATTTTCGAGTTTGCGGCATAGTCTTTGATACGCTGCGAATACCATGACAGTGATTGGCTGTTACTAGAGAACACAAGTCGGAGAGCAATAATAGAAGACATCTTATCATCACAATGGTGTTCGTCCCAGTCTGATGGAAATTGGTCTTCTTCCGCCTGTTTGATTCTGTCTATGTTGCCCATGGTCATCCGTATATCCGTCGGTCCGTATTTCCGTCAATCTTAATTGGCTGCCTTAAATCACCTTGTTGTATCAGGTGTTTCTTTGGCTGGTGAATTTTGACTGATGAAATATGTACATCCGTATTGCGGACCTCTTTCTTAACAGTACCTACCTTTTGAGTTAAGGGTAAAACCCATATCATTTCCCACCCAGAAATAAACTGCCATCATATTGTATTATACTAACCACTCATTTACATATTGACATCGGAAACATATTTTAGCAATTACAATTACATTATGGTATACATAAATGACATATTAAAATTATTATTTTGGTCTGCTGCCAACCTTATATCCATGATTCCTATATAGCATTTAGAGCTCTTCGACCACTAGTTACAATTCTACTAGAACCAAACTCATCGTGATCTATCATTAAATGATCGGGAATCGCTGATGGCATCGAGGGTGGCAGCTCTTTGGTACTATCATCTGGTGGCAAACCAAATCGCGAACTATGTGGATAGGCGGAGGAGGATGAATTGTTGCTTGGTATACCGTGTTTATCAATTATATACGCGCGTTCGTCTTGCTCTAAGAAATCCGATTTATCCTTTTCGTAACGGTCATTGTATTGATATCGTGATGTTTCCCATTCAGGCTTATTATGACTGATTGGTTCATGTTCATGATGTTCATGATGATCATGATGCTCATGATGCTCAGGATATCCTTGATCGAAATGTCGGCTATGATACTGTCGATGGCTACGTCTAAATGAAGCATTTTCTGAAAGGTATATAATAAAATACAAAGATATAAGTTACTTAACAAGTAAGGAAGATTAAATTCGGGTGGGAAAGAATATTAGATACCAGGCAATGGTCATTATGGCGTTGAGAATGATTTAATACGGTAACTGGTAAAAAATTGAACATAAAAATACAGCGTCTAAGCATCGTCAGATTTCAGCGTACACATATACATACATATATAATTTTTAGCAAGTGTTTAAACTCATTTATTTTATTATATTGATGAAGTTATACTGAGTATTGATGTTTGGCCTACAGGTCAGCAGCAGAAGATTGTAATTTTTGTTTTTAATAATACTTCTTTTTGGAATGTAATTTAAATGAAAAATAGAGAATAAATTGCTGAAGGCGACTTCATCACTATTGAGATTGCACTGATAAGTTTCGAAAACTCAGCCTGCGACAATTCGATCGGCAAATCTTAGCTCTGTTCGGTGAGAAATATTAGTAAAAATGGGTAACAATTGTTACAGCCCATCAGCTCACTGAACAAAGATATTGCAGAATCAAGTGAATAGCGGAAAAACAGTAGATCTCATTCAAACGGTATTAACATTGTATTTAACGTTGTTTTAAGTGCACTGCGGCAGTTAAGCCGATATATCTTCGTAGATGCAGACACAATATCTGGGAGTGGTCGCTGCCTTGATGAAGTATAGGAAGATTGAGGGAATTTCTGGCTAATGATAATATTGTATAATAAAACTAAAAACCCATTTAATTTATAAAATTATATATTTTATTTAAGAAATTTACAGCTGTTAAATTTTAATATTTTTTATATCTTCAATCCTAGTTGAAAAGTGAGTCAGCGTCCAACATTTCAATTATACGTTATTATGTAACTGTCAAAAAAAGAAAAAATAAGTAATATGAAATTATTAACAAAAAATTATATTTTAAATAAAAATAATATTGAAAATAAACATTAATTTTTTTTAATTATGCGAATGGTAACCAACCATTATATAAATACTATTATCGACGAAAGAAATATAGTTTTAAAGAATCAGAGTGTATAAAAGAAAATCTTTCATAAAGTGCGTATAAATTCAATCTACAGCGTAGTTAATACAAAATGAACATTTAAAGAAAACTATTAAGCGATTTAGATTAAGCTAGGTTGAAGTTGTTGCTGGGCATCAGCACACCTAATGACCCCCACCCGCTGAGCAAATTATACTGTTTACATGGTTTAAAAAACTGTACCAGTCATTCGTAAAGGCAGTGCCTTAAGGTTCTCCCGGGTCGTTCCGGTTTAAAGACCACACTGTCGTGGGAACTATTGGACTTTAGTTGCCTTACCAGGAGTAAATTATTGAGCCCCTAACCTGCAGGAGCGCTCGTCCGCCATCTTATTACCTGGTTACTGTGCTCAGACCACCATGCCAGGTTCAAGATAGAAGAATATGAGTATATTCATCTTAATAGAGAAAACAATATTTGATTAAACAACGAGTATATGCTCTCAGGATACTTATTAATTTTGAGCACTCTTAACTTCGCGCATTTTAAAAATTTACTTGTCGCGGTTAAAAAAAAAAGCTATGTTGGCGTTGCGGAGTTCAAGATACTCATTTGAAAACATTTCGTTGGGAATTTTGAATTTATAGTAATTAAAAAAAAAACCAGATAATTTATAGAATTTATTATTTTAAATAAAAAAATTAACTACAGTGTCAGCAATTAAAAAATATTGTTCTAATTTATTAACAAAAAAAGTTAAAAAAAAACAACTTATATACACTGTAAGTTTTGTCCAGCTCATCATTGCATGTATTGCAACTCTAAAATATATTCGAGATAGAAAAAAGTATACTCGTATGTACAATATATAAATATATATTTCCTTTTATCAGAGCTTGATCTTTAATGCAGCTAACACTAAATGGAATTTCTTAAATTGAAAACTTTCAGGCAAGTAATGAAGTTTAAAACCACATTAAAATATCAAATAAGGTCCAATGCTCTTTGAACGAAAAAAATTTAACTGGCACTACAACGAAGACAACTCAAACGCAATTCACACCAATTAGACATTGGTACACATAGTACATAAGTTCATTCTAAATGCTATTTTTCTAGGAACGTTTACGAATTTCACCAATTTGCTGTTATTATACGATTTATCTTCTTATCTCTCTTTCGACATATTTGAAATAATACCAGTAATTATTTAGTTCAAACTGCTAGATTTTAAAAGGTAAGCAAGAGCAAGTGCAAAGAAAGGGTATTTTGGACTTCGGCTCGTTTTAATGACGAATTAGCGTTCAATAACTTTATGATCCGTAAGTAGACTTGGACTTTCACTTCATATCCACGTGTAAGAATTTTTGTCAGCAAGATGTGTTCCTAGCAAAATCCAATTAATAAGAAGGCTTACTTTTCGTTTGAAACTTTTTTCGACAAGAATGAACTACTTTGAGTAAATGGTAAATTGGCGTATTAAATTAAGAGTTACAACGAAATCGACTTAATCATCGTACAAAATCGACGCACAGCCGACAATATTCATCGCCAATCAGAGAGAGAGAGAGAGAGATGTTCGTACTGTACGGCCTACACTTTTGTTCTTACTTTGGTCAATTTCTGTGCTTTTTTTAACCACATTTTTTAATTATATTGATTTATTTTTAACATTAATGTACCATAATTAACTACGTGCAGTACTAAATTACCTGTTGTGGCATTAAATCGATTTTGATCAGGTATTGGTGCTGTATTTTGAGGAGTCAGTGACTTTGGTATGGTCGCCATATTGTTTACATCTGGATGTGTAGCTCTCCAGTACGTCTGTTTGAGAAAATATTATAAATATATATTTACGATATGTATAAAAAATCTATATTATTAGAGTATATTTATTTATTTATAGTTAGAATTAAGTTAGAAAAAAATAAGCTAAAAAACACATTTGCCACCTAAAATAAAACATTTTTATAATTCACATTTTCTAAACTGCAACGACGTGAACTGCTCAACCAAGATACAGCTTCTATACCCTCAGGGACAGTCATAAATTTTTTTCGGCACTACATCTCATCTTTCCTAGTTTTAAAAGGCAATATAAGTCGTTAGATCCTAAAGCTGATTGGACAGCACTAGTAAAAATGTACATCGCAATGTGTATAACAAAATTATGCTACGTATATTGGATGTTCACACATGTTTAGCCAGCAAAGCCTATCGACCTACACCTACCACATTAAAAAATTATAAAGGCTTGCATGGACTACTCACTTCCAGATATTCAGCAATATGCTCACACGCATCCTCCAATTGGTTTTCATCTAGTATGACGTCGAACATTTCTGAAGGACATTGAGCTAATTTTTCTGCAGCGACCATTTGAACGGAAAGATTCTTAGCTTGTGATTTTCCCCGAGACTTAATCAACCGCTGAAGGACCTGAAAAAGATATGTATATAATTTCATTTTAAAAATATTCATACATTTATTCAGTGCAGAACAATACAAGCTTGAAAATGAAGAACAATGCGACAACGTATATATGTATGATTTATATTTAATAAATAATTTTTCTGCATGTTTTCAGTTAAAATTTTACGAAACATTAAATTACATACCTTACTGCTGCTTATTTTCAAATATACAACTGTGGGTGCCAGTGAGGTCTTAGCAAGTTGTGACGGATGATTAATGGTATCACAATCCAGCACTACTAATTGAAGAGTTCTGGCCAATTCAAATATTCGTTCAATTTCTTCTTGAACTTTAGTGAGACAATCTGATCGACTGGTCGAACGTTCCATTATTGCCCGTTTTGTAGGATTGTTCATAATCGATCGCTTTGCTAATGAAATATCTGCCATAACTCGGGTTATTATTATTCTACCTTCAAATCGATGTTTTAAAAAATCAAAGAGAGCTTTTTGCATCATATCTGTTACTTCATATCCTTTAAGACTGGGACCGACCAAAACTACAGGACGCATTGATGGTACCACATCATATGGCGAAGCCGTTTCCTGCTTCTTAAAAAAAGGCTTTCGTTTATCTTTATTTAATGAATTAGGAATTTGATTTTTTCCTTGCCGACCGCCACCTAAAGTGTCAGACTCATCGCCTGTAAATGTAAAAATAAAATATATATTAAATCTGTATGTAGAATATTACGTTTTCACTTGGTACACATAGATATTTCTTGTTTACTTCAATAAGATTTATCTGAATGATGAAAAAATGGTGAAAAAATTGTCGTGGTTATAGTCAATAAAAATAAAAAAAAAAAAACAACGCAAAGTAATCTGCAAAGGAATACTTGACACGAATGGAAGAAACAATAATTTAATAATTTTGTTTCTGATTTTAATATAAGATAAATCGATCCCAAATCGCATAGACGTGCTTTTCTATTCACAAAAAACAGTAAACAAAACACAACTGTGCTCTTGAGGCAAAACTGATTTCCTCCTAACTTTGTAATGGTACTGTGTAGGAATAGAGCATATTACCGTCTACGACAGAGCTGCAACCCGGTAGGGGAAATTATTGCTTTATTATAAGCATTATTGAACTATTTCATAATTGTTATGGAGAACATTTATCCTGTACATATTTTTTTTGGTAATTCTGCCTACCTACCGAGCATTGATCTTAAGAGAATGATATGCTTTTCAGCGAGTACGTTTTATTATTAAAATGTCTTATAATCAGTTTTTATAATTCATAAGACTTGCTGAGGTAAGGAAGTACAAAACGAAAAGGACATCGAAAGTAAATATTTATATTAAACTGCTTTAAAATGAGTACAGTCCGTACTTAAACAATTTCACTTACCGGGTGTTGGTGGCGTATTTCCGCGAATTGTATCCTGGCCCGTTCCCAAGTTAGCAGTTGAGGAGCCTTTTGTGCCGTATAACCGGGATGGTCTTGTCTGATTCTTTGTTGAGAAAAATATTAATGCAATGAACAGGTTAAAAGTGCTATAAAGAATGTTGGCAATGTACAGCCACTCACTTAACATGTCGCCAACATATTTTTTTTATGTTTTCTAGCATAGTTTTTGTTTCAAATAAATATGATTCTCATTTAATTATTAAAGATTGTAAAATTTTGCAGAACAAAAACATTTTGGTGATTTGGGTAATACCGATAGTCTTCCTTTTTTTGGATTTGATAGAAATGTTTTTCGATTTAGAGAAAGATCGTAATGGAAGAATGAACAAAGAAGCTTTAAAGAGTTTTAAAGTGCGCCATAATTCTTTTTATTCACCAGTTGTTGTACATCTCTAAAGGTGAAGCTATTTAAAATTACCTGCATACGAATATGTTCCAGTTTAACAGGGCTTGGTATGAACCCAACATCGCAGCCCTCTTTAACTAGCCTTCCGATCCACCAATTATTGTCGTATTTTTCTTTGATATGAAGAAAATCTCTCATTTCAAAGGACACTGCACTCCCTTGAACTGGAGAGTCGTCGTCAATTGTAGCATCATAAGCCACATTTGTTCGAACAGCAAAAGCAACGGGTTTCCCCTAATACGAGTATTTATTAGAAACGCACAATTTAATATATCCACTTCTTACCCTCGCTTTTTCTAGTTGGCTTAAAGCATGGCGTTCTCTTTCTCTTCGTAGCGTTTCTTTTTCATCATCAAGCGACAGATCGGACGATGGTTGAGAATAATTCGAATCAGCGGAACTCTACAATGAATAAAGTTTAATTTTTAATCCTTTTAATACAATTACAGTTATTTCATATACAATAGTACTATCTTAACCCTAACACATAGACATTGAACTTGAAATAACAATTGCACATGATAACGTGTACAACGCTTTTATAGAATAAGTGAAGATCGCATTAAATACACGTAAAAGCGTTGCACACGATTGGGAGGCTTAACACGGCACTTCTTCTCATCTTCTTATTATGGTCTTAACTAGTATTGGGTCGAGTTTCTTCCTATAAGCCACGGAGGAGAAAGTCTCACAGTATGGCGAGCAAATTACATGCAAAAGTATAATCATTGAAAATTGCTAGGCGTCAACTATTCTACGGTTATGTTCGCAGTTATGGTGCAAAAGGGAAAAGCAGATACAAATTCTGACTAAAAGAGATCCACTAGACATAACCAGAGTGAGATTAATGAAGTGGCAGCTTTATCAAGAACAATTGCTCATCAGCATCTTTACAGCTGGGATACGGCTCGAGGTTCTCAAGGAAAATGTCGAGCAAAAGGAAAAAATCGTTTCTCAAGTGTGGCTCTACCTGCTTTGGTTTGTACTTCAAAACGGTGCATAACTCATTTACTGCGTTTCGGATTTCAATACGACTACTGGTTTTGGCTAACTTTGAAAAATTTAGCCTTGCATTCATAGATCTGCTGCTCCATAGATAGGTGGTGTTGTTCCTTCACCAAGCTGGGTTGATAAAAGTGGGTTCTAACTTTGGTAGTAGACAAGTTCGCCTGGAAGTCCGGCAATAGAGTTTTCACCCTAAGCTTGCTTTGCGATGAGAGGCAGTGTGTTTGTAGCTGGCTGAGGTAGTCTGCTTGGTTTTCTGAAGCGGACAAAATATATAGGATACATAAAACAAAAAAAAAAAAAAATACCTACGTGAATAACATAAAACAAATACATAATGTTTTTTATATTTATTACACAAGTATTACCATGTACTGAGTTTTTCTTATATATAGAAAACGAGCACAGAGACACAGCATATTTAAAACATTCATAAAGAATTAAAAAATTCTTAATAAATAAAAATAAATGAGCAATTAGCTTCTGATTTCTTCAGTTTTTAGGTCGAAGGCACAATCGCTATAGAGAATGGGGTTTTCTATCTAATTCCTTCGTATATTTCGATTGAATTCGATTAGGCTCATCTTGATTTAATATATGTCAGGCGATTTGTTCTCACCATCATCTAGAAGAAATGGTAGAAGTGGGACGTCCATATGCACCCGTTGGTGCTCATGGCGATCTTCGAATTAAATACCCATTCATAGTAAATGTTCTCCATATAGTTAGTGGGGACATTAACCTCAGACAACTTTCATTTACTGAAACAAAATTTGTATCTAACTGATCCATGTCATTATCTTTAAGAAAGCTGGAGTTGTTGTTATTTATAACATAATATTTTCATAAAGCAGCCGTCATATACAACCAATCATCTTCAACGAATTATTTCAATAATCAAATGGCGCTCTCACAAAACAAATCATATTGTCAACTATAGTACCGTTATCTTATGCATTCCTTGTATTATAATATTTAAAGGTCAATCGGGATAGCCCCTCTCCAGACGAGATATAAACATTTTAGAGAAGTTGGTTAAAATCCACAATTTAGCTTTCACACTGGTTAAATAGTTATAACCTTTTAGTTTCCAATAAAAAATACATCAATAGTTATTTTGGCGGCCGGGGTAGCCGAGTGGTTAGCATTGCGTACTGACATTCCGAAGGTTCGGGTTCATATCCCGGTGCCACTAATACCCAAAAGTTATGGAGTATATTTCTGAAATGAAAAAAGACTCCTCATAAAACACCATCCGCCATTCGGAGGCGGCTTAGTATAAATTGTAGGTGCCTCCATTTGTTGGAAAAAAACATCAAGACGCAAAACCATAAATTGGAGGAGGAGCTCGGCCGAAAAATCGCTTCACCGGTTGCAAAGCGCCAATTATATATTATATATAGTTATTAATAACTACATATACGCAAAAAAATATCCAACTGGAAATTCAGTTGCTAGAGCCATTAAAAATAAATTAAATTAATATCGCAGATTTACAATACAAAACCACCATGTGAATAAAAACATTATGTTATTTCATTCTCACCTGTGTAAATAACTTGTTATATCCGCTCTGGTAGCCTAGACCAAATCTAGGTTCCCGAACAGTTGAAACCAATGGAGCATCTGCAGATGGCCCTCTCTGCACCATGGGCCTATCGGCCCTACAATCTTCTTCGAATGATATTTTGATATAGTGTACAAAACCGTCCGAAGGTTAAAATCTTAACCTTTCTGGCTCAAGGCAACGTACGGAGCACTACAAGTTTTTCGTTTAATTTTCAAATCAATGTTCAGTTTTAATTCGTATAGTTCAAGCGTAATTAATCACTACATTCGAAGATTTATGTATATAAATATGTGTATTTATGGCCAAATATTTGTATTTGCAATTATGATTTTAAGGTGTAACTGGCTTCAGCTCATTAATCAACAAGCAATTCTCCTCGTAATGCTCTGAGAAGTAACGATAAATTTCATGTTAATCAAAAAATTTCAAATATTTGGAAATCCTAACGTTATCAATATAAATTTTATTTCGTTTTCCCCGAAACGAAATTCTGTCGTTAATGTTAAATATTTAACATAGCATGTTAAACGTTTAAATTTAAATGCGTTGACAATGCTATGAACCATTTAAAATATGAACTCGTTTAGTCAACAATGGTTATCGTTAATAGTGTAACGCTTGAGGCTACACAATGAAACATATTTTTAGGAGCAGATGTTAGCGAAACTTTCACCGTCTGTTGAAAAAATTGAATAACAGTTCTAACAAAAAGTTACGTATATTTCGGCATATCTACAGTTTTCTTTACGCCATAATGCAATGGTGGATTCTTATAGTACTTGATGAAAAAGAGGAAATGCTGAAATACATATTTACGATATTTCGCTTTGTTTTCCAGATATTAAAAGAAAACATAAATACGGTAATAAACTACGGTTCAACACTAGCTACGCCTTGGTAGTTATATTTTCTTCGAACACTAGGTGTAAAATATACATATGTTAGACCAAATTTTAATTGCCGACCGGGAAATAGCAGAACCAAAAAAATATCATTAGACAAATTGGGGATCTTCGTTCTGTATTTTACACATTAAAATTGGCTCTGAAGCGATTTTCGCCAGAGTTCTTCTACCAATTTCTTCAAAATTAAAAAAAAAAAATTATAAACGCATTTCCGAACCAAGAGAATACCCTCACTGGAAATTTTTCCAATAACGTACATTTGTACGTCAAAACTCCTTTTGAATTCATTTTATTGGTGCACATAATTGAACAACAAATAATCAAGAAGTAATTTTAAATATTTCGTTTCGTTTAGAAATATTAACAGAAAAGAAAACCCGTTTGTTTGTTTTCGTAATTTGATAAGAATTTCGACAAATAGCCAATGAAGAGCTTTATCGTAGTGTCTGATGAATACGAATTCGTAAGTAACTCGAAAACGGACGAACTCGAAATAAACGGCCTTCGAATAGAACCAACGTCATGCTGACAATATGTAGCTCCAAAAACACTCTTCATGAATTAAATGATTTTGTAAAATAGTTTATGAAAGAACAGTCAATCTATTTCCATTAAAAAAATAAATACGCATAGTTTTCGCATTTACATACGTAAGGTATATAATTAAATATTAATGATATATTTCTGTAAAAGGCCCCTGCTTCAAAATATGTTCAATGAAACTTTTTAGGAAAAGTTTATTTAAATATATATTTGCTTTTTTCGATAAATCAATTATTTTATGGGAGATGTTAATACACCTTCGCCGAGACAGAAGGGCAACACAGAAATATGTTAACATTCTCCTTCACATATACATATACGCACGTACATACATATGTTTTCAAATATACACTTGTCATGAAATATGCTGGAGAATTTACTTTCTCCCTTTCGTTAGGTATCTTAAATTTTTATGCACAGCACTAAACACTTTTATTTTTATCATTAAATATTGTCCGTACTATGCGAAACAGAGAAATAGGGAATTTTAACTACAGAACTTGCTTTAGAAGTAGTAGTACAATATTAGCCAGTGCATTACGTACGTCCTAGATGCTTTATCGATTATCCCGATCCTTCAGAAAATTCGATATTTCTCGATATTTTTGTTGCAAGAATCATTACTAGCGTGTTCCCGTACTCACAAAATGTTACAAAATATTACTGAAGAGCATACTCATACACAGATCTCTCATAAAAAAGTGGATAAATGATGAAGTAATTCTGGTTATTTTTCGTATATGTAGATTTTCTGCCCTTTTTGTTTGTATTCCAAGTATTTGAAATACAATTTAATGGTGTGCTTGAATTGGATTGATTATATTATATCTATATTGTTTTTATATTTTAAAATTTGGCTGGATAATCGTCGAGATTATGGAACGCCAGAAAGGTATGAGAATAAATAAAAATTTAGATAAAAATATATCTATGTGAAATTGAATTTAAGTAAAATACGTCAGCTGAAAAAATGAGCTGTGTAAAAGGCAAATCAAACGAGAATTTTTGAGAATAAATATTGGCAATAAAAAAATTTAGATCATAGAAATATCCGGAGAAATCTATTTTGAGAAAAAAATTTGCCAATTTTTTATCGTCCTTTAAATATGTTCCAGCTGTCGATCGAGTGAAAAGTATAATATTGAATATGTTTGATAAATTTTCCTACGCAAAGCTTAACATTAAAAGCTAAAAATTAAAATTTCTGAAGAAAGGAGGAAGTGGGATTTAAAAAAACACTAGCTGATGATAATTTATTAATTTATTTTAAGTTTTAAATAAATATTACGTTATTCAAAATGCAAGATTTTGATTTGGAATCTTATTATTAACCTTATAAGATACTAATAGTATCAAAACACATATATTATGAGCAAGCAATTTATTAAAAAAATTATATTGATTTAAAGGTCTTTTCATTACGTTCACTTAATCTGCCTCAACCTACTATAGCTCATAAGAACGAAATTGCTGTGAATAGATATTTATGCCAAATAAATTATCAGTGGCACTTTAAACAAACAAAAATTAAACTACACCCTGGAAAACAATACACCAGGAATGAAAAACGAAAAAGTATTTAATAAAATTTCAATAGTTCGGTAGGCAAAAATATTTACAAAGGAAAAATTGTTAAAGTATAAATAAAAAACAATAGTTTGTAAGGAAAATTATGCATTATAAATAATTTCTTACCCTCCTAGCATTATTCGATGACTTATGAATTCCGGCTAAACGCAATCTCTTCATTATGTTTCACAAATGCAGGGAACTCGGTTGAAACTGAAAATAAGAAATATACAGATTAATACCTAGTATGTGCATGACAGTTTCTCAATATAATTTGATTAATCTATTTTTATACATTTTTTTTTTTTTGAGAAGGCTGTTGTATACTTTGATTTTTAGTAATAGTGTTCCGTGTTTTTTTATAACACCGTTTGCAAAGGGGTGTAGTTTTGCTTCTAGATATGCACGGCTAAAGGAGTGAAAGCCAATATGACGATAACTAGTTCAGGGTTTTTGGTGATAATGAGATATAACAAGAATATACATGAATAGTTTTGTTTCGTATCCTTAAAAAATTCCAGTATTATAAAATTTTGTAGAAAGTACAGGATTATAGAATTAACGTTCTGACAAAAAGGCTCCTGGGATTTTATTGTGGTCGGGCTGGTATTTAGCTAATTTTCAATATTGCGGTTATACAACAAAAGGAATATTTTTGTAAACATTATGTTCTTTGTTTTTCAGATATACGTATTTACTTTCCAAGCTATTTTTGATTGGATAGTAATATTTTTTTTCTTTGAGTTAAAGAACAAACGTCTCGCGATATGTACCTTGACGATATTATTATTGGTGAAAATATTTAAATTTACCTGTTCCAGATTAATAGAGCTTGGTATATGAATCCGAAATCGCTGCCCTGTTCAATTAACCTTCCTTGCCAGGAACTATTGTCGTCAATTGTAGCATCATAGGCAATATTAGTCCGAACTGCAAAAGCTACGGGTTTCCCCAATGCGTATATTTTATGAAAAAAATCACATTTTAAGATACCGATATCTTACCCTGATAATCATGGTGCACCATGATACTTTTTCTCTTCGAAGCTTTTCCTTTTCATCATCAGGTGACAGCCGGACGATGATTGAAAATAATTACAAGCAGGCTAGCTCACATTTTTATGTGGGTAATAAACAGTACTCTCAAATGGAGGAATACATGGCCTGAAATTTTGAAAGTAAAGAGGTAATCCAGTTCGATTTTCAAAAAAAAAAAAAAGAATTTTATGAAAAATCTTTCAAGGAAAATAAACTATTCATGTGCAAGTATTTCTTGCTATACTTAAGAAGACAGACCCCAGAGAAAACAAAAAACTGAGACGCAGTCATGTTGGCCGGATTTAAAGTGTGTTTTGTAATTTAAGGAACAAGTCCAAGATCTAAAGTTTCAGTCATCGCTCGGAAGGGTATTAATACTCCGAGTGTCCGAAGGCAACTTAGATTAAATTGTATGCCCTTCATTTGATTGCTCATATATAATGTTAAGCTCCTTAGCCCGTTAACCCAATCTCAGAGAGAAATGAAGAGCGACCATCTTAAAAAAGGAAGAAATTATGTTTAAGAGTTTATTGTGGTTTGGTGTTGAATGGCATTCGACCGATTCAAAAATGAACTTCTCAAACTATAAACTCCCTTATATCTTCGAATTTCTTCCCTCTTCTATGCTAAGAAGCCGTTGCGTTGTCAGTTCAGCCTTTGAAAAGACTATTAAGTAAAATTGATTCTAAAATCTAAGAAATTAAATTTTATATTGTGAAATACATACTTCGAAAATTGACTACAATCCCAATACTTCAATTGACGGGTAAACACTTGGCGAAGATACTTAGGTATCTCGTAATGTTATTGAATAATATTCAAAAATGTTTATGGAAAATATATATTGAAATTTTTAAAACTTTCTTAAATTCTTTGATATACACCTATTTGATTGAGAAATAATTCTATGGATTAATGGAATTATATTTTACTTATTTTATTTATATATATTAAGCTTTATAAAAATGTGAAATTACGACTTTCCAACAATCAATATCTTAAAAACTGTTTGTATGAAGCAACTACAGGACGGTGATCAATTTTTGTTTGTTGAAATTTTAGCCAAAAACAAGACAAATGTGTGCACATACATACGACGTTACAAACGAACAAATAGTAAAATTTGTCCCATCTTTTTATTTATTGTAATATATGTGTGCATGTATGTATGCACACATATATTTATTTACTTATATATATCTAGAGTATATATGTAGATATTATGTAGCAAAAACTTAAAATCGGATGATAAAAAATATTATTTTTCTTACCTTTGTTTATCCTACAACTTTGTATAATATTCAGGTTGCTGAACTGGCTTTTCACAATGAGCGCCAAAAATAAAATGCTCCCGTATATTGTAAAAGTAATGTATTTCGATTAATGCGTTGGGCTCATATGCCCAAAAATATTTCTTTTATACGTAACACTTAATATTCAGATGAACTTTGGAATCACACACTTTATTAATAAAAAATTAAAAATATATTTATTTGACATATTTTTGCAAGTACAAAACTATTTTGTCTGCTTAGTTTATTCGCGAAATGTCTTATTTATAATATTTACTTTTCTTTTCAGACGCATGGTCTTTATCTCTTAGAGTCTAACATACAGAAGAGCCAAAATTAAACTATTTGTGAAATATGTTGGCCGAGGCAATCACTTGCAACGGGATGAAGGGGACATTTGGCGACATTTTGTCATTAGAGTTCACGTCACAGTGTTCACTCTATAAAAAGAATAAGAAACAAAACATGAAAGAAACGATTTTATGCTTTTATTACCTTAAGAATTTATATTTAACTGACACTCAATTGGAATATTTTCTAGATGGGATGTTTCAATGCAAAATCTCTATATTCTGCCGCCGGGTAATACCCCAACATTTTGTATTCAAATTTGTAATTAAAAGCATTTGACTGTGACGTAAAAATCTAAGCATTCGTTGAATACAAAATGTCGGGATATTACCGGGCGGCCGAAGCAGCTGCCCACTCGTAAGGTCAGTGTTCGAGTCATGGTATGACTAGCGCCGGAGGCAGGTTAGAATAAATTGTAGGTCCCGCCTTTTTTTTCGAAAAACATCATGCTGCACATCACAAACGGGCGGAGGAGTTCGGCTGAAAACTGCTTCAGCGTTTACAAAGCGCTAATTATATAATTATATATATATATTAAATATGAACATATATATATATATACATATCTAAATCCAATAACCTGTATTGTCGTAGGTATATAAACTCCCCTTAGTCGTCTAATCAAACATTCAATTTAGTTTCAAGCAATAAATAAAAAATTAATACAATATTTGTTTTATACGAAGGAAACTAACCTCCTCCTCTTGGAGTCTTTTTAGAACACAATAGAGCGTCGATCATGTAAAAATTTTGATGTAGATGATGTCCAGAACGCCATTCACAAAATCTGGTCAGTTCAAAAGGAGGCTTCAAAGTTTAATAAGCAATTTTTGGTTCTTTGGGTACTCAATTTTCTGACGCGTTATAACCCTGTAATTGAAGACTAGCGGATCTACTTATATTTGAAATGACTACATTAGTAGATATGTTTGGAGAAAGAAATAGAGAATTAAACTTTCAAAGTTTTTTTCCAGATCTAATTTTTAAAATTATTTATAAACAAAATCAAAAAACAATATAACAGAAAATTCACCGTTCGGTCAACGTTGGCAAAGTTATGTGGATACTACTGAGAAAAAGTGTTAGAAATGAATAATAGCCTAGCAGCGACTGTAGTTATATGCAAAATTATTGCATACTTGTTGGCGTAAATTAAATTTATTATCGAAATTTCATTATCGATAATAAATTCATATATAAAATACATATGTACCCATTTCTTTAAATTAACAACGACTTTTGTTAGTGAAAGAACTATTTATTGAATATTACATGAAGTACAAGTATATCTCGCCTCTCAACTTCCTTTTTCTATTTTAGCATGGCAAGAACTGTTCCGCCTCCCCCTGTCACTACTCAGCTGATACAACCTATATTATTGCACCGCTATGTACTTACCGCTCGCTTACTTACATGTTTTTAATTATTTATATATATGAATATAGTTACATAAGTTGAGCTGTTAGTTCTCATATTCAGCGTAAGTAGAGAACTTTTACTTCACGAATATGCGTTTTATTCAACTTAACTCCTTAGGTCCGGTGTCAGCAAACTTGGCTCTTTTATTTACAATATCAAATTAATACTTTCTGGTTTGAACTGTAAATGGAATTTTGGAAGAGTTCAAATACATTTATATAAATTTGCACTACAAAGAGAGGCGTGCTGTGGCGTAAATAGGGGCACCTTAACTCTAACTCGAGTGTCAGCCAAACTTTTATCGATAATTGTCAGTTCTAGTTGATTACGTTATTAGTTTGCGATCTTTAGCTCAGTGTGATATCAAAACATCAATATGTTCAGGAATTTATTCGGCAAAATTTTAAGGCATGACTTGGTATGTAATATGTGCCTTTTTGTGGCTAGCTTACAAATAATTATAAATGCATATACATAACAAAAAGGTGATGAATCGTAATAGTGTCATTTATATACATGCTGGTCAAAAATATTTGTTACTTTCACATTTTAGCGTACTCTAGCCAATAGCTTTTACATTCAATCTTCCTTTCGGTAATGCAAACCAAAATTATTTAGATATATTAAAATATGCTTACCATCTAAATCTTAGAATGTATTCGTATAAGCAGTTGTGGATCTTGCAATCATAGGAACATTAATATATTGGCTTCTAGCAAGTATAGTGAGAAAACTGTTATAAAGACTTACACATGTATTTCAGCTTTTACATCCTTTTGTATGCATATTCCTTAGCTTCCCTTTTAACTCCTAATCGCTTTTTTGAATGCCCATCATTATTCCAGCGGCAATGAAAATGGCAAATCTGACATAACAGCCAACCATATTTGGACTTCCTGGCTAAGTCGATCTTTCCCATTCCATTTGTGTAGACCCTCAAATGCTATACCAGATTTTACGTTCTTTAAATGACCGCTGTAGTATATGTATACCAAAAGAATGTGCCCTTTCCATATTTCGTCCATCGCATTTTTGGGATGGCGGTGATATTACATTTATTCTCTAACTAAAACTTTAAAGGCTTTACATTTGTTTTTAGAAATATACTTACTAAATTATCAATAGCACTAATTTCTGGTCAATATTTCTAGATAGTTCCGTCACCAAAAAGGAATATTTCCTTGATTCCAATGGTTATTGAACAGACGGGTAGAGGCGAACGCGCATACGACATATTCTCAAGATTATTAAAAGAGCGTATTGTGTGCGTAATGGGACCAATACATGACGATTTGAGCTCTTTGGTGGTTGCGCAACTACTGTTTTTACAATCGGAAAATTTCTCAAAACCGATACATATGTACATTAATTCTCCAGGTGGAGTTGTAACTGCGGGATTAGCCATATACGACACAATGCAATACGTCAAACCACCAATTTCTACATGGTGTGTGGGTCAAGCGTGTTCTATGGGATCATTGCTTTTAGCGGCTGGAACCTCAGGAATGAGATATTCTCTACCTAATGCTCGAATCATGATACATCAACCTTCTGGTGGAGCTCAGGTAATTATTACGACTTTTAAAATTTAGAAAATAAAAGACTTTAGATTCATTAAATTAATTACATTAAATCTATCAGAAAAAGTCTAACAATAGCTGAAACAAAATATTTTTTTCATACACAGGGACAAGCGACGGACATTCAAATTCAAGCGGAAGAAATAATAAAGCTAAAGAAGCAGCTTATAAATATATATGCAAAACACACAAAACAGAGCTTTGACACACTTCAACAAAGTATGGAACGTGATAACTTTATGGCACCTGAAGAAGCGAAAAAAATGGGTATGATTGACCATGTTCTCGAACATCCTCCTCAAACGGAAAATGATGAAGTAGCCAAAAACCAAAAGCTACTTAGAGAAAACGAAGTTGCGGAAAATGCAGGTCGTTAAGTTTTAATAAGGATATTCTCAAGCCAACCTAATCTTTGAATATAATCGAGAAACCCCTTTTTGTTAAATAGCAAAAAAGTCTTTCAAAGGAAAAGCGAATTTAAAGACGGTGAAACTGTCTCACCAGCTAAATATTATTTTTATCAATTCGCTAAGTGAACGAAAAATTGTTCGGTCGATATTGCTACCACAGCAGCAATATTAGATTTTGATACTAATAATAAATACTGAGGTTTTTGGAATATGAAACAGTTTTATTTTATTGTGGGAAACCAGTTATTTCTCGCGGATTTACTATGAGAAGCCCACATAGCTTTATTCTCCACGAAAATTCAACGCCGACCATAGTTGACGAATAAATACAGGTAAGAACTCTACATAAAGTCTGAGAATTCTCATAATTAGCAAGCCTAGATTATTGCATTGTGACAGCAACCAAAACACCGCACTGAGGGTTGTGTTAGAAATTCCCTTAAACACCATTAAAGAGTATAATAACATTTATTGTAGAAAGCATGGGTCGACAGTTGTTAGAAGCAAAATTGCATCCCAGGGGCATCAGAATGGCACATGATTCACACACGGTTCATTAAACAAAAGATAGTCTAACCTCAATTAATTTAACCCATGCAACAGCACGTTTTTGTGTTCCCCGTTAGCTGAATTCGATGACAATCTCATTTTGTGAGTATATTTATTTCCAGTTAAAGTACTAAATACCTCAAGAAAATTAATACTGCTCCGATAATTAGTAAATCTAATTGTAATTGAAATAAAATCGTAAATAATATAAAAATCACCTTTTGAGTTTGTTCAATACAGTGTTAAGGAAAGAACTCGAAGAACCATGGACAGCTATTTGCTCCGAAATATAAAAAATAAGCAATGTTATTTACGTTTCAATCGATTGTGTATCAGATATACGAGCGTAGCTTTCTCTCTCTCTCTCTCTTTCTGTCCTTACCGCTGCGTATCTGACCTCTCAACATCCATTTGATCGTTTGAAAGTAACGATTTCGTAACACATTCACCTGTTCACTCGTCAAATCCAGCTTATATAAAGAATTCATACTTCAAATTTAAAAGAACGGTTATCACGAAAGTATTAAAGTATTTTCTATATTCCATTATATAAAAAGAAATGACTAAATAATAAATTTATATATATAAGAAAAATTTATTAATTTCATTCATTTAGCATCGATGGCATTTATTTACAAAATTATTGCATACTTTGTGGCACATATCATTTTCCTTAAAACTATTTTCCTAAGAACGAAAAGTACCAAAGATGGTTTGCCTTGATATTCTTATTATGGATAAAATAGACAGTGGAGTGGGTAAGTATCATATAAATAGTAAAAAATTGTATGTCGCTTGATGTCAGATTTTTCCCAGCCTATATACTACCAAAGAAGATATGAAATTTTACGAAAAAGTGCTAGAATCTTATATAAAGTTCATTTGATAGCAAAAAGATATCTTATAAAATTTACTGAAAACTTATGCATAAATCAATAGAAAATGAAAGCAAAGAAAGAAAGGATCTTTGGTTTATTTATGTGTTTTATGTTTTTCTTTTTTTATAACACCTTACTATTACCTTTTACACATATATGTACATACATATGTATTTATTGTTTCATAAACAACCACCATCATTTCATAAACATTTTTGTTTCGAAGCATATCTTTATCAGGTTCTTCATTAACATGCGCATTGTTGCCCTGATTTTGACACCAACTTCAATGCGTTTTCAAATGAGTACAAGTTCTGAATTCAGTTTACCTCTTAGTATTCAGTAACCAGGTAAGCTTACCATTAGAGTTTGGTTCGGGTTTAAGCATATCAATGATATAAAACAAAGTAAATATTTTTTAGATAAATGCACATCGAACCTGGAACTCGACAATTCTGCCAATTTCAAACCCATACATACATATGTATGTATTTTTGAAAATTTATTTTGATCCGGTAACCACATTAGCAAAATTAGATATAACCTGGAATATTCTAATAACAAATCTGGTATATACAAAACTTTAAATTTTTTAGTCGATTAGACTTTTACAAGAGTATAAATATAAGCCAATTGGCGCTCAAGCGATTTCCGGCCGATCTTCTCCACCGATTTACGGTATGCGTCTTGAACCCACGTTTCGAGGATTCCTCCATAAATAATGCTTCAGTAACTTTTAACCTATAGGTATATGTATATACATGTGCTTTTATTTAACTAAAAATGCAATTTTATTCCCACGATTTTCAATTTCTGGCAAAATCACCCTTAAAACAGTCTTATTTACATTTCCTTTTCACTACCTTTGCACTTAAACCGAAAGCTTTTTAGTTGAGCTCAACTTAGGGTTAACAGTTACTTCAATAGAAGATTTGTGGTTGTAATTTTTTTATATTTTGGAAGTAAACAACAGTAGGAAAGCAAAATAAAGAGTGTAAAATTAAAGTAATAATGTATAAAAAAAAGACTGAACAAGTTGCTCACAAATGTGTGGTTCGCCTTTTCGACGATTCTGATGTCCTTGACTATGAGTTTTTGGTTTGTATTAAGTGATTTTATATTGTATATATACAAGGATATTATTCTGAAGTATTTGCTAAGCTTCATAAAAAAATTAGATTTCAATAAACGCATAGCTTTTTCATATGTAAATATGCATGCACGTATGTAGGTGTAGTCAACTTGAAGGACATCCAATTTTTTATTTAGTAAAAGTACTTAACATATAGTCATGTATTTATGTATGTATAAGTGTAACTGCATACTAGTTACATACATACATGTGTGAATATTTGTGGGAGATTTGATATTTAGGTAGTTAGTTCCATTGACTATCCTATGATGGACATCCATTTCCAGAAAGTGGATCCTGAATCGGTCTATTTGAAAAAAGAACAATAGCTCGTATTGCTGGAGAATCGGTATGTACAGTAGCTCACAGCCAAAGTGATGCAGCTATGTAAGAAATAGTATAATAAGTTTTATTTCAAAATTAAATAAATTTTCCAAAAAACATGAATGCCAGTTAATAGCGGCAAATATACACAATTTTTGCTGAAGTTAGTTCAGCTAGACGTACAAAAAAGTGCTCCGAAGGAACACAGATGTCGAGGCTGGACAATGACAGAGCTTGTGCTCAATAGACTCGTCCCCTTCTTCGTCCCTCCAGCTGCGTCAAAAAACATTAGAGTGACAGCCCATTATTTTCATGTGAAACCCCATTACTTGTTAGTACACCTTCCATTATGCTACGGAAAACCCGGTCCAGAAAAATCTTCGCGTTTAGTTTTGGCAATAGCCGCATGGTTATGTTTGCATTTTCAACAAGGCCATGAATTTAAGATAGTATTTCCAGGTGTTAATAACCATTTTTGTGATGGTGCAGTAATCACGCAATCGATAGTGACGAACTTAATTGTCGAATATAAAATAGATAGCCAATCAATCCTTAATTACCGTTATAAAAGAGATAATTATAAATCCTATTCATCTTCATCGATATTGGAGAGGATATTTTTCGATCGGTGGGTAGGATCACAGTGGGTTCGCTACCCTTGTCAATGAATATGTTTCTAAAACCAAATAAAAGTTTCTTATTAAAAATTCACCCGCCATTCAGGTCTAAAGCCCAAAATAGTAGATCTCTCGACTTTCCACTTGGTGGAAATTCGCTTATACATATCGAGACAAAGTTTTAATACCCTTTCAGTTTCTGTTGAGTTTAAAAAGATTTTAATATTTTTTTTGTGATATTTCCATTTAGGAGAAACACAAAGGAGATTATCTCATTGACCAGCTATGCAAACAATTAAATATAAAGGAGAAGGACTATTTTGGTTTGCGATTCATCGATTCAGCGAAACAAAGGGTAGGAATGCAAAAAAGCATTATTTCTGAGAAGTTAAGTAACTAAAATGCAAAATGTTTAAACACTTTACAGCAATGGTTAGATTTAGGAAAGCCTATAATTAAGCAATGCAAAGGTATGTGCGTAGATTACAAAACTTAATTAGTAATAATAATTATAATAATAAAGAAAAATTTCAGAACCAATAATCTTCACGTTTCGAGTAAAATTTTATCCAGCCAACCCATTTCGCCTGAATGCAAATGTCCGAATTTTGTTGTATAAGCAATTGAAGCGCGATTTAAGCCATGGTCGCCTTTATTGTTCATGCGATGAGATTGTGATGTTGGGAGTCCTAATTGTTCAAGGTATGCTATTTCTTATTATTTCACATATCGTAATGATATTTTACCTCTTTTGAATACGATTAGCCATATCACCTTGGCTACATAATTAATTAAAATTTTGTTTTTGCAGAAAAATTCGGAGACTATAATGAAGGAATGCACACTGACGATTACGTATCTAATATACAGTTTTCGGCTCGGCAAACCGACACAATCGAAAAGAAAATCATCGCAAGGCATAAAGAACGTAAACCTGGACAAGATCCATTAGCGGTCATAAACGAGTTTTTGGGTATAGCGTGCCGTCTGGAAGCATATGGTATTGAACCGCATTGTGTTAAGGATCACAATGGTACACAAATGTATATAGGAATCAACTTTTTCGGTGTGAGCACATTTATTGCTGGCAAGCGATCACAACATTTCCGGTGGAGTGAAATAAGAAAATTGAGTTTCGAAGGCAGAATGTTCATTGCGCATTTAAGCTATACCGATGCAAGCAGAGAAGTTGTGAGTAGTTTTGTAGCAGATGTACTACAGAGTGTACTTCTAAGTTTTTTATTTTTAATATAAATTGATTTGAAAAATAAGTAATTTTAGTTTGAGTACTCTTTTCATTGAAAAGATATAGAAAAACGTTTTAATAAAAATACATATTTATAATTATATTGAATTACTTCTTTAGCATAATATTTGAATAATTTTTATTCAGAAAAAATATACAATTGGATTTAAATGCGCAACGGGAGCGGCATGTAGGTACCTATGGAGATGTGCAATTGAACATATGCTCTTTTTTACGTAAGTACTACTAATTAAGTAAGTATTAACAAACGAAACTAACTGAAATTGATTTGTTTTACTTTGTAATAATAACTCTAATATATTATTAAAACTCTCATTTAATTGTATGTATGTATTCGCTGCACTATACATAAAAATTTTAAACATTTCTTAAAGGAAACAACAGTAGGTCAGTTATTAGCAGTACGAACCATGGGTTCGAGTTCTGGCTTGTGGCGAAAAATAAGCCGAAAATCGCTTTTCTGGATTTATATTTATTTCGGTTAAATATGCATAGTATATTTTTCAGATTTCAAGTAAAAAAATGCATCGTAAGCTAATCCATTGTATGTAAATCAAATAAACTATCTTTTTTCTATTATATTATAAACATTTTTTTTCTAAAGGGCAGTACTCTCCAATGTTATATTTAGAAAAAGTTCCGACGCTTCATCTAACGATGCATTTCCAATTTTTGCAATATGCGGAGAGGTTATTGTTGACGACGACGAACCCCTACCTGGAATTTACCACAGTTTTTAGTTGTATTCTTCTGCAAAAACTTCCATTCTTTTACAAAGGAAGCCAACCTCGTAAAAAAATGTCAGTACTACAATACATAACAGTTGAATTGGGATTTTAATAAAAACAGTAGTGTATTGAAATTATGAAAACAAAATATCACAAAGGTCGGAAAATCCCATTTTTTAATACCAAAAAAATAAAAGGTTGCCTTATTATATAAATTCAATAAGTATTTTTTTTTATGTTATGTTTTGAAAATAATTACAGCGCTTTTTACGAGGTTGTTCCGAAGGTTATTAATTATTTAAAAACTATAAACTTAATTACATAACTATATAGTTATACTTACTTTTACTGTGTTGAAAATGTCTTTCGTTAAGTATAGAATTGTTTGAAAAATTGCTGATTAAAGGTAATCTGCTGTATGTTTCATTTGACCTTTCCGTTTTCTTTTCGCGACTCATGTTCTTGCACTTGTTTTCATTAGCAACGATTTTATTTTCTGCAGAATCTTTGTTTGAACGAATAACAAATGTTCTTTCCGATTTAATTTTATTATAATGAACACCATTATTCGCTTCCAAAACCTTATTACCGTCTAAATAAACAATAAAAAAAATTTTAATTAATATAAAAAAACCAAGAAGTTTAAAATAAACTATACTCTTTAAAAGTTATAACTATATATGTAATACATTAAATATTTTATATACAGAGCTAGTTTCAGGCTCTGTTCGGTGAAATGTCGAGATTGTGATCTCCCGATGCAAATTTACTGAGTATTTTGGCAGTAGAAATTAGTAACAATTGTTATCTCATCTAACGGGACTATTATCCAGTAACTCTGTCAATGATTAAATTAAATTTGTTAACAATACATATACTTTACATATCAAAGGATCAACGAAATTTTCAGCCCATGCTGAATCTCGATGTTTTCAACTAAATAAAGGGACCTACAGTTTGTTCTAAGCCGCATCTGAACGGTCGATGGATGTCAGAAATTACATCGGATGGCTTGACATTTTTTGCGGATGAGCGAATGTGGATGGTTTAAGGACCAGAACTCGAAACCAGGCATTTCAGCTTCCTAGCTAACCTCTCGGCTATTGCGGCCGCCAGACCATAAACATTTGTAACGAACGATTGTGTCAATCAACTGGCTATTATACACATAACTTAAAGCTTGGACACTTCAATCTTCAGCTGACCTATACATATAGAGTACAAAAGACTAAGCGTCCAAGGATCTAACTCGTATCTTACGAATGGTGGCGGATATTAACTATTAATAACTAAATGATGTTGTGTTTGCAATTATTAATTAGTATCATACCATATTATTGTAGATATGTATATAGTTCTCTTATATTAAGTATGTATATATTTCTCTCATTTTAGGCTTCCTAATTGCCGTAATGCCCGCGTTAAATACCGTGGCGGAATATTCTCCCGAGGTGCTAAATTTAAATACACTGGCCGTACCGAGCGAGAAATTTTATCTGAAGTCATCCATTCATCGAGCTTTCCATCCGAAGACAATAAATTAGCAGCTGATAAGAAGTCCAACAGTGTTCCAGTAACTCCATCTAGTCCAAATGGTGCATCAACGCATATTAGTAAGTAATTAATTTAATATACACGTAACCAAAAGAAATATTTTTTTATCAGAGGTTTCTTAAATGATACACAAGTTTGTGCTTGAAATTACCAAACAGTTTCTTGTAAAAACAGATTTTTATATATGTACATAGTTTGCATTTGAAAGTTCGGAAAATTCGGATTTCAGCCTAACCTTTTCTCAGTTAGACTGATAATCACGCTTTTAGTACGGAGGTACTTTGCAACTTCTAATGAAGATAACTTTATAGGGGTTTCCTTGTTCAAGCAGTGTTTGTCGTTCAGAGATGTTGAATCGCCTTTGGTTGAACATTAGTCATGGTGCACACATGACGAATATGCTCTTCGTGCAGACAGATCATGTATATATTACTCAGTAGTGGGGAAGACTACTAAAGGTTAAAGGCTACACCGACTTCTCCTGTTACCGATAGCTCGTCCATTTCTGAGTGGGACTTGACAGCAGTTCCATCTCCGAAATTGGTTACCATTGGTGCGCACCTGGTGGTGAAGATGAAGTGTTTACAACGCTCTGATTAAAGCCCTCTTCACAGAGTTCGTCAGTATGGCAAAACCACTCACGGCCACTTACCGCCCCTTTATATGTGCCTAACCTTATTTAATTAGACGAAAGATTTTGCAAACAGTTCTAAACGGCACTGGGTATCATAATTTTATACACCATGCGTATACGAATATTTTTGTTGTATTTAATGATTACAACTAAAATAATTTAACTATGCAATATTTCAGGATACAACAGTTTGCCTCGAACAGGAATACCCTGTGCTGATACGGACACTTATGATCTCAACCACTTTTTAATGGATTTCACAGATGTTCCGGAAATGGAAAATGATTATGTAATACCAACGCAATTACTCCGAAATTTCTGCAGTAACGAAGCGCAAACTGAATTTACCCACGATAAGGCAATGATACCGTTACCAACTTCTATACCTCACAACGCTAGTTCTTTTAGTAACGTGCTAACAAAATCAGCTATGAATACAAACACTGACCGATCTTATAAGGCTATGAACAGAAAAAATCTTCGCAAGTTTCGCATACTACGATATTTCTTTCCTTCCCTAGTTTTCGTAATATTATTTATGATACTGTTAGCTTTTACCATTTTTGAATCAAAAATAGAAATTTTTAACTTCATCCGAAACGCACCTGAGATTATCATTTTACGGGATGAATATTATGAACCTTTAAAAAAAATGTTCAGTAAAGTAGTAATTTACAATTAAAAAAAATAACACGGTTAAAATTAGTGAGAAATAAATACTTCCATAAGGCATGAGCATTTAATATTTATTCATCCTATTTAATTACTAAGCACTACTCGCCATTAATAGCATAAATACATATGTTTATACGAGTATATGACAGCTTCCGAAATAAATTTAAAAAAATCCTCTTCGATATAAATACATATGTATATATTTTTAACTGCATTATTGAGAGGTAAGTTACCAACTGTCATACACTACATTCACTAAAACCAATCAGAGGCAAGAACATTTTTTGCTTGTTTAAAACTATTTGAAAAGAGGAAGTCGGAGAAGTCAATAGTTCTCGAATGGATATCGAATGGTTCAACCAACATCCAAAATTTTAGTAAATTAGCCTTTCAAATTGCGGTCGCTCCTAAGCAGGGGGTTTCAACATCTCATAAAAAAACATCACATTAATAAGAAACATTAAAACTTGGTGCCGTATCAACCAATAGTTGCGTAAAGTTTCCTCAAACGCTTTCATACCTGAAGCAATTTCGTCAGTAAATGCTACGGCAAAACTTCCAAATACAATGAGCACGTTTATATGTATGTGACAGTGGAAGAACTCACCCGAATTTGTTGTGCTCGAAAATTGGGTTTTTCTCGTAATGTTGTCATCGGAAACATATTTGAAAATTACATATTTGAAAATTACTAGTTCCTTGCTTAACAATCTTGTAGCGTTCAGTTTACTCGGAGCTGTATTCAAGCAAATCTCATATATGGCATTTTGAATGGTATCTTTTTTCACTCGGAATATTTTCCGGCTGGTATGCTGAACATCAAAACATTCATCGTAATCTGTAGGAGCAGCCGAATTGCAGATCATAGTTTTTGTTTTAGAAAATAGTAAGACGGAATGAGACGATGGTTTAAACAAGTTTTTATACTGCACATTTTGCGATTTCTTACTGCTGGGTCTCTTAAAATTCTGAACCACAATACTGCTAGGTTTACATATTGAATACATTTTGAGAGAGCAGCAAGTAGAAGGCAAATCATTTTTATCACTACTAACTACATATAACAATACATCATCCAAGCTGTTTACATGTTCTCTAGGTGTATTTAGTTTAAGTAATGGTGCTGCGTCATTTCCATCGTTTATCATGAACAAAACCGAATCGACGCTTTTAAACTCATAGGCGGAGGCAAAACAATTACAATATTTATTTCGAAAGTAATCTTGGCTATGAATTTTAACTATTTTAGCCGTTGAATGCTTATGTGAGACTAAAACTTGATCGGATTCAAATAAATTGTGAGGGTATTCGATTCTCGAGGTGTTGGTTTTTGTCATTGCAATTGGTTTATTTTTCACATTCAAAATTGTATTGCAATTATAATTGAATTTTTCTTTAGATTTTATATTGTTTACTTTTTTAAAATTCATACCAAATTCATTGCAACAATTTGTCGGTTCAACATTTAAAGTAACTGAATGGTTAGTACCAATTTGAGTTAATCCACCCTGCATTGAAGAATTCACCGCTAACAGTATAAGGGAACTGCGTCTAGAAGTTGTATTAAAATTTGTAATATTTTTTCTAGTGGCATTTCTTTGTGGACAAAACGATAGCGTGTGCTTTGAGTAGTCGTTATATGAAATAGTCATATCAGAGAAAGTGTATATTTTCCAATTATATTTCTCTGTTTCATTGCGAAATTTTTCAAAAACACGTATTTTCTTGTTAGTCTGTTTATGAAGACTAGGCGATAAATTTAACTCAGTGTATGAATCGCATTGCACTTTACTTCCTTCGCTTCTATCGCTTCTTCCTTGCAGGTCAAACCGAGACGATATTTTGCTTAAAGCGCATAAATTTAAATCTATGTTTTCGAAAATATTGAAAATTTTGGGAAAACAATTGAAATACTTTTTTTGAAAGAAGATGGCTTCTTTCTCATCTCTCTCATCTCGTAGTGAAAAAAAACTGTTCAAATTCGCTTCATTTTGGTTGCTTATTATTTTCCCATTATGCGCTATTTTATCGTGACTTGGAATATTTGGCACAGAAAAAAGTTTGGTTTCAAAAGCAACTTTAGCGCTGTGAGCGTCACTTGGTTGATTATATTCCTTATTTGCGAAAACACTTATTTCGCTTTTGTGTGCCATATTTTCTCGTTGAGCAGGTGAGTGAAACACAAATTTTGAATTGCAATATATTTTGTAATGCTTATCAATTTCTTCAGAATTCTTCACACTGTCGTCTCCTCTTTGTATAACATATGTTGAATCAATACCGTAAATGACAACATTTTGAATGTTCTCCTTTGTTGGAACGTAATTTCTGTTAGCTTGTCTTATTTGTATACTAAAACCTAAATCTCCAGATTTGCTTTTTCTTGGATTATAACCTGTAATCATACAGATATATACATACATACATATAAATTATTTTAAAATTTTACTATTTTTTATTTAGAAAATAGCCTACCCAATACGGTTTGATTTGATTTTTGGCTGATTTTAGTTGCTGAATAAAAATATAAGCATTGCTCATTTGCTTTCTTGGAGTAACACAACTTTTCAGGAACAATACCAGAGCTGCTTTTAGTGGCTATTGGTAGCTTAACGGCACTGTTAAAGTTTACAGCAGTTAATGTTGGTTTCCATTTAATGATATTCAGTATGCTCTCAAAACTGTTAGGTTCTGCGTTCACAGTTGTTGCTTGGATAACCGGTATTTTATCCTGAAATCGCAAATTCGAAGCAAACGTGAGATCACTATTATACTCAGATGTGGTTTTTTGTAAATATTTTGTATCGTTATATTTAATTTTGCAAATATCCCATGAACTATTTTCCATTGCATCCTCAAAAGACAAAAAATGCGATTTAACAGACGTTGTGCTGTCGGTGCATAGCTGGTGAAATGATTCATGAGCACTGGCAACAGCTCTAAACTTGGTCTGGTTTGCATCCACTTCCGGTTTTGTGGTTATTATATATTTACGTTCTTTGTTAATTTTATTTTTACTATTATCGGACATGGATTCAACAATTTTTCTGTGCGAAATCAAATCAAGCTCCTCATTTTTTGTTTCAAAAAGTGGACGAACCTGATTTTTTATGTGCAAAAAACATTCAGCATGTTTATTGAGCAAATTTGCATTACTTCCAATAGACTTCGCAAAACATTCTTTGGTGTTTAAGCTCGTTTTGACTAACTTTTTCCTAACTAGAGAATTATTTGAAACAATAATTTTTTTTATTATGTTTGGAGCACTATTTTTTAAGTACTGCAAATTATTTGAGTATGATAAATCACTTTCAACATTTTCGAAACAGTTTCTTTTTAAAATACCCACAGCGCAAAGCTGACATCCTGCTCCGTTAACTTGCATATTTGTTTTGAACTGCGTGTCCAGAAACTTATTTATTTTATTATTATTATTTGAAACTGAACTTTCATATAACGATAAATTACATTCAGCATTTTCGAAGCTGCAACTGTTTCTATTTAAAATATCCACGGCGCAAGGTTGACTTTCTCGTATGTTAGCGTTGAAATTTGTTTTAAACTGAGCATCTCGTAATTTGTTTGATCTGCTAGAAATATTAATTTCTTCTGATATATTTAGGCTATTGTTATTAACATCCTGAGAATTGTTTGAAATTGAACTTTCATATAGTGATAAATCACTTTCAGCATTTTCGAAGCTGTAGCTGTTTCTTTTTAAAATATCCTCGGTGCAAGCTTGACTTCCTCGTGTGTTGGCGTTTAAATTTTTTTGGAACTTATTCGATTTACAAGAAAAATTAATTTCGTTTGATATATTTAGGCTGTTTTTAACATCCTGAGAATCGTTTGAAATTGAACTTTCATATAGCGATAAATTACATTCAGCATTTTCGAAGCTGCAACTGTTTCTATTTAAAATATCCACGGCGCAAGGTTGACTTTCTCGTATGTTGGCGTTGAAATTTGTTTTAAACTGATCATCTCGAAATTTGTTTGATCTGCTAGAAAAATTAATTTCTTCTGATATATTTAGGCTATTGTTATTAACATCCTGAGAATTGTTTGAAATTGAACTTTCATATAGTGATAAATCACTTTCAGCATTTTCGAAGCTGTGGCTGTTTCTTTCTAAAATATTCACGCTACATTCTCGATTTACTCTTACGTTCAGCGTGGTATTATCTTCTGAATATTGTTCTCTTCTTAAGTTATGATTTTTAGGTACTGAGCATAGGCGTGTAGACTGATGTGAACCACATCGTTTTAAGGAATATTTTACATTGTTGCAAAATTTCGAAGCTCTGTTTTCTTGTTTAAGACATTTTTCCACATATTCCTCCACACATCCATTTAGCGCATCTACATTTTTTACTTTAACAGCATTGTTAGAAGTATACGATAATTGTCGTGGGAAAAAATAATTACGTTTACAGCGATTATGAAATTCGTCATTTTCTTTATTTAACACTTGCAATTTATACGCAATATGATTTGAAACATTCGTTGTTTTTATTTTATTTGAAATATAACGAAAGTAAGTTTCACTATATACAAACACATTATTGAAAATATTTTTAACAGAATGAGATATTTTACAGCCATATTTTTTATGGTCTCTTTGTTCCGTGATGCTTATTTTTATTACTAAAAATAAATGCAATATTAAAATAAAATTAATCAGTGCAGTGTGCGATCAATACTGACTGATTTGTTTTAATTTAATTTTAGCACAGATGGAAGCAATGACAATTTGATTGAAAATGATTATTGGAAAAATAATACATGAAAGTATGTATGTGTATGTGTAGACATTTGTCAAATTTAAGCGCTATAAAGGAAAATAGAAAATTATTATTCCAAGTAATTATTTAATATCCTTTTGGCATGCTTAGTACTTCCAAAAACTATTTTTAAGTTAAAAATTTAATGAAACTGTATTTATGAATGTTGAAGGCAGTGTTTTCTGTCCAAAACTTTTTTAAGCTAAGAAAAATGCCTAAGGCAAGCAAACAGCATTAATGTATTATGGTAAAAGTATGAAGTTTTCCTATAATTTTGTTTCACTATTTTATCAATCCTGTTCTACCTTCCATTTCACACACTATGCACTGAAAGTTTTACTACCATAGCATTTAATTAAATTGTTTTTATTTGTTCAAATAAATTGCAGAATATATTGAAGCCATAACAGAAAACACAGAAGTCAAACGAATTGTTAGTTTTAGTTATATATAGGAAACTAATAAATAATCTAAGCAAGTTTAGCAAAATACATTTTACCGTTACATTAAATGCCATTTGTTATTAAATAATTGAGTAATATCTCATTACATCTTAGAATGTGTATTTTCATTTGCTTTCGACATTTTCGCAGGTGGTGGTGCAGCCAATTCTGCTACTGATGAGTATTCCATACGTTTTTTCATAGAACCAATTGTCGATGATGATAGACCTTCGCTGTAAAACCGGCTGAGATCAACGGGTGGTGTATTTGACGGTCTTCGATGCGACAGTAGATTGTGATCGATATCTATGGGAAGCGCAATGGACGTATTAGGCTGTATACTTGAAACTGCCAAGTCCATTGCACTAAAATTATATTTCATATTATTTTTAGTATTGTTTGAGAAGTCAGCAGCACTCTTTACTGGCGTAAGTCTCCCAACAGCTGGAGATGTTGACCCATCACGTCCGTGAGAGAGTGTAGGTGTAATTGCAGTGGTCGATTTTGGTGGTTTCATCATTATTGCGGACAGAGAGTCCTTCTGAATTTTCATTATAGCATCTGGCGAAATAAAAAAATTTCCATCCTGCTTTATATTTTGCTGCTGGAAGAAAGGATAATCATGTGTCTTATCTCGCGAAAAGGTATTAAAGTAAAGTGAAGGGTCCGTAATGACAAGTTCTTTTGCCGTGCTCCCATTGGAATTTTCCAATTTATTAGGAGGAGACAAATTTGTTTCTGCTGACGAAGACGCAAATAACATACCCAAGTCAGGGGTAGTCTTGTTTTGATGATATAACATTAGATTCTCAGTTTGATTTTGATTATCACTTTCCCTTTGTTGATTTTGCGAAGCGATGTCTTTTGATTTTAAACCAGAAACAAATGAAGACAATTCAGAGTCAGCGCCAGCAGAAAGTGCGGCTGATAATTCATTATGAGAATTACTTGAGATGTTTCCTGCTATTCCTCCGCCACGAAAACTATTTTCAGTTCCAAAAAGTTTAGAGTATGTTTGTAATAGCGACCCATAATCAGCTTGAGTATCCGCTGTGGAAGCAGGTTTTTGATTTTTGTACGCACCAACCGACACATTTGCTAAAGCAGCAGCGGCCACAGCACCCATTTGTTGCTGTATAAAAGCATTTATGTCATCTGATTTTGCTAACTGTATGCAAGCATCGTACCCGAGTAATTTAGATACTTGAGCCATGTTTTTATGATCAGCTGTGGGCACTGAATCGTTTTTCGATTCGAAAGTACTTGATATGAAATTTAAGTCTTGACCAAGTCCAAGCGTTCCAAGTGTTGTAGCACCGAGTGCTTCTGCCTGTTGTAATAAGAGCGTAGCATATTCCGAAGAGCGCATTAGTTCATTTATTTTTATGGGATCATTTTTTGTTTTATCCAATTCTCTCATAAGTTTAGTTTTAAATAAATTTGAAGCTTTAGATAAGAAACTATCGGCCTTGTTTTTGGTATTATCGGCACCTACTTGCGCGACCTCCTGCATATGGGACATGTTATGCTTTTTTGAGTCATTTTTTTGCTCATCACCATTATTAGAAAGGCAGCTTCCGAAATTCTTATCACCCTGGGGCTGAAAAATAGTAGCCAATTCTTTTGGTAGAAAATTCGGGGCTATTTGACCTGCTAATTGTGCTAAGCTTGCTGCGACCAAATCATTTGTCGTAGAAGGAAATACTGTTGATAGAGATTGTGACTGATTAGCTGCGCTGTATTTGTTAGAGATATTTCCTATACTTTGATTTGGATTGATTTGATTTTTTGGGCTTTGAGATTGCGCATATAATATATCAGGCTTAGGGGATAAGGGAGATCCTTGTATAGGTTGATCCGACTTAACTGGACTTGCAGAGCTCGAGGGTACCGTTATTGGACTATTATGTGGTGTTATTTCTGTAAAAATCGGTGTTGATAAAGCAGCAGTAGAATTATTTCCAACTGTGGCAACTGTCGGAAGAATTCCAGAACTTGTGGTTACAACAGAAGAACTTGTTGACGTTTGGCCAGGAGATGATGTAGTGCCAGTACCCAAAAATGTTGAGGCCGCCAATGGGGTAAATGTACGCACTGGATTCATATTCAACCCGGACGGTAGGCACAACTGTTCCTGCAGAGACATTACTTTTATTTCCCCACCTTTTTTATCAAGATTATTTTTTTCTAATTTATCATTTCTGTTAACATTTGTAAATCTTCTAACTTCATCTTGAAGTCCATCATTGTCATTAAATTTTGCTGTTTTTGGAGGAATAAAGACGTCTTCTTGAGCACAACCCAAGATATCACAAATCCAGTTCCAAAATACTGTATTGTCTTGTTTAGTAGGAAATTTCGAGTACAACGAATTTTTTAACTTTTCTATAAACGTAATGTCCTCATTAAATATACTGTTAAATCTGACGAATTCATTTCGAAACAGTGTATAATACAACACACATGACTGTAACTCAGAGCGCACATACTCTGGTATCTCCTCGTCCAATAAAACAGAATACTGCATTAACATTGGACGACCATATTCTAAAATTTGTTTTGTTTCATTTGGTGGTATAATCCAAATGGACTTTACGACTGATTCCAATGTGGGGTTTTCATCAAAATATGGCGCTTATAAAAAAAAAAAACAAAAAGTTAGATATTTATATTTATTTTTATGTACATACTTACAAATTATTGTTGATATACATGGTGTATAATTAACATCTGATGAGCCTCTCATCCGAATTTGATAGTCCAGTTGAGCATCGCAATCTCGTAATGATGGTTCGGCTTGAAATTTGGGATGGGAATGATACCACCCAACAAGCAAAAGCTGGTCTTGCAAAATCATATTTCTTATATTGCATTCTTCTTCAGCTGCTTTTAGTGTACCGGCACCGAAATTTCGGCAGGGGTAAGTTTTACTTATAATAAGTGCTATAAAAAAGTTTCAAAACAAATTTATTAAAATATGAAAAACACAGAAAAAGCATAATAATAAAAAAAAAACCTTTTTTGCTTGTAAAAATATAAAAAGCTGATATTATTCAATAAAACTTACTGTGAGTATTTATATCCCAGTGACCTCCAAAGTAGCCGCAAACTTCCCTCATAGTTAAGTGGCAGTGAAAATCAGCTAGTAATAAAGCCGAGGAATTAAATGTAACTAAAAACGGCTGAACTCTGCCAGTTGAATTAAATGTTGCTGCTTTAATCAGCATGTTTCCATCACTGAAAAGAACAAAAGCAAAGTTTAGTATTTACTGCGTTTCGTTCAATTTTTAACTTTAAGAGAAAGTTGATTTTGTTGTTGTTTGCAACCGCAAAATATTCACCGAGTTGGGTTTCGGAGAATATTGCGGGAGTGACAGTACTTGGCAAGATAAAAATCCGGGACCTTTCGGTATAAAGGCCCGACTGGCACGGGAACTATTGGACTTTAGTCGCCTCTTACGACAGACATGCCTTACCACGGGTAATTGTAGTTTATCTTATTTTTTATAGTTTGTTTTAAGGATTTTTTTCTTTTCTGGTTACTAAGCGATTTTTTTAATACTTCGTTATATATTATATCTCTGTAGTAGGAGTTTTTTCACAGTTTGATAATAAAATAAGAGTCTGCAAAAAGTAACTTACTGTAGTATATTTCGATTGATTACAGTATTGTGTGGACAAACAATGCGCTTTATGACCGGCAAAAGGGCATCCGACCTTTTATCAGCTTCTGAAAAAAAGGAATACATTTATATAAAAAAATATACATACATACATACTGTTATTTAAATATTGAATATAACTAATTTGCAATTTTTTCATGACAACAATTTTTATAAATTTCCTCCTCTCGTGCGTTTAATCAATTGAAAAATATTTCTATAAAAATAAAATAAATAAAATCTCACCTGATTCCGAATCATCCATATTTATGTCTTTTTGAAGAGCACATTTTCTCAGCCATGAGTTTTTATAAGTATCCAACTTTTTTCCTTTATACTTTACGGAGCCCCAGCCACAACCACTTTTCTTTTCAGGATTAATGATTCGCTTGCAGTGCATTGCCCATGCACTTGGTGTGAGAAAAATTGTTTCCGTCTCATGTGATTTTATTTTCCCGTCTGGCATCAAGTCTCCAACAAATTTTTGCCCCAAATAATCAATTGTCATTAAAGACTTTCCTGGATGCAAAATATTTGCGCTCATTAATGTTTGCAATGTGACTGTGCGAGTGGTGCCATTCAAACCTTCATAATTTTCTTTAGCCTTTATTAAGAATTAAATAAAAATTTAAGTAAAGTCTGTGGTTTTACAATAAATTTGTCCAATAAAATGTGTGCATAATTGAAACTAAAGAAAAAACAGTGATTGTTTTTAAAAGTAAGAGCAGGGAAATGCTCTAAATACTATTACTTTACAACATCTTACCTCGCATTCAGTGTCCTCTTCACTATCAGCATCCCTTTCTTCCAGATTTGTGCCCGTTTCTTCTGCATGAAATAGATATATCATATTAGTTACAATGGAACTATAAATGCTAATAATGTATTGATAGTATGTATCAAGACTTGGTGAAGAACTTCATTTAAATTACTCAAATACTTCATAAAACATCTAAATGTTAGACTGAGCAAATTAGATAACTGATTATTAGAAACGCCATTTAAAAAATGCATTCTTAGTCCAAGCCACTTGCTATTCTGTGAGCTCCAGATCTGGCCCTGCGACCTACTTGACAAGCGGCTTTTTATAAAAAAAATACCAAATATTAATTGTTTAATTTATTCGGTTCGTTTAATGGGATGAAACAAATACCATATATACAACAATAACTTGGAAATTTCAGTTTTTTTTGTTCACTCTTTTTGCTCACTTTTTGTATTAATTATTGATAACAAAATATTTGAATTCCCGGGTAGTACCAAGATTTCAATTATATCGATTATAATCTCACGTGCCAGAAAAGCAAAAAATTACATACAATTTAAATGTACAAAACTTGAAACAGCAGTTCATATCGATTATTAATTTCGGATCGTGAGCAGCTCGTACGGCAATTTATTTATTTGGTAAATAGCCCGCCCATCAGTTTTCTGCGCAAACTGTCAAGCACTGAAGCGATAGAATAAGCGTGCTGGTGGCTCTCAGGAGAAGCAGATCCCTCAATCTGATTGTGATCCCTTTAACCGTGAATGAAGTTATTGCAATCCGACCCCTTCCTATTGCAATTAAGGCTCAACTCAACTTCCACCTACCCAAACACCCAATGTGCCTACAGGATGCATTAGGTCTACGAACAGCGGTGACACGTTCCTTGTCTTGAGTATGCACGCTCCATTAGCCGTTCGTAAGAGGCTTCGTGAAAACTATAGGTCTCCCCAATTGTTGGAAGAACAGGAACACGCGCTTCACAAACTGGAGAAGTTCGGTTTAAAATCGCATCATCGGTTATTAAGTCAATTGGATACATACATATAAACATGTATGTAAATTAGTTTATTGCTGTTCTTCCTTACACTATTGTACACTTTTATGCAGTCATTGTTTAATATGTACCAAATGTGTTAAAAAATATCTTAAGGAGATATCTTTAACGATAAGTCCCTAAATTACAGGATTTTTCTTCTAATGTACAGATAATTTATGTAGGAAATACAGATATCTAAAAACATTTAATACGTGATACCAAATTAAACTTGAGGTACATACGCACTATCGTTGTTTTCCGACAATGAGAACTCCAATCCGAATTTGTTTTTTCCAATTCATTAATCATTTTGTTTTTGGTCTTAAATTATACAAAAATTACTTAAAGGCACCAAACCATAATCCGGTAAACAAATCGGGAAACAAAAATCCGAAAACAACAATGTCTTATTCAAAATATCGATAAATACCCTTATGGCTTCCCATCGCGACTACGACAGGCGACAAGCAAGAAAAATTTCTTGCTAATAGTCGCTACTGCTGTGAAGTTTACTACCGCTACGATGGTGCTGTCAAACACAGCAGTTATCAATTCATTTAATTTAAAAGCGGTCAAAAATTAAATTAAAAACTACATTTCTTAAGAAAACTAATGAGAATTTTGTAATATTCCAACAAACGCCACGACTCTATAGTACGATAGCGACGTTTTTGATCTTGGCAAAAAACTTATCTACATCGACCGAAACATTGACGCTCATCCAACGAATTTGCTTTCTTTTATATGGCGCTGACATTCTTAAACAGCGGTTATATTAAGACCTTAATCTTACAAGGATAACATCCAGCCTGGCAGCTGTAACTTCTCAATCATGGGACCGGATATTCCAGGTTCATTCCCTTAAATCGTGAGAAACTATCTCCGTATACTCCATATATATTTTATACATTTTGAATTAATACGAGGTCTTTTATGTTATGAAATCAACAACCACAATATAGGTTGTCTGGTACTTAACTTTCAGCTGATACTTTAATTTCATTTTCCCCTAATCAAGGGGTTTTATTTATCGGTGATAAAAAATTATAATAATGATGAAGTAGGTATAATAATATTTAAAAATACAGATTTCATTTATTTTACTAAGCAATATTGTTGAATTATAAAACCAATAGGGAACTCTACATTTGTGGTAGTTGATCAATAGGTGTGGTGAACTTGAAATCTTCGGGGAATAACTTCAATGCGTGTGGATACATCAGCTTGTACGACTGTCTAATTGTTACGTCGGCTACGCCTGCAATATCACCAATTTCTTTCTGGCTACGTTTATGTTCGGAAGCCTATAAAGAGAAATTCAGATATTACAACAATGCTAATAATATTTCAGCCCCAGCAGTGACACTGTCTAATTGATGAGTATATTTCTTTAAAATTTTTTTATAAATGCATTGAGCTCTAGACAAGATCAATAACTATTTAATTTAAGAAAAGTTTATAGATATACAAATGCGAAGTTTAGTGAATTTAAAATTTCAATATATTGGAAAATGAAACAAACCTGAGACGCCATGTAGATAGCTGCGGCTGCCACTGAAATTGGTGATCTTCCCGGAACAATATCCATTTCCACAGCTTTCTTTGCTATATATGTTGCTGCCCGCTGCACCATATTTGGCAAATCTAAAATAATGATAAATTTGAGACAATAGTACAAAGCACAAATGTACTTTACATAAGTTACCTAGATTAGCGCAGAATCTAGACATAAAATCAGCAGTTGTAATCAAGTCTACGCTTGTTTCTAGAGCTTTGAGTGTCAACTTAAAACAGCGTCCGATTTCCTTTTTACTAATTTTGCTAACAGCACAAATCTCCTTAAAGGTGCGTGGTACGCCTTCTTGTCGGCAAGCAATATATAAGCATGCTGATGCTTTAGCATCATTTGATCGTCCTTTGAGATTTTTGCCATCATGTACCTTAATGAAAAACAAAAAACATTGAGTTTTACAGTTAAAGTTATTGGTGGATTATTTAATAAAATAATTTCGATTTTAATTTAGAAACGATATTGTTTCTATGCAACATATTTTTTTTCAATTTCCGGCATACCTGCTTGAAAAGATTATTCGCTCGATCAACAATCGTTTTAGGCAAGTTTATCCTATCGGCCATGGTAGATATTTCCTTAAAAGCAGAAATTAATGATCTATCAGAGCTACTCATTGTACGACGATTTTGATATTTTGGAGCACCGAAAGCATCATAAGATGCAGATCCGGTTCCCGGACCAACGATTGTAGACAAATCTCCTCCACCAAGCAACGGATTTTCAGCGCTGCCAACACGACTCGGATCGACACCACTTTTTTCATTGCTAAATGTCCTCCACTCTGATCCTACGTCAATGACTCTATCACCAACGACGAGACCACATTCTGAACATATCATATCTCCAGCTCTATAATCTTCTATTAACGGTGCATCAGGATGTGCATAACAGCACAATTTACTCGTGCCATCGGTTCTAAAATTAATACGTATTATATGTAAATGTATTTACAATTTTATTGCTGAAAAATTAGACTTACCTATTATTTAAGCTCGCCATTTAGTTCTGATTTGCACTTGTTAACAGTATAGGAAATCCACAACAAAATAAATATTAGTACAACGCACTCGTAAATACTTGGAAGACAATGGTGCTGCCAGAGTATCTTTGACCCCACGAAAATATCGAAATTGTTATCGACCTTGATGATCACCGTATATTTAGCTGGTACTACACTATCAAATTATTTCCAAAAATGTATTTAGTCATATATGGTATTTGTTAACAACTGCTTTGTCACTTATGGAATTTTGTCTAGAACGCTCCTTATATACTCTCAGATATAGAAAACATTTAATTTCTGCTCTCTAGAATGTGATTTAGGGTAATTACCTGATTTAGTTATCGGTATCATTTTTTCATTTGTTCTTCGTATATCGCATTTCGCCGAAATGTAATTTGAAAGTTAACAAACAGTTAGATAATGAAACAGAAATTAACATCAATATCAATGATGATAGAAGCCGAAAGAATGTGTCTGCTTACTTCGCAGTGTGTAAATATATATTTTGATTTTTTTGCATTTTTCATTTTCAGCTTTTGCTATTCCGACCATTTTTTCACATAAGAGAGACGAAGACGAGAGACGTTGCCACAGAAGAACTATTTGAAACTACTAGAGAGAATAAGTGAGAACCGCACAACTCTCAAGACAGCCTGTTCTTCTTCTGTCACCCTTTCGGCGACCTTAACCCGTTTAGATCAACTTATTTACTTACTTATTTTACTGGAGTAGACATTGCATACGCGCTTATAGCCAATTTACAACAGTGCGCAAATCGTTTCTTGAGAGGTAACAGGTTTCGGTCAACAGGTAAAATTAATTTAAGTGAGAGCTGCAATGGAAACAGAACCTCGTAACGCGAAAGAGTGAAAGATAGTTAATTTTTGGAGGCTAGGCTTAAACAACTGTGTAGTCACTGTAGCTACGGTTAGTACAAAACGTACACACGCAATTTGAGAGAAGGTGTAGTGTATATAATATACACTTATGTTGCAACTACCTATTTTACTTACCAGCCGTCCATAACAGGCGACGTCAAGAGCAAGTTACATACACAATTGCTGACGTAGCTGAGAGCGGCGACAGTGTGTTTGTACACTTCCTAAAAAATATATAATTTTCGTGAACAAATTTCATAATTTATGTATTCGAATATAAGCGCAAATCAAAAACCGTCACTAACGACATGGGCAACCGGTGACAACTTTGTGTACTGTGCTGTCCATGATTTATTTTGTTTGCATTTGCGATTTTGATAAAATAAAGGAACGTACAGCACTTTCGGTATTAATAAAATAAAAGAATATGCTGTATATTCGGTATTTCAAACTACAACTATATACCATCAAAAACAGCTGTACGAAATGGTGTCTCACACTTTTTGAAATAGTTTCTTAGTGTGGCCTTAGGAATATGTCCAAATCGATGGCATTCCTGCGATTGGTGCAATTTATTGTCTATCACTCTTGGTTAAAAATTATATCCATTATCGATTACTTAATAAAGTGAGAATTTGTCCCCGTTTATCGTTCAGTTGGTATGCTTTTGTTGATAAAGGTCTGAAATTGTGATATAGTTCAATCTCTTTAGACAATCGATTGTACCATAGAACTTCAGGTGTTTAATTTTTTTGTGAGGTGGTACATATATCGCCATATTGCTAAGTTTGTCAAGGGTGTATAATTTTTGTTTTTTTCATTGCTATTAATTGTGTGTTTTCAGGTTGTCATGTATTAATCAAAATGCAAAATAAAAGAGTTCGATATGACTTTTAAACAAAAGAAGAAAAACTTAAAAGTGAAGGTGTGTTTTTAATGAGTAAAAATATTTTTCAATCTCGCTAATATATGTCTAATTGCAATAGTGTGCATTCTCGTAAAGTAGTGATAAGTGCAAAATATGTACATATGTATGTAGGTAAATACCAAGATACGCGTTGGAATTATTCGTATATATGTATGTATGTATCTCTAAAGATAGCATAAGTATGTAGATATGCTCATATGTTTGATGAATACAGAAAAATACTATATTGAAGAAAATCAAGTATGTACCTATATACAGAAAGCTTAAATATATCAATTGAATACATAAAGATTGTATAAACAAGCTAACTAGTCAATCTGCGAAAATAGTTTGTGTTATTAGACTTGTAATAATGAAAATTTTGATCCGGAATTTTACCCCTCTAACTGGAATTTTTTCCTAATATATTATATCATAACTTTTTTCGATGCTTTTTTAAAACACTTATGCGGCGAAAAACAACTATGTGCAATGTCGTACTGAAGGTCAGAATAAAAATTCACAACTAAGACCAATGAGACTCATAAATAATTAGGTATTAAAAATAAGGAAGGACCGCAAAGTATATTATAACTAGGTTTCGGCCGAAAGAAAAGAAGTCAATTCGAAGCTATCTTTAACAGTATGACAGCTAATTAAAGCTCATTAAGATATAATTGTTTTTCCGAGAAATTCAGAGTGCAGTGAGATTACAAAAACTTGACTATGGAGGAAAGTCTTTAAAAATAAACTGAATTTTGGGATTTGGATTACCTCAAACATGTTTTTGTTAATAAGATGGTTGCGGATGCTTTCAGATTTAATGCTAAAATAAAATCAGAGAGGAGTCATTCTTAATGCTTTCGGAAAAAAATTATCTCAATTACATATCTTGAAATAAAACATAAATATACTCTGTTTCGGCTTCAAATTTATTAGAAAACCACAAAAATAAATAAAAAAAATTGAAGCTATTAAAATTAAATTAAAAATGTTATATATTCGCTTATAGAGCATTTAGGTACCTGATTTTAATTCAAAAATAAATGCGATTGCCCAATTTTAGAATAGTTATAGTTGAAAGAACTTTTAAAAACTATCATACCAAAAATATATAAGGACTTACTTGATCTATAGCATTTAGAAATAGAATTTTGTATAGCCACTATAATACAGAGAAATCAATAGTTCAGCGATCAAAACAAATTTTAAACATAGAAATTCCAAGTTTCAGCAAGTATTTAAAAACTTGACTAAAGGCATATTATTTTCCCTTTCAATAGTGATCATTTATGGATGATTTTCCGAACTGTGCGTGTAACGGTATATGAAATTTTTTTATTTATATTTCCTTTAGAAAGTACCTATGAAACAAAAAAAAATATTTATTACAACTATTTGTTTAAAATAATATTACTCTAACTAAGTCAGGTTTATAAATATGCCAATTTTTTTATTAGCATACATATGTATATACTATGTATATACGAATTAATTTATTAACTATAGTATCAGCGAATTGTCGTCTTTTTGCCATAAAACGTAGAACAACTGAATGCAACAATAGCATATATTCATTAAATTTGGTAAATTTTTAATTGTAATAGAATGCAACTGCAAGTATATTTTACGCAAAACATTGTATGAAACAATTCCTTGTGCACGGTAAGCAAAACCCCGCTGTAATTAATCAAATTACATACAATTGTAAATTTTAAAATAGTTAGAAAGCTAAATAAAAATATTCAAACTTTTTTTTGCCGACCTACCAATTTATGATGTGCGTTTTTATGTACATACAAATGTAGATATGTTCAAATGAATGTATATATATAGTTTTTATAAAACAGTTATATATATCCTGAGAACGTAACATTTGGCTTTGAAGCGTAGTTTTAAACGGTTCCAAATGAATAAAACGTGAAAAATACCTTTTAAATAAAAACACATGAACTTAACTAAATAAACTAAGAATATGTCGTGATGAAGTTTTGGTAGATCCATGCCTACCTTTGATACTTACGCACTTTCCGAAGAATAATAACTTCGAAGGTACTCGAGTATTTTCCGTTCGGTTATAATGAGCTTCCTTCTTTCATATTTAAAAAGGATAACATGCACCAGTTTATACCATTTAAGATGATTTATTTATGTACATACATGTATACCTACTGGGAAATTTACCTCCAAAAATAAGTCCATTGTCAATTGTTGGTATAAATAGGTACGATGATTTGCATTTAATGGGAACATACATTTGTTTAAATTTACTTTTATAATATTCAACTTTAACAAAATAATATTAACAGTATTGATTTTAAAGTATTTTTCTTTTCTTTTTGTAGATATTCTAATCTAAACGGACGTTTCAAAGTGAACCAATGATTACAGCGTTTCATTAAAAAACAACATAATTCCAAATAACTAATTGAAAGTAAAGCCTACACAACTAAGCGCATACATTTCGTTACAAATGATTTGCAAAGAAGTCTAGTGCAAATTTTAGTTCAATTTCGAGAGAAGAATACACCAAAACTTACTCAAACATACGTCAGTGTTTTTTCTAAGTACATCTATATAGTTGCCCTCGTTTCTAAGATGGGTAATAACGCTACTACGTCTAATAAAAAAGTAGATGCTGCCGAGACTGTTAAAGAATTTCTTGAGCAAGCTAAAGAAGAATTTGAAGATAAGTGGCGGAGAAATCCGACAAACACCGCGTCTTTGGATGACTTCGAACGTATTAAAACCTTAGGAACCGGTTCCTTTGGGCGTGTGATGATTGTACAACATAAACCAACAAAAGATTACTACGCTATGAAGATTCTTGATAAACAGAAGGTTGTTAAACTTAAACAGGTCGAGCATACCTTGAATGAAAAACGTATACTCCAGGCTATTCAATTTCCATTTCTTGTTTCGCTTCGTTATCATTTCAAAGACAATTCCAATTTGTATATGGTATTGGAATATGTTCCAGGAGGAGAAATGTTTTCACATTTACGTAAAGTTGGTCGTTTTTCAGAGCCGCATTCGCGATTTTACGCTGCACAGATCGTACTAGCTTTTGAATATCTTCACTATCTTGATCTAATTTATCGAGATCTAAAGCCAGAGAACTTGTTAATTGATTCACAAGGATATCTTAAAGTTACAGATTTCGGATTTGCTAAACGCGTCAAAGGCCGTACATGGACACTCTGCGGCACTCCAGAGTATCTCGCTCCGGAGATTATATTATCTAAAGGTTACAACAAAGCTGTTGACTGGTGGGCTCTTGGAGTACTCGTTTATGAAATGGCAGCTGGTTATCCGCCATTTTTCGCGGATCAACCCATTCAGATATACGAAAAAATCGTATCAGGAAAAGTACGTTTCCCCTCGCATTTTGGGTCTGATTTGAAAGATTTATTGCGTAATCTTTTACAAGTCGATTTGACGAAGCGTTACGGAAATTTAAAGGCCGGTGTAAATGATATTAAAAACCAAAAATGGTTTGCCTCGACAGACTGGATTGCAATCTTCCAGAAAAAAATTGAAGCACCCTTTATTCCTCGATGTAAAGGACCCGGTGATACTAGCAACTTTGATGATTATGAGGAAGAGGCGCTTCGAATTTCTAGCACAGAAAAATGTGCAAAGGAATTTGCTGAATTCTAATGGAGTCGTTTATTTATTTATATATATATTTTTTTGCATGTTGACGCGGAGTAACAGAATTATAACTTGATCGAATTAAAAGCATTATTAATAATATTATAAAAAAAGAACTCTCTACTTGCGCTCGACATTTCTCACCGGGTTTACTGATGTTTGAAAAAAAACTACCTATAAATAATTGTTTAAAAAATATTGCAAGCCAAAATTATTTTAAGTATGAAGACTTCACAAAGAATTAAATTCCAAACGCACTAGATCTTTATTGTGAAAATCACATATATTCTAAAAAAAAAATGTGCAATTCATCCATGCAAGAAGGGACCAAAGTGAAAAGAATATGAGCATAAGTTGGGATATTGTATTCACTTACGGAGAGCGCTTTAGTTGATTTAACCTGGATAACATAAATAATAATGACGAAATAATTGAAGCCGTTTGCATACAACTGGAGCCAACATTAAAATGAATACGTATGTATAAATGAAAGAACGTTTCCTAACAAAAGCTTAAGTTGTTTAGTGCATAGTTTAATGCTCCATTATAGGCATATAGCCCATATAATTGGGTGAAAATGAAAATAAAATACTCGAACTCCTAACTACTATTACTAAAATCTGCGCGCTAAAATATACACGAATCAGAAATATAGATAGTAACTTTTGGTTTGAAAATCTTTAAAAATTACCATAATATCAAATAATATGTTTTATTTTTACTATCAACATTAAAAATTGTAAAACTGTACTATTTAACAAAAATTATATATTTTATATATATGTATAATATTATATATAAAGCTAAAATACTATATTCAGAAGTAGATTTTTGATACAGATACACTAATATTAGGAGAGTATAACCCGGCCATGAATCGTGCCTGTCATACCCTAATACATCTCCTTGACCTAGTTAAAGACAATTTGTTTTTACACTCTTCTATTTTGGTTAAATCATTTTGTAGGCAAAACTGATTCTGTATTTAACTTTAATATGCTCGTCTGACCATATTCTACAATTCAAGTCTTCTGATACACTATGGTCTTGAAATAGCCATTCAAGAACCGTATTTGTCCATCAATCGCATATCCAGGACGTTGATTATGTCTTCCTTAATATTTTCAATGGCATTACAAGTTGAGCAGTGGCACCTTCCTAATTACGCCAACGGATTTTCCAGGTGCATGCCGATTGCAGTGGTCGTCATCAAAATGAGGAGTTCTTATCCGATGCTATTGGTGGTTTATATGTCGTGGGCTACAAACGCTCCGCAAAGCTGTGTTGCACTAGCGGTTACATTTATATATCGTGTCACATGTTGAACGCTTAAACCGAATATGTCCGAGTGGTTTCACTAAAGTTTCTTGTCTTTTAAAAATGATCGATCAAGATCGATTGTGTATTACAATACAACACCCCTGCACAGAAATCCTATCTATAGTCTGCGTTAGGCATAATTTGTATTTTTGTTCCGGCGAATTTGGCTCAGTTGGCATTTCTGAGTTGTCCATTATTTTGCTTTCCGAAAGCAATAGAACAATGTAGACTTGCGTTCATTTAGCTTCTATTATACATAATTCTTCTTTCAGAATATTAATCGGCCCGTCCGATTTGGAATGATGCATGTCCAGAGGTTACTCTTTTGGTCATGTGAACCATTCAACCATTTGAAAAACACCCCTTTACCGGTTTGATGTGAATATTTTCATATTTCGTTTCCTGTGTTTATTTATTGGCCTTTATTTTAAGATTTAGATTTACCTTTTATTAGATGACTAATTAATTAAATTTTTGGCTTCTTTTTCACAGATCCAAGTTGCATGCCTATACATGCAGTATAATAAACTATGAGTTCACTGGAGAAGCATTGCTAAGCGACATCAATAACCCTACAGTAAGAAGACTTCATTGAAATTTGGGAATGTAATACAAAATAATGAAAATACATGTATAAGAATGTGTTGCAACTAAAAGTTTATAATATAAGTAGTAAAGAAATAATATCCATTATTATTCATTGAAAATTCAAACTAATATGTGACGAATCATATACCATACACTCTTCTTAATAAATAAAACAATAAAAAGGAAGTTAAAAAGTAAACCGAAATAATGTTTATTAACTATTAATTGGTATGTTTTTATTTATTTATTTATAATTAACATTTTATCTATAAAGCTCAAATATTGTACAGATTTGATCTTGAGAAAATGTAATTATCACCAACAGTCAAACAGTTTTTTGTTTATTGCCAATACAAAATGATTGGTGTTATGTGAGAACTTGCAAGAGGTCACCAGACGGGGAAATAATCTAATTTATTTCTACCGGTTGAGTAAACTGAGACTATGAGTAATTGATAAAGTGCATGCATCAGCTCCTATGCAGTATAAGGGCGGATGAAAAAATCCTTGACAATTGGAATCTAAATGCGCTCCGCCCCTTGCATAGAAACCGCGTCTGAATGAAAAAGTGGAAGATTGCTATCTTCCTTGGATAATGCACAGAGTCTGAAAAATATTTTGCAATGATGTACTATTTACAGTATCTTAATGCGGAGGAACAATTTCAAGGAGAGCTCCGCAAGGTGGAAGTTCTTGCCGAGAAGTGCTTAAAAACTCTTTGCCAAGACTTGCGACTACGTCGCTTCGCATGGTAACATGTACTGCTTGCCGTTCAGTTGCAGCGGCTTTGGAGATAAGTGACACTGGTGTAAAATTAGACTTTCATGCAGCAAAATAGATTAGACACTCATATACCAAAACAAGATCAATGAAATTTAACAGGTAGTTGCTGGGTTGATTTTTTTTGTCAGCTCTTTATTTGAAATTTTGTATCTCTTATATAATATCTATAAAAATGGAACAGTTTTTATGTTTGTTTTGAGCGATTATACGTTCTGGGTACAACATAAAAAACATCAATAAAATCACCCCTAAGGGCTATTTTTAGTTAATGTGTATTTATTCATTCAATGCACTCCAATGGGCATGTTATATCTGGCTTCACAAATAAAACAGCTTAAATCGGTTTTCCAAGCATTGTGTTTCATATAAAAAAAAAGACAGTCGTGTTATGTAACAAAATGTATTAGATTTCGGTGCACAATTTTGGGTTTATAAAGTTTACAAATTAAATAACTTTACATCATGTGGACTTAGTCACGCTGAACACTCAATTTTGCTATGACTCCAGATAGGTGTTTATTGTTTGTAACCACTGAGATGTAAATACAGAGGTACATGTATACATGCATATATAATATGCAGTTTACGAACCATTGAACAATAATCTCACAAAGCAACGGCACCTGTATTATACATAGAAAGTGTAAAGTTTAATTTTACATTTACATTTAGAAATTATTGGACATGTACATTACATCAAACCAAATAGAACGGCTTAATGGAAGCACCAACACCCTTACACATTTCCTTATTCTTCTCTTTTCAGAAGGCCATACATACATATCGAAAGAATTAACAGTTTCATGTTTTTACTTGTTTTAATTTGTTCACTTTTTTTCTAAGGGTTTTTCTTGTTTTTGAACAAAAACATAATAAATAATAAATAAAAATAATTTAGGAAATAGGAAAACACGGATTTAAAGAAATGCCACTATGTAAACTTCGCCGTAAAGCTCATCGTTCTATTTGCTGAGGAATTCATCGTTTCCAATATGCAAATGACAATCTTTCGAAAATCTTTCAGCCGAAAACTTCTTCCGCTGACTCATCAGATGTAGCCTTCGTCCAATTATCAGAAAGGGAGTTTTGATGGACTCGTAGAGTTCGGACTTTACTTTTTAATTGTCCACTCAGTCGACAGTGGCAGCTGTTGTTTCATTAGAAATTATACCTTCTATGTAGGAAAATATAATCAAAAACCTGTATATTTATCTCAGCAGTTGGGACTTGTGGAATAAATTCCTCACCCTTTTACCTCAAGACTACCTGGTTCTTGAACCTATTCGGTAAGTATTATATTGTTACAATTCACAGTTTCTTTTGCATGGTTAGTGTAGTCTAGTTTTGCCACTGGGCGGCCTTGGCTCTCAATTGTATTGAAAATATTAAAGATATTCTGGCGTATCCCACCGATATTGATAACATTGGCTTCAACAACCGCGCTTTCAAAACGGCGTTCCCTACATTGGTAAGAAAAAACAGGATGCATACTCGCGTCTTGAATCCCAGTAAGCTCTACGGTCTAATATTTTCGTGGTAACAAAATGAGTCTCCGGTCAAAGCTTATAACTGACTAAATAGTTAGACCATGGAATTTAAGTTGTCACATGCACATGCCTTTGAAATTCGCAGCAATAACAGCCTTTAAATCCAAAGCAAAATTCTTCTAGTCATCCAAAGCTACTTATGATCAATGGAGGAAAATCATAATCCGATAGCCCTAGTAGCTTGTGCTAATTAATTGTTTTGTAATTTTAATTATAATTAACAATAAAATTAATAATGATAATAATAATAATAATAATCAGAGGAGGTCTGATGTCCAGGTCATCGAAGAAAATTATAGTTATATACAGCATTAAGCGTTTTCTTAGCTAATTTATAGTGGTAAGTAACAACTAATTTTGAGTTTAGGCTGATGACTTCAACAATGGTTCGTGGTGCAGGTTCTTCAATTTATTCTAATCCGTCTTGATGTCAAGATAACCCGGAAGGTGTTGAAGCGACCGCAATTAGAAAACATAATTGAAACTTTTCAATCATTTTTGATGTTGGTTGGCAGGGTTCAAACCTATGACCTTTCGCATAGTAGTATACACTGCTAATCAATCGGCTATTGTGGCGACAATCGCCTCAGCAGTTGTAAAGCGCCAATTATATTAATATATTATCTATTATTTCTTGAGTCGCCCCTGTAGATGCTTTGGTCATATTCGACCTTATCTCTTAATTTTTAGGAACACTAACATTATAAGAATCAATTTTGTTCACAATCATCTCAAGTTGAGCATCTGCGATTAGTCGAGTGCCGATTTTATTATGGAATAGACGTTGTGCTACATCTTCGAAATTAGATTATTTTTTTCTAAATGGGCTTGGAAATCATATTTCCGTGAATCCCAAGTCAGGTTAAAAAATAAAATCTACAGCAACAAATTAATATATAAAACAGAAGGTAAAACAAGTTAAAAAACGTGGAGCGAAAATCGTTTCGACAATATTTGTTTGAATCGTGCGAAGTTTTAACTGCGAAAAGGATTTCAAAACAGTTGTAGGACGCGTTAAATATTATAGTTCTTTCAAGCACTGTCAAAAGTTCATATATGTATGAGTACAAGCATAAATGTTAATATAATATTAAAACATTGTAAAAGTTTGTATACACATGAGAGTATGCATAAGTGTGACTATCTGATTACGTACTCGGCGATCGTTTGCTACATAAAAACCTTATCACCAATAATTTGTCATCATCAAAGCTAAACTTTGTGTTGTGTGGCTTTAATATACAAATGTTTACATTACTTAAACTTTTACTCACCTTTTTCGTTAAGTGAAAATACAGTGTTTCAACATGTGATCGCGGGCAAAAGGCTTAAGGAGGCTCAACCTTTTGTTTACCGTAATTGTGTCGTTGGAGCTTGCGCTGATATGCTAATCAGCGTCAACGACAAGGCCATAAAATGTGTTTACCTTGCACCATGACATTCATACCTAATATGCACACAACAAGACATAAACAAAACAGCAAGGAAATAGGATTCAAAATTTAAAGCGAAAGTAGTATTTTGATTGAAATAAAATAATGATTTGAAATAAAATAAAAACAACTTCTAATTAATTTTTATTGATTTCATTTAATAATTCATATACATATTATTTTAATATAAAATTATCGCCACTTTTTAACTAATTTTTAATCTTTCCTATGTTCAAATCATACTTTATTGACTACATAAATATAATTTAAGGGTTTTAAATCGTTAAATATTTAATTGTTCGGCGCATTAGGTTTTTATCGCTTTAGCATGCGTAGGGTATCGCCGTTCTAAATCATCTATGCATAGGTCTAACCATTCGCGGTATGACGGTCCGCTAGTTTAGTGAAGGTCCCTCCTACAAGTCTTCAGCCAACCGGTACTATTCTTTTTCGCAAAGAGGGCATCCATCAGTTCACCCAGACTTTTTTAGTTAAGGCTACTTAAAGCTACTTTCATTTTTAGAGATTCATGTTACAATACTTTTCCTTTTTTTAACCTATTATTTTAATTAATAAAAGTTTTATTTTATATGAATAGGGTGTAAATTTCTTATATCATATATGAAAGAATGTGTGGTTTTCAATAAGGCAATATTTTTCTCTGAGCTGGTCTATTTGAGTTGTTATTTGATTTATACTCAGTTTGGTTGCCATTTCATAATGAACAGATTGAGTCCGTATCAACGCTTGGAAGGCCAAGGGTTCGAGTCATGGTCAGAGCAAAGTCCAAAACTTATGGAAAACTAATTTATAAAAAAAATTAAGTCAAATTTTCCAATTGCGGTCGTATTTCGGCAGGGAATGTCATCTCCACCAAGTGTATTTCTGACATGAAATATAAGCTTATCACAAAAAACCATCAGACGTTTGGAGGCGGCTTAGTATAAAATAGGTCTTTCCATTTTTTGGAAGGACATCAATAGGCTTTAGCATATACAAAGCGGCAATTATTAATTATTTTTTCTTATGTGAGTTTGCTTGTCTACTCAGATAAGTTCGTGACGGTTGACGCCTCGGAAGAGAATATTTGGCGCGTTATTGCCGAAAAGTAGTCTAAAATTGGGCTTCTCGCCTGGAATTCAGTCGTTCATGCTAAATCTTGTCGTTGAAAAATGTTTGCAATTTTTTCATAGAAGATTTCGTTATAATTATTATTATTATTATTATTATTATTTAAAAGAATTTATATTTCAAATTGAATAATTTTCTTCCAAACAAGGTATTACGCAATCGATTACTTCGTATAGCACTATTATGTGGCGGCTTTTAAGGGCTATCTTATTTCTCTTATGTATTCAGTGGGGATATACTCATCAAAGTAGGTATATATTTATTTCGTAGAAAATGAAAATTTAATTTTCCTCTATATTTACAGATCCTTTCCGTGATCCAAATTTTTGTGGCAACCCTCAATGTGAAATCTCTTCAAAGAAATTCAATTTTGTAGACAAGGTATATAAATATGAATACACCATTGATTTGAAAACCGAGTTCTCGGGAACGGGGAACAATGCATCCAGCCTATTCTTTAAAGCTACAGTAGAGATAAATTTTCCTAAGCCATGTGATGGATTCCTTCGAATTAAAGACGTAAAACTTAGGGATGCTCTGAGTCAAAACGATGATGAGATTGACAATAAAGTGGACAAAGAAATTGATAACTCGAACGTTGATGATTATTACGGGGAGTTTACTGATTCCAGTGGCTCCGATGAAGAAAGTGAAGTCGATACCGATTCTAGTGATACTCATCCTCACAGTTTGGAGATAGCAACCGAACTAAAGAAATATTTATTACGATTTGCATTTAACGATGGCACGATTACGGAAATATGCCCGAGCGCAAAAGAAAAAATTTGGACATTAAATTTTAAAAGAGGTATTTTATCTACTTTACAAAATACGATGTTGCGCCTAGATGTCGACTTTAACACAACGGAAACGGATATAGCTGGTGAATGTAAAGTAAAATACTCATTAGAGAAAGTGAATGATGTTTTTATTAAGATACGTAAAACCAAAAATATGCCAACCTGTCAAAAACGATATTCAACTAATTCTATACTGCAATCCGTACCCTATGACTTTCGCAACGATAAAACTATGTGGCCATTACTTGATTCCAGCAGTTATTGTGTTGTAAGTGTTATGATTTACTATTATAAAAGCTTAGTATTTAAGATCCTGCTACTCCTAAAGAAGCAAAGTTCGCGATTTATCTCCCGTTAATAATCTTATATTTATTGATCAATGTTGTTGTTGTTTTCACGCCAGCGATTCTCCTAACGTTCCTGATATCCACTTGGTGGTATGTCCCCGAGCTCCCTCAGCAGGGGCCCAAAACACAGTTCCTTCGATTCGTGTGATATTTTTACCAAGAAAATAATCAATAAACAATGAAAAATGAGCAGGTGTATGCTCGTGATATAAACACCATGAATTGTTCTTTCACAATTAATATTGCTTCACGCAAATGTAGTTCCTCTAACAACCTACGCAATACCACAAGAGCCCCTGATTCGCTAGGCCACTATGATCGAGGAAAACGGGCAACAAACTTTGATCGAGTTTGTCGAAATTTTTTCGGCCTTGGTTTTACTAGGCTTCTCCTTTGGCTAACCAATACGTCGACACCCATAACCCAACAGTGATAGTGAAAGTGATTCGACGATTATCTTGCTATCTCAAAATTTTTATCGGTTTTGATGTGCTGGGGTGCCCTTAGTGGTCGGCGTCATTCAAATAATTTTTACCTTCCTTGAACAACTCGTACCACTGTAAAAAACTATATTGTGCGTGGATGTACTTAAATCTTCTAAAGTTAATTTTTCCATTTTGAAAAATGTTTATAAAATTTTTATTAATATTTTAATATTTTACAGATGACGATTAACAAGAAGTTATATCAAGATATTACTTGCTACGACCAACACAAATTTATACCTTTCTCAAATAATAATACTGGGGCAGTTACCAACGTGGTTTCTCGGCTCGAGTTGCTTAGCGAGGAAAGTGATATAAACGAAAAGTTTTTAAACGAACGTAAGAAAAGCAAATTTTTTAGAGCTTAACTTTTTTATACCGAATATTTTAGGTGACGAAATTGTGGAGCGACGTTCAAATCTTCTCTTTGACCATACACCATCTGCAAAACCAACGAAAAGCGAAATTAAGTTGGCAAGAGATTTGTTAAAGGAAATGTGCGCATTGGGATTTCCATATATTCAACGGGAATTCATAAATGTTTTCACAAACTTTTTACATACAATCAAACAACTGGACTATGAGGCATTGACTCAACTTCTCGCACGGTCAACTAGTATATGTGAAAAAGGAAGGTATGTACATATGTGCCATAACATCAGAGTTTAAATTTTCGTGGGTAATGTTTGAGCATGAAGCGTGTGGCAAGGAAGTTTCTTCCAAAATTTAGGGGGGCTAGGACCGTTCTCGCAAATATGTAGCATTTAAACAATTGATTGCAGAGATAATGTTATAATTTTCCCAGCTAATTGAAATAGGATTGCTTTAGCCAAAACTTCTTTGCTTTGCCGTCATTCTGTACAGTCCTTACATAATGTTACTTCTCTTTCTCTTTTTAGAAATCATGTCTTAGATTCCTTACCTTATGCGGGTAGCTCTGCATCGTTGCAGCTCATGAGGGATCAACTTCTTACAAATGGTGTATCTAAAAAAATGGCAATTTCTTGGCTTAAATCGATATCGTTTCTCCAGCGTCCTGATGATGAAACAGTTGAAACTATTTATACAATTTTTGAATTCTCACGCACAAAAGATGAACCTGAATATACGTTGTGTACCTCTGCCGTTATACATAGCTATTGCCGATATAATACTGATTGTATAAGTAATATGCGAGTTAAATGGATCACAGAAGCACTTGAGAGGGAGTTTATAAATATCTTCAATTCTTTCCGTGGTGAAAGGCGTTTATACGAAAGAATGGTCGTTATACTGAAAGGACTAGGAAATATTGGCTTGCTATCTGAACATTTCGTTGAACAACTGCAAAAAATTATTGGGAATGAAAAAGAAATGTTACAACTTAGATTGGAATCAATATACACATTTAGACGAGTGAATTGCATTGCACATCGTTCATTCTTTATGGATATGTACACTAACTTTTTCATCAATTCGGAAATTCGTATTGCGGCTTATTTGCAAACAATGCGCTGCCCTGATTACCACTCAATCACCAAGATAAAAGCCATTCTACAAAATGAAGCAGTCAATCAAGTCGGCTCCTTTGTATGGTCACATTTGAGAAATTTGGCCAAATCATCATCACCGTTATATGTAGTGGTTCAAAGTTACTTAATGGACGAAGTTATAAATGAAAAATATAAATTAGATTTTTGGAAATTTTCGCGTAATTATCAGCAAAACTTCTTTTTCGACGAGTTTAATTTCGGTGAGTTTATTTTTCAATATTTAAAACAATAATTATATCTAATAAAAACTTTGCTCTCTCGATGGAGGTCTGTAGCTCGTAATATTTTTGTAATGGGCTTATTAACATTTTCTCTATCATCAATTCGAGCATACGAATGATAATTTAATAGAAAAATTTTAGATTGGGGTCTTCCGAACATAGCAAGATCAGCAAATTTTTGTTTAAATATACTAATCGTGATGAGATATATGTTATTAAAAGGCACTAATTATTTATTTAAAGGCAGTACAACGGATTCGAATTTAATTTTTGGTACTGAATCGTACCTGCCCCGGATGGTGACCCTCAACTATACTTCAAACCTGTTTGGGAATTCGTATAATTTTTTGGAACTTACAACAAGAGTAGAAGGTTTCGAGCAATTACTTTTATCCACTATTAACCTTGAAAGTTGGTTGAACGAAGAAAGCATATTTAATCAAAAAGGGCTTAAAAATGTTATGGATGCTTTGAACAATTGGGTAAGCAGTATGAAGCGGTCCAGTTATGGTGAGTATAATAAGTATATAAGTAAGCGTCAACAAAATATATGTTTCATAAACAATATATAAACATCTAATACAGACACACCATCAGATAGTCCGATCAGAAGCAACAATTCTTACCTTAACGTAGAGGCTAATAATGAGCAACACTTAAAAATTCCAGTGCAGAACGATGGCAAATGTGAACACAAATATTGTCGCCCGAAGCGTTCATTGGAAATAAAAGATGTGAATGAATATAGATCAAAGCTGCGGCGAGACATAGACAATTTAGGCTATAAACTTAAGTACGACTATAATAATCCAAAACTACAGTTTGGACTACGAATATTTGGAAATGATTTGCATTACTACACTGTAAATGGGTTTCCAGAATTTTATGAACTCACTAACAAGTTTAATATTCTTGAAAAGGCCTCAGAACTATTAACAGGCAAAGAAATCACTTTCACAAAATCAAATATATTCGTGGAAGCCTCTTATGTAGCGCCTTTAATGGTTGGTTTACCGTTATCAATAGATTTGTTTGGTGCTTCTGCCATTGACGTTCGTGCGAAAGGCAATCTCGATAAAATGGAATCATCCTTTTCCGGCTTGAGTTTTGACTTTAATGGTATGATAAAACCAACGGTACTAGTTGATTTAATCGGAACAATGAAATCAGATATGTTTTATGCACAGTCCGGTGTTAAGGTCAAAAGTACATTGTATTCAAACTCAGAAATAGGAAGCGAACTAAATGTTCGGGGCAAGAACGCGGTTTCGTTATCATTTACGTTACCACAAAATATAAGCGAAATTTTGAGTGTTCAGTCAGAGCTATTAAAAATAACAAGAAATGGAGATGAACCACAACCGGGTATTGGAAGCCGCTGGTCAGAGTCCGCCTGTACACCGTCTTGGGTGGACGCTGCAATTGGCCTGAAAATGTGTCACAATAGCAGCATTCCTCATTTAAATGAATACAAAGGAAAATTACATCCTAGTCTTTTACTGAGCGGTCCAATGAACTTCACCTTTGCTGTAACTAAATCTGATCAGGCATCGAAAAAGTGGACTATCGAATATACTTCGACTAAAAGCGAAAACGAAAATAATTCCAATTCCTCTCTTATTTTCTATACTCCTGGATCTACCATTGAACGCTCCATTCTAGTCAATGTTAGCACTGAGCCAGAAAAGTTCAATTCATCAATAATATTTACTCATGGTGTCAACAAAGCATCCGCCGTTTGTCAGTACATAGGGAAAACAAGTCACAGACAGTTTGGTATTTTAGTGAATGCAAACGGCATGCGTACTTTGGACTTAAACGTAGAACTGCGAAGACAACAAGAACGAAATGTATTGATTTACAAACCGAAAATGTTATTGGCCGTAAACGGTGTCAACATAACAGGCTCTGTGGGATCAATTCGAATTAATGAGAAAAACGGCATTGCCCAAAGCGATTTGGACATTTCTTTTGAGACTCGAAAGCTGCAAATGCTGATAAGAGGAATCGTCGTGCAGACTGAAGTTACAAAATCAGCAAATTTCACAATAAACTATAGGGTAAGGTATTTCATAGCAATAATAACTAATAATGATTATTTGGGTTGTCTTCGAAACAAACAATCTCCAAGTCCCCATTCTTTCTTATTCCCGTAAGGGCGCAACAAGAAAATATTTGAAAGAAACGCTAAACCCTAAACGCTAAACCTATAAAAAATCTATATAAAAACACAATAGTTTGAAAAGAACTATCGAAGGCAGTTACCAAAAACCAAACTCGATGTGAAAATTACAAATATATTTTCTAAGGCTTTACCTTTGAAATTTGTCACTGTATGTAGGTACTGCATTTATGAAGGATTTAGAGCCTTCCTCAATTATTTTCCTTCCAAAAATATAATTTATGAATTTACATTAATTCAATCACTGAGCGAATTTTGAAATAAAAATTCAAATTCAAATTCCGATAATATAATAATTTTATTTGTTTAAAATGAAATTAATTTGTCCGAAAAAAGATAACTAATCAGAAAAGGACTATGCTAATAATTTTTCAATTTCGAAAAATGGAAAAGTTGTTCCTTTTTTATATAACTACATCAGATGTTTTAGTGCTACAGTCTAATTCAGTTTCGAATGTTCATTTTTTCAGTTTCAAGCAAATAAGATAGAAAGCATAAATATTGAAGGGCGCCTATCCAGTTCTGGTGATAAGTCTAAAATAGAATACGCCGGGAAGATGAAACTAAGAACTTCAGCACATCCCAAATTAAATTTTGCTTCAAACGTGACCTGGCGTTCAATTCAAGGTCACACCGAAGGTATTTTGACATTTAATAACGGCTTGAATTTTAGTGATCCCGAATATACCAGCGTTTGGCATTTAATACTTTCACGAGCATACTCAGAGGAAAACATTTGGGAAGGTTCGCATTCATATGCCAGTTTCAATGTTGTTATACCTCGATCCAAGGTCAACTTTAAGTTATTGTTAAGGTAGTAGAGTTTAAAAAATAAAATAAAATGTTTATATTTATTTTCATGGTAAATAATTGCTTATAATTTAAGGCATGAGGAACGTTTAAAAAATGGCAGTGAGCATAATGTTTTAGCTGAATTTCATCTGAATCCAGAAAAGAATGCCACAGTTTTATTTTCCATTTTAATCCCACGAAACGAATTACTTACATGTGATGCTTTTTTCAACATCACCGTAGCAAAGTTTAGCTCCTGTCATGGGCATTTGAAATTTGAAGAGAAGAAGCCTAAGACATACATGGTAAGTTATTTTTACCAGCTTCCTTATGAAGGAAATATTATTTATAAGCAGTACACTCCTATTATTATATAAGAAAACGGAGTATAATATGCATTTAAGCAAGGCATAACAATTATTATTATTTTCGCTTTTCGCAAGCGGGATAAATTTACTTTTACACCGTTAGACTAGATAGAGAAGACCCCACAGTCTGCCCCAACAATCGAGGAATAATTATCTTTAATATTGCCTTAGTTTCCGTCTAGCATAGGGTTGGAAAGAACAAAGCCAGTCGCCAACAAACAAACAAACTGAGGAATAATTATCTTTAATATTGCCTTAGTTTCCGTCTAGCATAGGGTTGGAAAGAACAAAGCCAGTCGCCAACAAACAAACAAACTGATTGAACCTGATCAGGCTAGGTAGCATCAACTCTTGAAAAATACCTGAGAAAACAACGACACACGCCATCTCTTCACGCTTCTTCACTTTGATGGTGCGAAAATAAGCTACGAAAATAAAACAGCTATATAAGCAAACATTAAATAATACCGGAAGTTCGGTTAGAATTAGGAAGAATATCTCCTAGCCGTCCGATAACAAATAATATTTCAGACATTTTGTCACGCCAACGAAGGATTTATACATATGTACCAACTACAAGGTTAAAGCCAACGTGCTATAACTACCTTCATCCTGTTCTTGTTAAAATAGGTTTTTTATACTCAATTCAAAATAAAAAATATTGACTTATTGTACAGCTTATTAATATGTGTATTGTTTTAGAAACTCATTTAAATATTTATTTTCAGGTTAATTTCAACGGTACGTGGTTTACGAAAGAGTTTGTTGTCATTAAAGCAAATTACAAGGATCGCAGTACCAGTTTCCAAGCACTGAAAATGATTGTGAGCAGCCCTTCATTTAGCTTAATAACGCTTAATGCCATGTATCGGAGGGGACAAAATATAGTGTTAAGCAATTTTAATGTAAAATATGGCGAGGAACCATATGGTGCAATAGTTAAACTTATTTCCCAACCAGCCAATATGAACAGTACTATTTGTGAAGTGCACATAAATTTAAAAGAGAAGGCGTATTGGTTAAACTCTAGCATATCGACGAAAGAACCAAAAATGTTGCAAATGGAACTTCATTTGGATAAGTAAGTACTACAATATATTAAAAATTATGTATTTACAGTTTGTCTTAACTTGAACTTTTTCATAGAGCCTCTTGGCCCTTAAAGGATTAGAGTTAATGCGCGATGGCCATTCCATTGTTACGCAAGAAATGAATTTGAACACTGTTGTCTTTTAAAAATGTTAATGAAAACATGAAAACTTTCGAGCGTCTTTCCCAGCACTCCGAGTCTAGCATTTATTAGACAATTTAAGTTTATTGCTTCACTGTCCACCTAAGAATTGTACTTAAGCATATAAGCATGCATGAATATGCATACAGGAAGCAAATCCTAATGCCTAAAAGTATAGCGATATTGCTTATGCTGCTCGTTAAACAACAATTATTTACATATGCAAGTGTTAATTATGTTTTCACGAGCTTCAAAGTCCGGTATGCTTGGCGAATCATGTGAGATTCCGCACTATAGTCGGTGATATGTTAATTAATTAATTTTTTCATATCAAAGTTTGGGCGCAAGCAGGTTGGAGAGTTATTTTATCCTCATCTGTTATTGAATTTCCGCTTACTGAAATCATTATTATGTATCTGAGTTTTCTAAATAAATTTTTTTTACTTTTTATTTTCATAGACTTCGGGACCTTTATTTGAAATCCAGCTTAGTAAATTTAGTGGATGAAAAGGAAGTGTCCCTGGAACTGAATTGGGACATGAATCGAGATCCTTCGCAGCGTCTACTTCTATTAGCTGACTACAAGAAGCCTTCTAACTGGAAACATACTGGTCAGATTTTAGTCTCTTATCCTGATCGCACAATTAGCTGTGCAGTAAATGTATTCACCGAAGGGCCCAAGTACCATGGAGATTTGCATGCATCATGGGAAATCAATGAGGCAATAACCCTTAAGTACAATGTTGGTTTGTTGCCCATGGACAATGTTAATCATTGGCTGCATGTAGAAATTCAAACACCTTTCAATAATTGGGCTATGAACAGTATTGATGCGGGAGTCTACAACAACGGAAATTTATTATTGGCAAATACGTCGCTAATTTGGGGTGAAAATCAAAACATTAAATTAATTTGGAAAAGCGACGTAAATATGGAGAAAATTCCAACACTGCTGGATATTCGATTTGGTTTGAACAGTACGATTTTAGAAATGCCTTCAATCAACTTGGAGATTAGGAATATGCGTGACTTGAACAAATTAGACAGTGGCGTAAGTTTACGTTACAGTAGTGCCAATGACACTGTGAAAATTTATTGTTGGAAGTCAAAGTGGGAACTGAGTAAAGACGAAAAATTCCAAAACGTAAGTGGCACAATATTTGTATTGACCCCTTACAAAGAGTTTTGGAAAGGTGGATTAGCTACAAAGTTCAGCTTAAGCAATAGAAAAGAAATAATTGGAGCGGCTTCAATAACATTTAACTTACGAGAAATCACGTTAACCGTGGATGGTTATGTTGAGAATTTGCATGATAACATGATAACGATTAATATCACTACACCTGTCAGCAAATTCCGCCATATTAAATGTCGCTTTGGTTTGAATGAAAAAAGAAGAAACGTTGTTGCTGAAATTCGTACACCCACCACAGCACTGGGCGCTGAAGTTTTGTTGGATGTTAAATCTTTGGCCGATTTTGATGTAAAGTTGAGTATAGCTACACCTATCGAAAATCTCAGGCTTGCCGCCTTGTATGCGAAATTAAACAGGAATGCTGTAGATATGCGAGGTGAATGGAATAATGTTACTCTTGGTTTTACAGGAATATCCTACATGAACGATTTGAAAGATTTCGAATATTCCTGCAAAATTTTTACACCACTTCAAGACTTCGAAGAGCATGGATTTGTGATAAAGTTTTTGAAAAAAGATATTTTTGTGCTGAATTTGCATTTTAAATTTTCGCATTACAATTGCGGAATAAAAATGAATGGAAAACCAAAATCGCTGATTCTAAAACAGCTCGGTGAAAAGATAATTGAATTAGAAGCAAAGTATGATAAAGACTTCAAACCTCCAAAAGTTGTTGAGACTGATTTCGCTGATTTAGAATATGATGAATATTTCGCTTACAACGTGGAATTTGTACTGGATTTGTTGGTTTGGCCTACCATCGAAGGAATGGTGGATGTTGAAGAAATATTAGACTATTACTTTACTGTTGCCAATATTAAACTACCACAAGGTCTTGTCGATATACAAAACAATTTATACTTTCCGGATTATTTGAATGTTATCAATGTATTAAACGCAGAAACGCCTTTTGAAATAGCAAAACATCTGAAATTAATTATAGAGCACAATGTCGACTTGAATTTCCAACATCTTCATGAGAAAGTGAAATGCTTAATCACCAAAAGTGATTTAGTGAGTGGAATAGGCATTGATGTTGTCTACTTTAAGTCCGCCGATTTGATAGAACAACCGGAGCACAATATAAAGATAAATTTGGAGCTACCAACCAATAAGACCGTGGATATAACTGGTAAAATGGATTTAGATGACAACATGTTTAAGGGTTCTTTAAAAACTATTGTGGGCGACAAGAGTCTATCGATGGCACTAGCTTTTGAGGTAAGATTCCACAAGCGTGTACTTTATAGATATTAAGAATTTTGGGAAGAAAGTCAAAAATTATGCAAAGAATTAAAAACAATGCCATTAGTGTCTATATACACACATACCTAATAATTACTAATTACATTTACACATACATATATTTATAACTCTTTCATTCTTTTGAGTTGATTAAATTGTTTTTAACACTATTTATCTGTCCGTTTGTCCGCTTTAATAAATCCGAACATTTTCTTTCTCTTTTTAAATTCATTATTGGTGTATATGTCCCGGTTAGTCCTTAGTGGGTCTAAAGCTTTTTCATCAACCAAAATGAACAGTTTACATATTCGTTATATTTACTGAAATCACACATACATATCAAAGCTACTTCCCTGCAAACTCCGCGACTACTCCTTTCACGTGTGAAATATATACTCCCCGCGGACAAAGTAGTAATCCACAATTAACCAAAATCCATACAAAAAATATAGTCCCACTTACATTGCAATGTCCTAGGGCTGGATCATATAATCGCTCTCTACATGACACCCGAGTAATCCATGGATTACATGAAACTAGTTTTGAAACTAACCCAAAAAATAGTTCACACAGTACCTGCAATGGGTTATATTATGGAGTATATTCGAAAAAGATACACAGATATAATTTTTAGTTTCGAATACAATTCGTTTTGTTCAAAACATACATACAAACAAACATTCTAAAATAATTTTATCATATGAACTTAAATTAATATTTTATTGATAATAAACATGGTCTACATATGTAAAATACTAGTTAAATTTGCGCATATAAGAGTTTCAACTTATATTCTCAACATATGCACGCCCTCTATGTACCAGCAGCGCTCACCAATGAAACGAAACTGACTCAATATCTTTTTTTTTTTTAAAATCTCATTGTGCACATGTTAAGTAATTGTGATAGTTAAGGCACTACCAGCTTCCCTAAAATCTGTTAAAGGCCTTTCCTTGGAGGACAGTTTTTTATGTATTTTGCTGCATACAAATTTCCCTTGCTTGTTTCTCGGGCAGATGTTGCCCGTTTGAAACATTTTGACTTTAGCGTCTGCACCAAGAAGGAATTTTTCGAGAACAAATAGCTGGCCAATTTCTGACACACACCAGATAGTGACGAATCAGATGGCGAAAACGGAATAAAAAATAATTTTTTTTATATTGCAGTCTGAGGAAAATTTTCTCGAAGTAACTGCTAATTATGGGTTAGAAGAAAATATGTCACCACGACACAATAGCAGTATTTATATAAAGCAAGAATTTTCTGGAGTTGATAAGTCGCTTACAGTAAAACTGGAATTAAATAAAGAAAATGCTGTAAACAAGGTGAGTTGGTAATATTCATATAAGTACATACCTACTACGTGAAAGGCATATATTTACAAAAATATTTGAAACTATTATTCTAGCTGGACGCTGATGTGGCATGGCAGGTTGGGAATGACAACGTGGAGATTATTTCCAATGGCAAATATTTAAGCACAGAACTGCAATTGAAGTCGTTTGAATACTCATTTCTATTAAAGAATAATGATAAGCCACAGCTTAATATTGATATGAAATTTTTGAATCGAAATAATTTGATCATGGTTTATGGGATACGAGCAGCAAAATTCGATGAAGTAATAAACGCGGAAATTTGGACACCAATGGAACATTTTAAAAACGTTTCCCTTCATGGCACTATGACTCCTATAAATAACGATCAATATAGAATTGACGGAGTATTCTATCGAGATATGGTTACTTATAACCTTAAAGGTGTTGTTCAGATTCAAAATAGATACCCGATTAATGTGCGTCTGCAAACGAAAACTTTATCTGGTGGTTCCGATGGTATTATTGAATTAAATGTTAAAAACAAACAAAATGCCTTAGAGTATCAATTTGATGCAAAAGAAAATGGAAAAATATTTAAAATGTACGGCACGTTTTCATATCATAATTTAACTGGTCTTGAGTTTTCCGGGCAAGTGGAGTCAACAGAAGCTGAAGTTAATCGAATTTCTTTTAAGGGCAGTTACAAATTCCCTGCACTTGATCGGACTACAGCCAGTTTGTCTTTCGAAACACCCTGGGCTGATATGGGTGTACAGAAAGTAAATATTTGGTCCCAAGTAGATAGACGATTAGATATGGGTCAAATAAGCGGAGGTTATAAATTTGATTCCTATTCGGGAGTTGGAAAATGCGAATGGACCTGGAGTCCAGAGGAAGACATGCGTCTTTTGATAGAAAGTAACATTGATCATCCAAATGAAAACACAAGCATTCTGTTTTCTGAAATAAAATACGTAAATCCTAATAAAAATTTTAAGGACTTAGGTATTGGAGGCAAATTAAATCTCAGTTCACTTTGGTATTTTGAAACAAAAGCTAGCTTAAATTATGAATCGGAAAATGATATTAAGTTTGGATTATTAACACACTGGCCTTTAGTGGAGAATGATATATATGAACTAGTTGGTCGGTATCAAGGAAATCTGATTAGTAGACAAAGCCAAGGCTTAGACGTGTCCGTTGAAGGGAAATATTCAGCGAAAAAATCTAAACAAAGTTATTTAACGCACCTAATATATAGAAATACTACAGATTTATATAGTATGGGTCAAGTTGAATGGAATATAGCTGGTAAGAATAGTACAATACAAGCAGAAGTACAAATGTTGAGAAAAATGAAAGCTCGTCGAGAAATTAGTGCAAAATTAATTACACCAAAATTTGAAAATGAGGCTACTCTGAATTTATTTGGTACCTATGATCAGTTGAAAGATAGCTACCATTACGTTAAGTATGATTTTATAAAAAATTTCCAGAAACAATATTTATAGTATTATTTTTCACTACTAGTTGGACTGTCAACTATCCATCTACAAAAAAGATTGCCGATATAGACCTAACCATTCAGTCCTTTGCCAACTTAAAAGGAAAATTAAATTGTATGACGCCGTTCTCGAAGGCACCATGGATCGAAACTGTGTTGAAATTCAGCACAAACAGGTAATCATTTTTTTTATATTTTTATGTACATAATAGTATTAAGATTGCTAACTAGCTTTTAAACATATCTACTAATTTCCGGATGAAATTCGAAATTCATCATATTGGTAAGAATACAAAGACTAGTATTGTTTAACAAAATTTTGCTATAGCCGATCTTTTTTCTATGATGAAGTCGCGTAAATTCAATATGCAATAAACGTTCCCTCTCTCGTTCTTAGAGTAAAAGCTCTGATCATATAATATAAATTACTAGTTTATTGGACTCCTTCGTAGACTGAACTTCAATATAAACATACGCGTATACCAAACGTGGCTGAGACATGTTTATAATATAAAAAGCTTCCTTCTTTCGAACAATGTTTTTAATTACGAAATAACAATGAAAAGTTTTAATTAAACCTATTTTTTTTTTTTCAATTTAATAGCGAAAATAACTACCGCTTTTGTCGAGTCGATTGGCCGACAGACTTCGTCCTTATCATATTGAATAATACCTATGCACGTAAAGCAAACGAAAACAAAATAGATGGAAAGATACAACTGGAAGTTCCCTTCAATACGCGCCATTACGCCGATATTATATATAATCTCGATCAATATCAACGCAAGGACAATGGCAATATCAAAGTAACGTACAATAAGAAAGAGATTCTCAAAGGAATTTATCAGCGCAAAGAAGAAACATATGACAAATTCAAAGAAACAACTGATATTTCATTAGAGAACGATTTTAGGTCAATAGGAATTCATTTCGTAAATAGTTCTGAATGGCGTAATGAAAATAGTTATTTGAATATAAAGCATGCAGAGATTTTTGATCTACACAATCAAACAAAATTCAACTTGACATGGGAGTTGTATGACTCGACTTCGGGTTCTGAAAAGGAGTTTAAACTGGTTGCCATTCATCCAAATCGTACGGTTATTCTGACGACCAATTATGATAAGTCCTCTATATATAAGATTAATCACCGAACTAAACTAGAACTATCGGACGCAGCATGGATCGGTTACAGGATTGTATTTGGAAAAAGCAACAAGGTAAAATTATTAGCATATTTCTTTAACATACATACATATATCTACTTACATAATTAAATGTTTGTTTTGCTAGCAGAATAAGAATGATGCTCGAAATTTGTTGGCTGAATTATCATATCCAAAACGTAAACTCACAGTAGATGGATATTACGTAACGTCAGCAGATGTCTTCACCTCTAATATGACCTTTTCATGGTCGGCCGCACTGAATAATAATACCAAAGTGGTGCGCACAAGTCTTTTGTGGCGCATAGAACCTCTAAGCCAAAACGATCGAGACAACCAAACGATAATATTTTCATTAGGACACGAACTTTTGGAAAAGGATTTATTAATAAAGGGAAATTTATATCGTGGTATTAAGGATATAATCAAAGCAAACGTACATATAGACTATTCATACGATCCCCAAAATTTGATAGAAGTCAACGCTTTACTAACCGACTTAAGCAGTAGAAATGATTATACAAAATATGCCGTTAAGTTTTTGGCGTATCATAAAGCTTCTCAAATCAACGCACAATATAATGGATCGGCAAATCATTCACCTTTACTTTTTAAAATAGAATCAAATTCTTTATATCAGAGAGATTACTTCCAGGAAAAAGTTGGCGCATTTTTGATACTATTAGATTTGAACCAAAAAGAAGTTGCGTATACGGTAAGTAATACCTTTAAATGTTTAGTTAATTTTTAAGATCGCCTTTTTTGGCGAAATTCTATGAAATAATGTTTTGATAAAATTTTTCAATTCAATTGTAACCGAAGGCTGCCATATGTCAACTAAGACATCAAGGGTTAATAGCTCATTATAAAAAATTCTTATTTAAACTATTTTCAATGACAACCGCAATTTAAATTTTTTCATTTTCTTAGCTGATACATATATAATAGTTTTCTTAAGCTAAATTAAAAATAATATTTCATATTGAATTAAAGATATTTACTAAATTTTATTTGTAGTAAATTATAGTTTTGTTTTGAAAATTTTAGCGGAAATCACCATATCGAACGGTACACCTATGGCTTCAACCACATCTAAGTTATCCTGTTTATGGAATGAATGCTACATTTTTGAATACGCCCGATGATAATAACTCTGGGTTCGTTTACGTTGATATTCATAATAAAATTGCGAAAGCGTATTTTAATTTAACCGAAGACGGAGTTCACAATCTCCATATGCTTGGTTATATACCCGACTCACGTCATAGCTATATTGACATTTGGCGCAACTACGAGGAAGTATACATCGTTGACGTCACTTCCTACCTAAATTTGAATCATTCAAGACAAATAAGCGGACGTTTACACTGGCGCCCCAAAATAAAAAGTGAATTGAAAGAGAAAGCTCGTAATATTAAAAATGCTTTATTGAATTCATTCAACGAACATATTGATTTTTGGACAAAGTCGCTTTACGTAGAAGCGTTGTCTGCAATATCGGATGTTTGGCAAACATCTAAAGAGTATAATAAGGATTTCATTGATGATCTTGCCCAGCTCAGTGTTCTGGAGGAAGACTTAGAAGATTTACGTGAATATTTAAATAGATCATATGAAGCAAATGATTTTTACATTAAATCTGTTGTAAACTTTTCACTTACCATACTTGATGAAGTAGCTTTTCGCGATCAATTTGATTCGTTGCCTGCCATATTCAGCGAGATACGTCAGGTTTTGGGAGAATCCGGAAAAGCTTTACGTCAAAGCATTATACAATTAATTGAGATGATTAAGACTAATTACAACAATATTTTACAGACGTTTAACAACTTCTTCCACGGGCAGCCGCTGAAATACTTCACCGACTTAATGGAGAAAGGTTTCGAAAAGTATGAAAAGTTTGTGAAAGAAATACATATATCATTTATAAACCAAGTAGAAATCATGTGGAATAAATTCTCAAATCTAATTTCCACATATACCAAAGAGATCCTTAAGCGTTTGGAACCATATATATTCAGAGCAATGAGTTTTATCGAAAAGACAGCTTGGGATTTCAGCAAAGAGATTTTCAATTACATTAATGAACGGACAAATGAAATGGCAGAGTCAACATATTTTAATCAAGTGTCCTCTTTTGCCCAAGACATAGAGAATTTGTATAAAGATATTAAGGCACATGATTCAATAGAGAATATAAAAAAATACAGTAATATCGCTTGGAAATTTATCAAAGAGAAATACCAAAAGGTAATACCATTCGGAACAGAAATAAGCGAGATCGTTATGGAAATATGGGAAGAAATTAAAGAGCTGGAAAAAATAAGGCAGGTACAATTTGTTATCAGTAAATTTAAAGAAGTATCGTCTAAAATAGAATGGTTGGAAGAAGAATTGGAAATAAGAAAATATTTGAATCATCTATATGCTCTACTTCGAAACAAATTACAAAATATTGCGTTGAATGCCTTAGAAGTAACCGATATGTATCGTGAAGCAAAAACTAAATTCTTCTTTGATCCTGAGGTGGGTGAAATTGATTTGGAACAAAAATTACCGATATCGTGGCACGCTTTTAATGAAACGCCGCAATTCCAAGAGATTCCAGAGCTCAAATTATTAAGGCAACTTCAAAACATATTAACAGCCAATAATATGTCGCTTCTGGAGCATTTATATGATTGGCGATCGTATTTAGATCCTAAGAAATGGCTACCACAATATTATTGTAAGTATTTTTGTGGCCGCTGTAGCCGAGTTGTTAACATTGCGTATAGCCATTCGGAAGGACGGGGTTCAAATCCTGGTACAACTAACATCCAAAAGCTATATAAAATTAATTTATATTAAAAATTGAGGTAAATTTTATAATTACGGTCGCCCCTCGGCAGGGCAGCTTAGTATAAACTGCAGGCCCTTCCATTGGTTGAAAAGAGCAGCTCTGCCGAAACTCGCTTGAGCGGTTACAAAGCGAGTATATATTTATATTTGTAAAAGTAAATATATAATTGGCCATAAATGCTATATATATTGTATATTTTCAACTACAGTTACTAGCAATTTTATACTAAGCCGCCTCCGAACGGCCAATGAGGGGCGACCGTAATTAGAAAAATAACTTTCTATAATTTTGGTCGGACCAAGACTCGAACTCTGGCCTTCCAAATGGCAGTCGCGTTGCTAATCATTTTAATATTTATTCCTTTATCATCTTTGTAATTTTACTTTAAGAACCAGAAGCATAACTCAAATAATTATTATATCAAAATTTCTTTACAGCTCGTGCGTATTTGATTGACACCAGGTTTTACATAACTCACGACAAGCGATTTGTCAGTGTCGATGTTGACACTAACGGCTTCAACAACTGTACTTATGTTTTATCTCATGATTTTTGGAACAGTACATTTACACTAACAGTCGATTTCTCGGTACTTTTCTTATAATAGTTTAAACAAACAATCTTTTTACATATTTTAAACTTTAAACTTTATTTCAGGATGTGGCAAAGTTTAATCTTCTTGTTAAAGACTATGTATTCCAAATCGATCTAATATCCGATGTAAGTACCATGTATGTATTTATATATATACTTAAAACACATGAAGCAAGGCGTTTAAATATTTGAAAGCAAAAGGGATAATAGGGTTTAAATAAGTAAGACGAAAGCTTGATGCATGATTTCTGAACACGCAGAACGTTTATCGTTTGTATTGCGGAAAGTCTGTAAAGTTACCATGCTAAATAATTATGGATGTTTTTCTAGACTATTTACGCACTGCGGTATAGATTTTGGCAGTCTATATAGAATGTGTACTTCAAGATTACAATGGGAATAAGCGAGCTCATTACGTATTTATAATTTTTTCATTATTTCATTTCCTCTTGGTCCCCAACTTTCCGAGACATATGCTAAACTGCGACCACACGCAACCTTTTTAGATGATACCAATGATAAGCCAGTAATTACAAAAGCCGGATAAAAAGACTTCCTCGAGCCTCACTCGTTGAAGGTTCCTTCATCATAATTTTTGGCAGCATTTTTAATTTGATCGCAACACGTGGCCAAGTTTTTCTACTTTATTCGCAAACATACTTAATCCGCTTTATATTAAATATAATATAATTTAACCCTCAATAACTTAATATGATTTACTTGCAGACTTTATACTTCAATGGAACTTCAAATCCGATGCTGCCCATCACTCTCGAAGATTTGTTAGTGCATAAAGACTCAGATGTTCTGTCAATAAATTTGGACGGTGGATTCAAATTTGAGTGCAATATGAAATTTGATTTGTGTTGGTTTGAGACTAGTGGACGATATTTCGGTAAAACTGCCGGGCTATTAGGCACGATGAACAACGAGCCTCTTGATGACTTTATTACACCGTCTAACACAATTGCTTTATCTAATGATGCCTTTACTGGAGCTTGGAGTACAAGTAGCTGCAGTAAAAAGTCTGTTGGGAAATTGTTGAATAACCAAACTAAAGAGCTCAGCGAAACATGCCGACAACTGTTTTCATCTTTAGCTTATTGCTCAAATATTGTGGATCCAGAACCCTTTATAAACATATGTTTGGAATTAGGTTATGAATCTTATAGAGAAGATCCAAAACGTGCATTCCATAAAAAACTATGCACCTCTGTACTTGCATATATTGAAGTATGCCAAAGATCTAAAGTACCGATACGGATGCCTCAGCAGTGTGTATTGTAAGTATCCATGTTAAATCTCAAATATTTTCACAAAAGCTTATCCGTATAGTAGTTATAATGAGCTGTCATGTTGACCTCAAAGACAAAAGCAGCAAACTTGTTTTGTCCTTAAGTAATAATCAAAAATAAAAGGTCCTTGCTAGACGAGCAAAACCCCAAAATTTATCTGATCTTTGCTTACCCGTCCAACACTTTAAAGGCAGTGGAGTTGGTGAGGGAAAAGTTGTAAAAAATATTAACAGCGCCAAAGCTGTGCCAAATAAGAAGAAGTTATTAAAATATAAATGGAGCAATTGCTGAATTTTAAATTGAACTTCTTAGACCAGCCCATCATTTTAAAAAAATTCAATGGTCCAAAGTGGTTATAAATTTTGATATCTACATTGTACTAGCATTCGCATCAACCGCGAAATTTCAAAGCCCTACGAAGTACCGTTACAAAGAGTAAGCGATTTGTACAGTTATACCACTTACTGAATAATTTTAATTTGTTTTTGCTTAAGACCTCTTGAAGGTTAGGGCTCATATAAACCGTATACACTAGTTCTCTGGATCGTGACTCGCCCCTACATGATAAATGCACTAATTTTGTGATTTTCTAATCAATGCTGATTATCAACTAATTGTGCTGTACTGCATTAAATTAACAAAGAGTTTTTCTTTTATAGTTGTGAACTTACGAACGGTACGTCTGTGGCTGAAGGCGCATTTGTGGAATATCACGACAATTTTGCTTCTCGCAGTAGCGACATCGTCTTTTTAGTAGAAGCAAACACATGCAACACATTTAATAACGGTAATCAAAGCTTCGGATATATGATTTCAGCCCTGGAAGAACAGTTGCAACGCCAGAAATTTATTAATAACAGGTAAAACGAGTATATTTAGAAATTTCCTTACTTATATATATGCATTTGTGTATTGTGCGTTCTCTCTCTCAGATATGCGGTTGTTGCCTATGGATCACAACGGTCGCCATTCAATTATCCACGCATAATTTCGTATCGAAATGGTGTATTTGTTAATAACACTGACCAATTAAATGACTATCTTGCACATGTAACAACTCTTTCAAAGAGTGAGGACAGCTCCAATCCGAAGAGTGATATATTGCAAGCTATCTTGAAGGCATCTAGATTAAATTTCCGACCGGGCATTTCTAGAACATTTATATCATTATCCTGCAGCCGTTGTGATATAAAGCAAATGCGTTTCGATTACTCTTCGATATTGCAATATTTAATTGATGAGGGCGTTAGTTTGCATATTCTCACTAACGCCGACATTAACTTTGATAAGTCTCGCAAAGTTCGTCAATATTATGGATTCGATAAGCAGTTTGTGTATTCTAATCGTAATCCGGAAGGTGATAGCGAAATGCGACCTACACTCCTTATATCAAAAAGCAGTCTGGGAGTGTGTACCCCATTAGCTATAGAGAGTGGTGGATCAATTTTCAGCATAAGAAAAACGATGACTGAACGAAAGAATTCAATGAAGCGTTTTGCTAATATTTTTGCGAAGCGTGTAGTGCAAAGTTCCATACCCAATGGCAGTCAGACTTGTGAGTGCGTTGGACATAACAACGTTTTGGCCTATATGGTGTGTACACCAAGTGAAGATCATAATCAAGGATCAAGTTATGGTGAAATTGTGAGTTAATTTTAGTGTAAAAACATAAATATGTACACAATTATTAATTTTAAAACCATCTACGTTTATAGGATTCAGATTTCTCTGACTGGGACTGGCAAACAGAAGATTATGATTTGGAATGACATCGAGTATCTTTAATATACCATAATGCAACATAATAAAAATAAAAGTAAAAAAATCAGTCACTATATTTTAAATTGACTTTGGTCATTCGATGGCTGGTAAGTAGTTAGACTTGCGTCGGTATTAACTAATGTACTAACCACTCTATCGGCTATCGACAGTAATTGTTCTGTTAAACCCACATTCCAGTTAAACATGCAGAAGTTGGTTCTGGTTTTATAAAGAAAGAAGCCTCAAATTTAGAATTTAGGTAAAAAAAGATATGGGCTATTTACAAGTATTTTAGAATAAGACGTACGACAGATATTCTCAGTAAACTCGCCACTGTTGTTTGTCAACGCAGGTGGGGTAACAAGCCTTACTTGTCTGTGCCTATGGGTCAGAATGCAAATTTGTGCACTGCTGTAGATCAGAACTAGAAGATTTGACTGTTGGAAGTCTGGTTTCTCAATGCGAGGTTAATACATACACGTACATATGTAAATATATACAATTAGATCTTCCGTGTGTATGAAAATTATACTTAAGAACTCTTTAGCCATTCTAAAATGGACGTTAATCAAAACAGATATAAAGTCGATTTATAGATATCAGTTAAAATTAAATTACGAATAAGTTTTTTTATTCTTCTAACGCTTTAAATTATTTAACAATAGTATAACTGATTTAATGGTGTAAACTAATATTTTTGCAAAATATGCAAAAATGATAGAGTTGTAAAATTTTCTTTGCATATCCGGTACTGTTACAACAAATGGAGTAAGGATAATACAGGATCCACCATTTGAAAAACTTGGTCTGCTTATACTGTTATTATTGTTGTCATTATCTAGAGTACTATGATTGGCATGTTGCATGGCTGCTGGACTTTCACCTGAAAAATAGGAAAATGTTAACAGTATGTACGTATATTTGGTTATGAATAATACATATGAAGTTGGTAATTGACCAAAAGAATTGTAGGATTCAAGTCTAGATGAACTCGGAAGAAAGTTTAATGAATGACATGATTTTTTTGAAAAGTAGGCGCTCTATTTAAGCCTTTTTTAAATTTTGTAGCAGAGTACATTGTAATGTAGTTAAATATATAATAAACGAGGTATGACAATGAAAAAATGAAACTAATCATATTGCCGCGACCTGAAAATTCCTTTCACTTCTTCCGGCATCCTTCTCCACTCCATTGAAATATTTGCCATCGCTCTAGCTTGTTTAGTTCGCCTACTGTGTCGTGTTGAGTAAACGTGGGTTCGTGGTGCTCGTCACAAAAATGGAAAAACGAAATCAAGAGCAACGTGTCGCGATAAAATTTTGCGCCAAATTGGGCGAAACAGCTTCCGAAAGTGTAAAAATGCCTGGTGATAGTGCTCTTAGTCGTGCCAGGTGTTTCGATGGCATACAGAGTTTAAGGAGGAGCGTGAAAACGTGGAAGCCGAGGCGCGGATGATCATTGCCTTTCTTGATAGCCGTGGAATCATCCACAAAGGTTTTCTCCCACCGAGGCAAGCCGTAAATCAAGTCTACTATCGCCAAGTACTCGTTAGATTGCGAAAACGAGTCAACAGGGTTCGTAACTGGATCTTTCATCACGACAACGCGTCATGCCACACCGCCCTCAGCGTGTCCCAGTATTTGGCCTCTAAATGGATCTCCGTGCTACAGCAACCTAGAATAAAATCGGTGGTCAAAGGGCACTCGCGGACATCCCAGTCGAAGCGTTCCAAAAATGTTACGAAGCTTGGAAAACGCGCTGGAATCGTTGTATAGGTGCATAAGGGGACTACTTTGAAGGAGATGACAGAGTTGTAGAATAATTTTGAAATATACGGTTTTTATGAAATAGTCTCATTACTTAATTGTCACACCCCAATACGGTTAAATTTGTTATATCGCTCACCAATGAAAATATGCACAATATTCAATTTGAAAATAAATAAAAATATCCACTCTCAGATATGTACTTCATACTTCAATTTTAACGTTTAATATTCTCTGTTAAAGATTTAACATTAACGAAAGTATTTCGTTTCGACTAGGAACAAAATAAAATTTATTTTGATAACTGCTTTAACGAAATTTCGAGCCGAATCGATAAAATTTTTTTTAACGGGAAATTGATTGCGACGACGCAGCCATGGTTTTAATGTAACTTCCGAAAAGAGTATCAATATATTGAAAGTGTGTAACGTGCTATGCAAACTTACCACGCAGGACATGTACAGTAATGCTGACAGATCTGGCATTGGAAGGTGCGCAGGTATAATTCCCGGCATGATGAAAATGGACCACTTCCAATGTTAAAATGCTAGATGCAGGCGATAGTAAATATGGAGATGACATTGATTTGGTTACCAATGCTGAATTATTTTCAGTATAATAATCCTTATCTTTATTTTCCATGCGATCAGAGTTGGGTCTTTTGCTCGTATTTATCATTGAGTTTTCTAAGGTCTTGTTGACGCTTTTAATAGCGGTATCTGGAACCGTAACAGAACTAACGGAAAATCCTTCCTGTGCATCATAGTTAACCATTTTATTATTATGATACCTAAAACGAAAATGATTTCATATTAGAAAAGTTTGCAAAATAAATAAATATATTGTTAGCAATTCTACTACATATACAAAGTCTATGGATAGCCTGATCATACTAGCAACCAAGCAGTAGTAACTAGAATTAAAACAAAGGAACTGGTGAGAAGAGTTTTAATTCGTTGTGTCTGCTGTAGAACCTTGGTATCTCTGTCCAGAACAACGAAAGGATAGACTTTAGCTACAATCGCTGCGAATAGATATCGAACGAGCCGTTGGAAAAGGACGGATGAAAGGCGATCGACGCCTTGTCGACATTATCATCTATAGTCAATTATTTAGTCTGCGTACTTCAATTAAAAATAATATGACTTGACTTATTTTTTACTGAAAAATGAGAAATCGGAAGTATAAAACGTTTATTGAAAACAATATTGACCAAATGACAAGCTCTTACTGAAATTATAAGTCTCAACGGTTGATATATACATTTTTCTATTCGGCCTAGTCATGGTTGGCTTGTTGGTGACCTGACCTGACTCGCTTGTTCGGATTTACTCACTGGTTTAAGTCATCACAGTGGTTTAACTTCATAAAATGCTATAACATTTTAGTGAATTTTCTCAACTATTAACGCCCGTAGCGTCATAGTCATTTAAGACTAAACGCAGATTTTGAGTGCATTTCTCATGACAATTTTTTGTGGAATAACTTTTGGCTATAAGATTGTAAATATTGTGGGCATATATTTTTGCCTTTGCTTACCAAAAAACAAACGCAGGGTTCTCCGTTGCCTTTTTCAGTCTACATTCCAAACGTAGAGATGATCCCTCATCAATATGCAAATCTGGTGCTCCAACGATTTCTGCGACCGCTTCTGTAATGTCAAAATTATCAATTTTTTTAATACTGTAGATACAAATCACAGTCGATCAATTTTATATGCAAAACTAAAAAAAAAAAATAAATATGAAAAAGGTACTCTCTTCGAAGTCTTCATATACTTATGTGCGTCACTGTTTAAGATAATAATAAAAAAACCAAAAAATTTTTAGTAATTTTATTATTTAACTAAAGCAATTAAATATGTATTTAACTATTTACTATTATTCGAATTTCTTCAAAGTAGTATAAAAGTGCTTACCCACAACTTTCAGTTCGACAAATATTGATTCGGTAGGGTAAATAGATAATTGGCATTCATATAATCCACGATCATTTTCTCGAACAGATTTTATTCTCAAAGACCAATGTCCCATGTGACGCGTGTGCTCTACGAGGAACCTCTTATCACTACTGTGTGTCGATAATCCAACCGTAAGTAATTGGAAGTCCTTTCGACGAATCCATGAAACCTTTAAAGATATTAAATATATCAGATATATGTGATTGTTATATGGATTAACAAAAATTAGAAAAAATACTATTTCAAATTCTAGGCTTTATTGGTTATCAGTAAGTTTTCAACAGACTGAGGGTTGGTTATAGCTGATTATTGAGTTATATTAAAATCAATGATCATTGCTATGGTATCCGTTTTTTTTTCTTAACGCTTACACAATTGGCTGCGAGTTTTTGTTTCGACTAGATACTATCACATAGAAATAAATATCTTGTCTCCAAAATTATATAATTACATACAATTAATTTTTATCATCCTATACTTACTGTTGCTGGAGAATTTAATTTGACTACGCAGGGTAGAACAGCTAATCCGCCCTTTTGTGCTATAACTCGAGTGTTGTTCTTTGTAGTAAAGTGAGATTGACCAGAGTCTCCAAAATGGTTTTTTATTGGTGTCATTTTGCTAACATCTACAAAAAGTACAGTTAAGTTGTTTTAAAAAATTATAAAAAGAAATAATATTTTTTATAGTGCAATATAAATATCTCAGCACAAATTAGTCGAAAGTATAACAAATTTAGTAATTATTAAGTTATAAAAGTTATTCAAACAACTTTTACGTTTTCTTCCAATTTTCTGATAAAAAAAATATATTTATACATCAATAGAATAGGTGAATATTAAATCAGTAAGCGTGTTTAGAGTTCTCTCGCTGCACTTTGGATCGCTCGTCTGTCGATCTAAAATGTCTAAACCAATAATATTCACTCGGTGTACCCACCGCTGGTTGTTATACGAATTTTATATTGAGGTAAAGTATAACCCTACAATTTTTCAAATTTTTAACTTAGCCTTTACTTATATTTTTTTCTTTTTTTATATTACATACATATCGTACGTACATAAACGCAAAATGCTTTAAAAACTCAAATAAGTTTCGAATTTGAGACGATAGTTCGTTGTATTCGGATTCGTTGGAGATTTATTTTCCATTAGTGAATAGGTTACATATAACAAGTCACTCGAATAGCTGGAGATTCTCAAAAATTTTTCGAGAAACCTGGGATCGAATCGAGCGTTCCGTGAAAGTAATACGCGTCACGTAAATTTATGTATTTGACATTACGCCATACTTGAACGTGTACTCGTTGTCGTCATGCAGTATGATACGTTCGGAAAGGCCATACGTTAACGAGTTTTTCTTTGAGAATTGCCATTCGATTACAAAATTGTTTTCGTAATCGAGCAGGCAGAAAAACGTAAGTAATTTATTTTAAAATTTTATAAAAAATATTGTTGAATTAATAAAGAAAATACTATTTTAGGACAAATGGAAATAAAATTAACGCGGCACTAAAGAAGTTCATCGCTGAATTCATGCGGTTATATCCAAATTTAGCAAAAAACCATTTGCCAAACTGCACACTGGGCAAAGCAAATGCTTGGAAGAAAGTATACAAACATACATATTCCTTAAGATCGAAATTTTTCTCAGCGTTAAATTTTAGGTACACGCTGACAAAAAGTACAAGGCGAAAAAAAAACTTGCGAGCTCGCTTAATCGCCTCCTCATAGTTCGTTCATCGGCATCACTTTCATCGGAAGATAAACAAAAAAGTTAAACGCCGGCCATAATTGCTTTTATTTGACAAAATATTAAGCATTTGGGAACAGCTGATTCAAAATTGTAAGAGAATAATGAAAGAGATGAACATGAAATCTTTTACATATTCAAATAAATACGATTATTTCGTACGACTGCCGATACGCTCACGGAATGCTCGATTCGGCCCCTAATTTTTTCGAGCTCTCCTCAAGAAATTTTTCTGTCACATATTTGTCATCCTCGTCTCTGTGTTTATTGGGGTACGACTGCTGTAAAGGATTGTTAATTAGTTTAAAAGAATTATATGAATAGAGTTGATCGAATTAATCTTTAACGCTTACAGATTTTTTTTATTCTTATTAGTTTGAATTTTCTCTTTGAGGTATTTTAGAGAAATATGAACATTATATTATATGTATTTACTATATTGAAAATTTCTTAATTCTAAAAACATAACTTTTACCTATTGGCTGTATTGGTGTCTTACCTGATTGTGTACCAGTTGACATTGAAGAAATAAGTGAAAATATATACCAAATAGCATTAAATTTTAATTTTATCTCAACCATTATATGCCAGCAAGCAGCCTAAGATGAATGCCATGTTTTAAATACCCACAGCTATATTTTATTTTGTGGTCCTTTGGCTGAAAATTGTAAGTTACTTAAGATATATATATTCTAAATAATTCAGTTGCTCACAATAAAATATATGTACATATTTATATTGCTTAAGATAAGTTTTTTCAATATTATTAAGATGCAAGACAATATATATAAATTATATACTTTTAGATGAATAAAAAATAATCGAATTTAATTAGAAAACCAATTGCTGCGTACCATTTGAGTAAAGAAGGAGTTTCTTTATTGAGATAGGTGTGAAATGGCCTTACTTACTAGACTAGAAACTTTCGTTTTCATCCTTCCTCACTTAAAGGTAATTGAACCATACTGATTAAGCGGCCCTACAGGCCGTTAACCCATTTAAAGCAGGGCATATCTTACTCACTAGGATATATAAAATATCTAACGTACTAACATAGAAGGTAAGGTACCGAGAAATAATGAGCTTTATACTACAGTAGGCAACGGCTTTGGCTATTGTCAAGTTTTTTCAGCTCTATCAATGAGATTTGTTTGATGTCAGTGACCTCACTTATTTCTATCTAGGATGCTGAGTTAGTAAAACAGTTTCTTTATGGCAGCCATGCTTATGTGATCAGCCCTGAAATATGCTACTTTGAACTAAGGAGTCATTTGAAAGCTATGGTCTTCTCTACGAACAGAGACAAAGATCTACACTTCGCCCAGCATTCTCTTTCTGCTAAATTGTGCTGATGCTAAAGGGTCGTAATTTTGACCTTAGGCAACGACGAAGCTCCTCGCCATTGAAACGGGGAGCTGTACGCGATATTCATATTGCTCAGCGAATAAAGTAAAATAATAAATGTTAATTAAGATTAAAAAATTAAATAAAACAACGTAAAATAAAATAAACCAAATTCAAACAAAAATAAAAAGTAGAATAAATTAAAATAAAACAAAATAGCTCGAAAAAAATAAATTAAAAGTAATTAAAAACAAAATATAATATGAAAGCTTAACAACAACGCATCTTTTACGAAGTTTCGTTCAAATGATTAGGTAAATATTGTAAAAATTCAGTGTTTATATACCACGTGAGTATAATATAGGCTAGTAATAAAACAGAGTAGCTTTTTTCAATGGGGTGATAGAACAAAAATGAAAATACAGTTAATCAGCTGTTCAGGACGATAAGAACAACTTTATCTTACCAACTTTCTCAACAGCATCGAGTTTAAGCTTTCGCCCAAAGTGGAGGATGTTTATATGCAATATCATATGTATGTGTATATGTGTATCAATATGTTAAAAGAGTATTTCAAAAAGGTATTTAATAACATATACATATATAGATATGAATTAGATAACTCAACCAAAGTCTAGGCGTATTAAAAAGATTTAGTACTCATAAATAATAGCTTCAAATTTTCATCTAAAAAAGCAACAAATTTTGCCAATATACGTATGTATAAATAGGATATGTATACATAATTGGCGATATGTATTTACACATTTTATACAGAGAGCAAAAACAAATGGGTTACATCTGCAATTAAATTGTATAAGTGCCCTGTTTTCTTTTATTAATCTTAGGAAATCATGCCCATTTCATTTATTTATTTTGATTAAAGGTTTAAATGACATGGTTTGCTTGCTCGTACATACATATGTATGTATGCATGTATAAACAAATGTGCATATTTTACCTCACTTTTTCTTCGTTTGATGTTTGCTTATGCTGAATACGGACACATGACACATTTAACATTTCACTCAAAACATTAAAGTCTTTAGTTTATGATAATTTAGCATATTTTAAATTAATTCAGTCATCCACATATTTATTGAAACTAAAATCTAAGAAACATTTCGTTCGAAAACCACAATTAACTGAAATTTCTGCGCAGGCGCTAATTTCAGATAATAGCTGAAATTTCCAAATTTCTCGAACGCAGTCTGCTCGAAATAAAATGACTAAAATATGTTGCGATGCGACTATATAAGACAAGCGTAACCAGATGCTTCGCTCTTGATCCGAAAACTTAATATAAATTTAAAAAACGATAATGAACTTTAATTTTTCAGTTAATATATTGGAAGAAAGTTAAACTTATGTCCTTGAGTAATGTTCAAGGATTATGTAAGTGGGTTCTTACGGTAGAAGGGATACATTTTCGATTTTGCAGAATTAATCCATATATTTAGCGGTGTGGTGGCTACTGATGCTTGCGGTTATTTAAAAGGCAAGGATTCGACCAACATCCAAAATTATAGAAAATTTATTTCTCTAACTTAATGTAATAAAAAGCTCCTTATAAAGCTCAGCTGTACGCAGAAGGCTCAGAACTAACTGTAGGTCCATAAATTTGTGGAAAAAACTAAAGATGCCTACCACGAACTGAAGCGATAATCGCTTCAATGGTTACAAAGTTGTTGAGGCAATACAACCCTCCCACGAGTTCAGTTTTCTTCAGACTGGATAAAGAGGCGGAGGATACGGCTCTACTAGTGAATGAGGGTAAGACGGATTATTTCCTATCCTCACACAAACAAGTCATCGCATTTGCTCGGTTCCCACTAATGACCGTCATAAAGAGGCGAAGGATACGGCTCTACTAGTGAATGAGGGCAAGACGGAATATTTCCTATCCTCAGACAAACACGTCATCGCATTTGCTCGGTTCCCACTAATGACCGTCATAACTAATGATAATCGCTTCAATGGTTTGAAAGTTGTTGAGGCAATACAACCCTCCCACGAGTTCAGGTTTCTTCAGACTGGATAAAAAGACGAAGGATACGGCTCTACTAGTGAATGAGGGCAAGACGGAATATTTCCTATCCTCGGACAAACACGTCATTTGCTCGGTTCCCACTAATGACCGTCATGACTCTTAATTCGTAGATAATTTCGTCCATCTTGGAATCAGCATTGAAATCAATAATAACTTTAGCCTTGAAATCCAACGTAGAATCATTTTTGCCAAAAGCTGCTACTCTGGACTGATCAAGTCATTCTAAAGTAAAGTTTTCTCTCGATGAACAAACTTTATAAATTGCTCATCATTCCCGTCCAGCTATATGCTGAAGAAAATGAATGGCGCGCTGTTGATAACTCGGCTATAATCGCGTAAGCAGTGTTTACGCCGCTAAAGAAGAAAATGAAGTGTGGGTCTGTTACACAAAACTGTTACTAACTTTATGGAAACGATAACTTAGTATTCTTTAAGATGTATTGACTTGGCATCTAACCACGAAATATCATCTCCACAAGCTGAGTAAAGTTGAATCGGCTGAGTGCAGAACATGTCCAGAAATTGTGAAACGTGAGTGTTCGGTCTTCGAAATCGGCTGATTGAAAAGTCACATCTTTCACGGTGGCCCCAGATGCAACCTTCCCGAAGTGGGCATGGCTTTTTTAAATCGAATGAAATGTTCACTAAAGTGTAGTTAGGTTACGCGGGGACAACAATGGGCTTCGTTGTGGCCCCTTGCTGTTAGGTCTTCAACCTCCCCTTGCAATCAACCAACCAAGCAAATATTGGTCATAAATTAACCAAATACCAACAATCAAAAGAGGACATTAAAATAATAATGTGCATGCTTCGCTGGTGAAATGGAGTCCCCAAACGATTACTCCATATAATAATAATATACGACCTACTATCTCATTTCAATCCCGATGGCTTAATGCCTGAGCTATTCAACTACGAACTGACGAAGAAGTGTGTAGCCAGAAAGTGCTGTGTTCATTTCACAAAAAAGAGGATCTCAAAGCCTGTGAGAATTGCTGTGGCGTATTGACTGAGATTTTAAGTCCCACCGTCAATTTACTGAGTGAACTCTATCATTGTGGCTTTTGACCAAGAAAATCCACTATCGAAGGTCGTCACCTATTAATTCTTTGATTTTAGATATTATATGAGGACTTTAATTAACTTGCCCAAGTAAAACGAAATCATATTTATTAATATTTATAATATAATAACATCTTCATGTAGTTGGTGGTTCTGGTGGAATGTCAATGGTTCCGCTCCACGTCTTCGTATGGTTTTTGGTAAAGGCAATGATTCCGCTCCATTTTAGCGACGTCTCTCACGCGGCAGTAGGGATCGAAAAAACCGAGAATCCGATTCTCTTTGCTCAACCGGACGGTAGTGCATGTATTCCGCTCCGGGTGATACTTCTCCCTTTTCAATTTCTGACGCATCAATGGTTAGGATGGTGTATGCGTCAAACTCTTGCACGCTCAAGGCCCTGGTATCGATCTGCTTATCAGTCTACCCTTCAAAACGAAGCATCGTGTGGTGCTTTGTTTGGCTGTACTAATACACGACTCGGCCCGATGTGTCACCGACAAGCAGTTAATGCAGCACTTCCCCGATAATGACTCCTTTCGGTAGCCTTTCTCCCGTAGTCTTTGCGCTTAATAATATTTTAAAACAGCATTTCGAAGAAAGTTCTAAATCCATGATTTTTGCATTTTTCACGGAATAAATAGATTAGGACAATTTTGTTTTAAATTTTTTTAAAAGGTTTTATTCTCTTTATAATCTCGAATACTAAAGTGATAATTTTACATATATAAATATTAGCGTATTGATCTAAGTACATGTGATTCAAATAATGGTGCTGATGGCTCAACAGAATAAAAGCCTAACAGCGGTTCTTATTCTAGGACATGGAGCATTACGAAAATCTTCAGTTTAAAAAACGTTTGACTTGAAAGTTATGAGCAAAAGTTGCATGATGAATAAAAGTAGAGCTGACTTGGCGAAACTTGCAGCCGCTGTTGGGTTAATTAAGGCCGTTGTTGGAAGAAAGCATGATTAGTCGTTTAGGTTCAGTCGCTGTACCTCATGCTTTTTCAACCGACAGCAGCAGTCCATCTGCGCCATAGCGGTCTCTCAGCATACGCTAGCAATTATACACTTTTTTCGAAGATTGGCTTTCCAATTTAGTTCCTCTGCTCATTTTAGCCGTCACCTCATTTGGTACCGAATGGTTAAGAGATGTTTTTACTTTGGCGCTTCTGGTATCAAGCTGTCGAAGAAAGCTTAAAATCAACAAAGAGGCAATATTTGTTGATCCTTTAACCATTTATAAATATTTTAGAAATATACGTACTTAAACCATACAATCAGTCGCTGTAACCAAGTGGATAGTATTGCCTGGTCATATGCCCAGGGTCATTGCTTTCAACCCTAACTAGATCAATACCCAAAATTACAGAAATGGTTCATTCTAAATAAGATCGCCACTCGGCAAGGAATATCAGGGCTCCTGATTGTATTTCTGACATCAGAATAAAAAGGAATCAAACAGCCCCTCAGTAGCAGCTCACGCTCATTCATTATATATATGTATGTAGAATTAATGTTTACTAGAAACATTTAGTTTGATTGGCAAACAATTAATTATCAGTAATGACTATCATAAGAAAATTTTGTTGGTATTAACAAAAAATCTCTTGTAGTATGGTATGCAGTTTATATAAAATTTCAGAGTACTAAAATCTAAGTTTAGGAGCTTTAAACATATGAAGTTTATTGATTTTTTTTAAATATTTGAAGTTTATTTGTCCTATTCATGGATAGTGGACTACTTTTAGCACCCATTTCATATTTAAAAACTTAAAAAATCGATCATTTGAATTCGGTTTGATTGTGGTCTAGAGTTATCCTTTTCTTTATAATGGCTTTATAGCCGTGGAAAAGATTTTCTGCAAAACTTTTCATACGGTTTGAGGTGTACGATTTTAATTTCATTCCCTCCTACAACTTTAAATCGATTCCGAATGGCTGTGGATCTTGTCATCTAGGCAATATACCAGGAGGTATTGGTAATCTTTGCCAAGAGGCTGCCATACTTCTTTTAAGGCTGGACTGGCTAGGGCTCGAAAACATGAACCTTCCGGTCATAGCACGCACTTGTCAACTTATTTATATTCCTATTTGTGAAAGTTTTATCTTCTTCAGAAAACTATACGAAGTAACATGCATCTACTTTTTGTCAAGTTTTGTTGAGCTCGAAAGAGATACACGTATGATTCAAGAAGGTATTTATTTCGTCTTTATAACTTCATTGTTTATGTACCTGAATTTGCGATTTCCTACATTAAGTCTCATGAAAATATTTTACTTTTTACTCCAGTAGTACTTTACACCACCGAACGAAGTCACAGACGGACATACTTTCCTAAATCTACTTTAAGACGGTGTCTTGCAAAAAGCTATCCTGTGTACAATACATAAAAGTGTTGGCTCCTTTTAATCAAATTGAAAATTGGCTTAACTTCAAAGAAAATTTAACCAAATTAAATTGATTTCGTTACTCGTTTTATATTTTAATCTTTACAATCACAACACCTTTTTATTACCTACAGATTCATACTGAACACCTTTTCAAGAAATATTAAATAAAAAAAATTGCAAGCCACAGGAGCAATTTACTATAAACAAAATAGTTTTAAATACGATAGAATTAGTGTAGAGAATGTAGGTTGTATCATTCATTATCAATTCATTATTTCGCCCTTCCCTCAATTTTAAGTTTTTCTTGTCACTGCGCAATAGCAACAAATTTTATTTTATGTAAGCGAGGAGCGATTTTCCAATGTGTGCGGAGTTTTCATCCAGTGCCAAGTTTACCGGCAGTTAACTTCGTATACATAAAACTTTATCGCCTCCGTTACATATAATAAGATTTAATAAACGGTTATTTATAATTACAAAGAACAAGAACAAAAAGTTTCGTAATTTATAATTGTTGATGTGTTGAAGCAAATAAAGTAATATTCAAAGTCGTGCACATAATGATCGATTGGAGGCGAGTTCTGATTCTATCCTAAATGATATATTTTGCGGTCAATCAACCAATTTTAGAGCCAAAGGATTAATTATATTAATAAGATTTTAAGTATTTCTACTAAACGGTCTACATTATATAACTGAAAATAATTGTCAATTATTAATATTTTTGCAATTATATGCACTTATTATTAAATACACTTTGAGCAATTATGTGCGTCTTGATGTTTTACCAACAAATTGAAAGACATAAAGTTTATTCTAAGCAGCCTCCGAACCGCCGATAGATTTTTATGAGAAGCTTTTTATTTTGAGTCAGAAATACACTGGAGGGCTTCATATTCTCTGTCGAAGGGCGACCACTAGTAGAAAAATCAAACTTATTTAATTTTTGAATATTGGTCGGACCAGTACTCGAACCCTGGCTTTCCTAATTTTAGTTTGCAATGCTAACCACTCAGATACTGCGAATGCCAATTATTTTTTATAATTTAACATATCTGTTTGAAGAATCTTATGAATTTGAATTTGGTCTTGTGGTCAGGGTTAAATGATTTATGAATGCTTAAAAAATTAATATTAGATATGTTACTAACACAGATGATCTATTCATATACATATATAACATTTGTTTCATTAAAATAGCGAAAAGTTTCTATGTTGTGTACGTTGCAGCCTATTTGGATTCAATGTTTTTCTGTCCTTTTAGCCAAATAAGCATTTTCTTCATCCAAGTTTCATTACGAAATAATTATTTGTTCCATATACTTACATCTTTTGCTCACTTTCCTTTATTCCATTTTTCCTATAATTTACTTTCACAAGGATGAGCCTTGAAGGATCTTGTCTCTTCACCATGATCATCGGTTGGAACTCGCTCCAACGAAATTTGGCAACAATTTGTTACATGGAAGCCAAATAGCTGAAAGGTCATTTAATTGAGACAATAGTTAACAGTAATGATTCAGAGCATACTCGTTTGGTTCATATTCCGTGGTGTGGAAAAACGGCTTTATATTAGCTTTAAACTCTAATCTAACCTATCTATCTATGGACAAAATTTGGGGTGATGATTGGGAAGCTAGGCGCCATACCTGAATTGTGGAAATCAGCAGCCACCAAATCCTTTTTTTTATATTTGAAAACATTTATCACGATATAACTAAAACAACGACGAAATTTAAGCGGATCTTATAGTACGCCTTAAAATCGGTATGTTTCACTTATTCGCTATAGTGTGATTCTGAAATGTTTATCAACTAAAAAAATATATATTCCATGGTTATGAGTATCTGCTGGTCTTTCCTCCGCTTTTAAGGCAATACCAGGATCATCAGCGAAATTGTCAACTAATTGTTCACCTCATTGGGCTCATGTAACACTTGAAATAGTTACTGGATATTTCTCCTTTCTTAGTATTAAAAAATAAGACAACTGTGATTAACTTCAGCCTCAGAATATCCCCAATGTGGCTGCGGTAGACGCAATTCAGGAGACTCTTTAAAAAAATATTTAGCTAGCAGCAACTATACTTCTTTAGTAGCTTCGTTTTTCTATGCTATTTGACGAATGTATTAATTATTATTTACCTATAATTTTTTTTTACTAAATGTATGTAACCCTTAGTAAATTGATATGAATTAAACAATTTATATTATTTAGAACGCGCCATCCTAATTTTCCAAACAAAAAATATATTCGTCATGAGTAATAAGACACGGAGGACGCGCACGAATTTTACGTCAGAGCAACTCGATAATCTGGAGAAGCTTTTTGAAGAAACACATTATCCGGATGCGTTCATGCGAGAAGAATTAAGCCAGCGACTGGGTCTAAATGAATCAAAGGTTCAGGTAAAAAATGTATTTCTAAAGATTCATATTTATATTGGTAAAATTAGAATCATAACGGTACAATATATTCCTTTATACTACTTTTGTTATTCCCAAATTAGCACATACGTTAAATACTTTCTTTATTTGATGGGTGATAGGGGATTTAAAACTTCTATACCCTTGTAATACCAAGGTCCTTCTCACACTCCGAGTTGTTCAGAGTAATAGTGGTATTTTGAGGAATCTAAAAGGCTACTCACACTTCTTGAAGCTAATTTGATAAGACAGTCGTGGTAAAAACTTCCGAATAAGCGACGATGTCTCCTCTTCATCAACTGAGTTCCCATCACACAGAGCCTAAGGCTCTTAATTTGCATACGTTTTTTGTTGTATGGCATTGCTTGACCTATGTTATATATTCTAGTTGAATCGATGCAATAATTATATACAATAGCAAATTTAAACAACTATTAAAAATAACTATTTGTTTACTTTTTTTATTTTAATTCAACACAGTACTTTTAAAAGAGTTGAGTAAATTGTTCTTTAATTTCTATTTTAACATAATTTCCTATCGAATCTTAATTTTCGGGAATCAGAAATCATTTACTCGTCCTGGAGTTCTTTGTTTGCCTGACCAAACAAGATCCCTTCTAGTGAGTGCTTCACTTCTCTGAATAGATCAACAGCTACGCCCTGTCCTAGCAGGACACCATCTTTAGCCAGTTCATCAGGTGTATCATTGTATAAGATATCCATATTTCCTGGCAATCCTACAATAGCTCAGGAGCTAATTTCATAGCAGTCTTTTCGGTTATTTAGGTTTCTACTACTTTTTGTGTAAAAATAAAATTCAATTGTACAAAATAATCGCAACAAGTTCCAACCATTTATTGTTTATCCATTATATAAACAAGCTATAATAAATGACTGATGGATTTTTATGAAAAGCCCTCGGAGGGCCTTAAATTATCTACCGAGGCGCGACTGAAATTAGAAAAATTAGTTTTCTATTATTTTGGATACTGGTCGGACTTGGCCTTCCGAATGGTAGTACGCAATGTACACTCGGCTATTGCGGGGCCGAAGCAAGCGTATTAGTAAAGTAATTAATCGCGTTTAAATTACCGTAATTAGTCGCATGCTTCGTCAAACAGTATTGTATTGAGAATGTGTGTGTTGGTGGCCAATTATGTATTGGCTTTTCATATTAAAAAGGGTGAAGCGCAAGTTCTTGTATGGATCCCCGTACAACAATATTCAGATATGAGACTTTGAGAGATTTTCAAGTCATTTGGCACCCTGTACACTTTTTCCGGAGCAAATTTTGCCACAACCATATCAGTTAACCTTCATACAATCGTTGACAATTCATATGTGCTCATCATGGGAGCTAATATGATAAAAACACACTTCCCGAAGGATATATCGCCATCGGCACAGTTGTTTCTTTTTTGCTTAAAATAGTATTTTAGTGTAAAAGGAGTAGTGAATTTATAAAAGTCAGATTACTGATCGTTTCATATGTGGTTTGCAATTTCAGGTTTGGTTCCAAAATAGAAGAGCCAAATGCCGTAAACGAGAAAGTCAGCTAAATAAAGGTTGGTAATATAAAAATCCATTGAGTATATGATCTTGATATATGTACGAGTATCTGCACAAATCAATAAAATTATAAATGTATATCTACATACATATATGAATATTCATTCATTTCACATGAAATATGATAGCATTTGCTTTTGACTGAAATTCTGCATATGCTTGTATTTCATGGTGTTATTTTCTTACTCAAAACATAGGATATTGGTTTTTGGGGAGATTTGAACAGTGCTAAAACCAATGACCTTCCGGCTCGTTGCACGCATTGCTTTCCACTAAGCTGTTTTGGCCTTCTACATTCTTACACTCGATTGTACTAGGCACATCAATATATATATATATATATATATATATATACATTATGTATAATAATGTACATATGTATATATAATATATAGGACTTCTTCACCTACTTTAAATTTTTAAAGTTTTTACCAGAAAGTTGTTCTCCGAATTGAGGACGGAATGGAAAAAATAAATTTAACAGATTTTTTTATTGTAAGGGTAGAATACATGGCTTAAATGTTTCGTTAAGAATATTTGCCACACGTTAATATTTAGCTTATATCTTTTAGTTAATCTTGATCTACACAATTTTGGTTTCGGTTTAGTTGAGTTGAGTGAAATTGATTTGAGTTAAGTAGTGTTGGCTTGGCGTTAATTGATTTAACCTCAGCTAAGCTACTTTCGTTGAGTTTGATTTGATTCACTTTACATTGATTTCGATAAAGTTGAGTTGAATTGAGTGTAGCTAGTTCTGCTCACGCCACTAAATCATAATTTTATGTGTATAAAAGGGCTATTAATATCAGTATTTAGCAGGATATCCTAAACAAAAAATGACATTCAATTTAAAGAAAACATCTGTTACTGTATCAAATATTAACTATTATATATGTATAATTTATCTAGATTTTTCACCAAGCAATCCAAGCTCTGTCATATCCAGCCCTTTAGAAGCTTGTACCATTTCTTCATGTACCAAAGTGAATTATTCGCCGTTGGGAATTCATATCTTGCATAAAAATTCATCACATATTAATGCAACGAAGTTCAACAGGAAATGGTTGACGGAACCAGATTTGATATCCACGTCAATATCTGTATCTACTGAAACAGCTTTACTCTCAACAAATATACAACAGGTACATATACAGGCATATAATTAAAATAATTTACTAAAGTATTTTATTATTTTAAACAACAATAGCGTGCGTAACGAGTCTTTCCTTATCTAATCTGATTCTACAAAGGGTAGCCTCTTAATTGGTGCCATAAATATTTCGCAAGACAAAAGAAAAAAACAAAAACACTCATTATAATGTAGAAACACTAATACCACCTTTTCTTATAACATTAGATTAAGAGACACTTTATTTCAGACCTCACAAATTTCAATTAATAAAGTTAAATTTTCATTTCATTGCTATACATTTTCAGGACAGGGCTGTAATTAACAACTCTTCGACGAAAAACTGGGTTCCTGTATGTCCGAACCCAATCGAGTTGGCTGCCATGGCATCGGCTTACAGTAAAAGAATTAGCATTGTAGATTTACGAACGAAGGCAAAAAAGTATGCGGAATCTTCTAAAGACGAAACCGATTTACTAAGTACTTAGATATACCAATATTTTTCATTTAAATAATTTAGCAGCAACAAATATTTATAAAGACAAATAATCATCTTTATACATGCATTTGTCGCATCGGTTTCGTACTTTAATGATGAATTGGGAATACATGCAATCTTTGAGGTTGAAATAAGCATACATCTATAAGTATGTACATGCGGCAACCGAAATTCTCAAGGGGAAGAGATAAATTCAGAGAAATGATGGTTCGAACAAGAGGTGAACTTGTGACCGATAATGAGTGGATGTAGGCAATAATTTTCCAGTAATGATGCATCCCAAGTACTATGTTTACATGATTTGCTACTTAGAAAACGCGTCGAAGAACTGACAGAATGCAGAGTGCGAAAATTATCGTGGGATAAACATATCTATGTGAAAGTGGGCAAATGTCTTTTGTGAAAAAAATTGAGGACTGAAAATTTATAACATTATAAGAACACTCGTAAGAAATGTAAGGGACCTCTCTCAATCCTTCATATCTCGCCGCCATTCAGATGGTGGTAGACGTAGAGTTATTAGTCTGCGTTGTTCATAGTGGTTATTTCTCCGAGCATCCAACCTCTAAGAATTGATGCCTTCGCTCATATAGCTTCCTTTGTGTTCCTGATTTCAATACTTGGAGATCGTTTATCAATGAGCTAGTCAAATATCGGGATAAGAATTTGTTCCTCCTTATCCAAACGGTCAAGGACAGCATAGGCACATAGAAAAAAATTCCTTTCGACAATCTTCAATACATTTTACACAATTTTATTGTAGGCCTTTCTCAGTCCAAAAACCCCAAAACGCTCTATCTAAAGCCGTACTCTCTTGAGCAAAAACTGCCAAGGGAAGAAGGTAGCAAAAAAGGCTTGGAAAGGACTAAAGCCCTACTGCATATGTACTTCGTAAAAAATTTTTGGCATTTATATATTTATTTTATAATATGACGAATAATAAATAGTGCATAACTGATTGCATCATTATTATTTAGATTACACAAATTGCAGCAAAATATCTTTTAAGACTAAGTTTACACACGAATGCTTTTGTGCCTTGTCACCGGCAATTTCCTCTTTTTTTGTTGCAGTACTTTACATTCCTCCTTTTTAAAAGATTTCCCATACCTTTTTAATATATTTAAACAGTTATCATATGTATGAAGCCACTAACTTATATTAACATATTTACATCTAAATTCCTTGAATTATGAAACATTCACATCCTGTAAACATTGCTGTGAAACGCAATGACAATTTTTACATTGACGAATAACTCTGCAAAAAATTTTTTACTGAGCACTGCACCGTCGGCATACTGCCTTCTCTCATCGCCATCTGGTCTACAAAATAAAGGTTTTGCCAACAAGAATTACCTCATGTAAACTCAGTCTGAGCATAGCGTAATATCTCAAAGTAGTCGGTAACGAAACGAAACTATCGACTAATTAAACGTATATACATGTGTGGAGGCATCTCTAATGTATTAATTTTCCGGTTGTTTATACAAATATACTTGACAAAAAATTTTTAGGTAGTAATAGCATTTCAAAGAACAAAATCAGTCTAGAAATTCATCAGCGATGTTTAAAAATACATTTCAATCTGGGTTTCTTTCGATTCTGTACAGCATCGGTAGTAAGCCGTTGCAGATATGGGATAAAAAAGTTCGAAATGGCCATATAAAGAGAATTACAGATAATGATATTCAAAGCTTAGTCCTTGAGATCGTCGGAACAAATGTTAGCACAACATTTATAACATGTCCTGCTGACCCCAAAAAAACTTTGGGAATAAAACTGCCTTATTTAGTTATGATAATAAAAAATCTCAAGAAGTATTTCACGTTTGAAGTGCAGGTAAGTAATTGAATGAAAGTATTTTTTTACTTATACAAAACATTAATCCTAGGTTCTGGATGATAAAAATGTGCGTCGTAGATTCCGTGCCAGTAATTATCAATCAACAACCCGCGTGAAGCCATTTATATGTACTATGCCGATGCGTCTTGATGAAGGATGGAATCAAATACAATTTAATTTGTCGGATTTTACTAGAAGAGCTTATGGGACGAATTACGTTGAGACTCTACGTGTGCAAATACACGCAAATTGTAGAATACGACGAGTTTACTTTTCGGATAGACTTTATTCCGAAGAAGAGTTACCTCCGGAGTTTAAATTATTTTTACCAATTCAAAAGCCTCAAAAAGCACTACATGCTGTTTGCAGTTGATAAATTAAATGTGTTAAAACTATGAAAAAAAAAACTTTTTAAAGGCCTCTTAATCATATAGTACCAATCGGACCAAAGTGCGCCTAATATGTTCTGCGCTGCTTAATACCGCTTGGGAAATTTCGATTTTGGGGCAGTGTTTAAAAGACTGTATTTTGATTCGAAAGCTCGTCGCGCTCCACAACAAAATTCAATTCGAATGAGCTCCCATACTTAATGTTTCGTTCGAATCAATTTTCAAAAATATTCAAGCTTAGTTATCATGGCAAACGCAATACAAAATTCTAAAGAAAAATGAAACCAATAAAATTATGTAAATTTTTTAGTGGAATTCTTATGTATTTATTATTCATGTTATAAGGGGGCTGGGGAGGTCGTTTACATCACAAAACAGTAACTTGTTCTCCAAGGTAACGTGCAATTTATAAAAATTTTGTTGTTAAATCAAGAAAATACTCTTTTTTTAATTAAATTGATTCACACAAAAAAACAAAAATCATTTCAATCTTATAGATTAAATAGACACAAAATTCGATTCAAACGAAAATAACGATATAAAATTATAGATGTAAATCTATTAATCGAACAGAATAGCATATCTTATGGGTCTTCATAGTTCTTTTAGAAATAATTGACCAAATTTTAAACCTTTTAAAATATTTTCGTTAGCAAACATTTATTTGGGACTAAATTGAGTCATTGCAAAAGACAATTCCTTTATACAATTTTGTAGAACAAACCACGTTGAGTAAGTGCGGAGAGTCAGACATCCTTCAAAGAGAGCGTGTCAATTGCGGTGGGAACATAGTTTGAAACGATATTTCGTGATTTGCTCCTTTATTTTGGTTCGATAAAATAAGTTAATGAATAAAAATAATTTATTGTAATTTTTTTCACTGTAAATATCTACAAATCTCATATTTGGCACGGATTTCTAGTTTGTGCAAGCTTTTTCAACTTTGATGAAATTCACCAAACCTTACGCAGAAAACTGCATCAATTGCGTAGTCTAATCACACCTAAGTGAAGTTTACACAGTTTACACTGCTTATTGAAATACAATATTGACAATATTTGCCCTGAAAACAAATGGAAAATTAGCAATAGCATTTTTTTGGAAGATTTTGCCATCGAAATAAAAGAAAAATAATAATAATAATAATGCAAAGTCCATTTCGTAACAAAGAGGATGTGCGACAACAAAATGATTATCACCACAAGGAATTGATGCAATACCCTGCAGTGTACGGAAACAAATCGTCGAAAAGTTTATGGTCTAAAAGTATTACTATTCGGAAGATTGCAGTGTTTTCAGTGGTTGTGAGTTTTCTTTTATATGTTTTATGGGGGACTATTAATGTAACCGTTGTGGACTCAACTATAGGCACGTTGCCAGGTAATTTAATATTTTAGTGTTCTGACAGTACCTAGGGAATTTTGAACAAAAATAGAAATTGGATGTGTTTGCATTAGGCTTCCAGCTTCAAACCGGGAAAGTTTTAAATCAAAGCCGCAAGCTCCTGAGCAGGATAACCCCGAATTTCTGAACTATCTTAAATATTTCTATAAAGAAATGGTTATTTACAATTTGGTATTAAATTTTAAAATAATTTAAAAATATTAAGCGAAATAACAGCAAGAAAGAAATACTTCCAGGCTGCTAAAAGGTGAATTGACCAAAATAAGGTGTACGATCCCTACAGCTAGGTATGTATAGTGTTGAAGGCCACTCCTTAAGATAATTTTCCATTTTTAAGTGTATAGGGTCCAGATATCAAGGCTGTGGCACCGCCTACCCACCGCATGTGAAGCAGAATTAAACTTCTGCCTGAGAGTTGACATGACTTGTGCTAAATCTGCGACACGGTTGGGCCGACTTTCACTCTCCTTTACTTGTGGTATATACTGGCTTTATATTTCAAACGTACTTGTTGAAACAGTACACAGAAACTTTCCTTATCTCATTTGTTAGATTTTCTTCAAGTTAATTTTTCTGACCTTTATCCTCCTATATATAAGGTTCACTTTGGGAACCATGTGTAACGAACCCAATTAGCCCTGTCTATATGGGAACTGGATCTCAGTGCGGTTCAGCAGAAGCAAAATCACTAAGCTATACGCATTCTGTTTCCAGTGTTTTAACCCTCCAGCACCTTCTGCACATATAAACATGATATTCCTTTGTTGGTGCTTTATATAGTAAAGTTTCAAAAGCTGAGATATAAATAATTCTTCAATATTATCTTCATGCTGTAAAATTAATATTTTTCTATATTAGTCTAAATAAAAATTCTAATTATAGTTTAGTTAAAGTAAGTAAGTAGGTAAGTAATATTAATTAGGCTATATGAACAAAAAGTATTACTTAGGTTACATAATTTCATTTCAAAAATATAAATTGATAAACCGTGCCATATTCTTAGTACATAAGAAAAAGATTCTTCCTTATTATAAATTTAAATAAAATTAATATATATATCTTGGAAGTCATATCGAGAGCATTAAAAGTAAAATGCACTGAAAAATTGCTATTTTTACTACTATCATTGAATATGCATCGCTTAGTCGTAGATTAAAACTAACGAAATGTTAGAATTTAATTGATGATTGCTTATCTATTCACCGTCAAGATGACTCAAACCGCAATCGAATCAACGAATTGCAGCTAGTTTGCAATGAGGTGTTCACTGATAATCGTGATTTTATTCAAAACCAACCTCGTAAAAATTATGACACTTTGCCTGTAATATATTTTGTGACACCTACATATCCAAGACGGGAACAAGCACCTGAACTCATACGGTTGGCCCACACACTTTTACATGTACCACGCATACATTGGATACTAGCTAACGATTACAATGCATGCAACGCTTATCTTGATGGATTTCTTGTGAAATTAGGTAAGAATACGTTAAATTAGTAAATGCGTCAAAAGGAATTAATTTCTTGAAGACTGAAACTGTAAATATGAACACGCTCGAAGTGCAAAACATATATGTTGATGGTATAACAGACTAACCTATTATTTCTCAGGTTTACCTTTTACGCATTTGGCAAGTCCAATGCCTGAGTTTTACCGCAAGAAGAAACCAATGCCTCGTGGTGTGGCGAACCGTAGAGGGGCTATTCAGTGGATACGACAACGAAATATCACAAATGGCATATTGTATTTCGGTGATGATGATAATACATATGACTTAAGGTTGTTTTCTGAAATAAGAGAAACTCAAAGGGTTTCGATGTTTCCGGTAGGTCTAATTGAAGAGTACTCCGTAAGCGGGCCAATTGTAAAAAAGGTGAGATATTACATTATTATAAATATTTTGTTGATTTGATATATCTTTTTACTAATAGGGAAAAGTTGTTGGATTCCTCGATTCGTGGGTGGCAGAAAGGCGTTGGCCAGTGGATATGGCCGGGTTCGCAACAAACTTAGCATATTTGGCTGAACATTCAAACGCTAGTATGCCATATAAGCCTGGCTACGAGGAAGATCTTTTCTTACGCAGCATTAAGTTAAATTTAAATATAATTGAACCGAAAGCCCGCAATTGCACGGAAATTCTGGTATGGCATACACAAACAAAGACGCGTGAACGGGCTACTTTACGTATAAGCAACAAATATCTTGACGATCGCTCAAATCTCGGCGGATTGATAAAGTCATTAGATGCAATGGGTGTAGCTAGCGCTTCAGATAATGAAGGTGAACATAAAAAGTTAAGGCGCTTTCGTTTCCTGAATATCCTGTTGACGCTTTTTTACATGCATTTTCTTCTGAGCAACTCTTCTGCAAAACTCGTTAACTAATTAATTGTTACATTATAGAAAAGCAGGATATCGGGAAACGAAATCATCATTGTGTGTTTATAAACTGTAATAATATTTTTGTTTTTCAGGGCAAAGGACCGTCATAAGCAAAAATGGAAAAGCTAGACCATTAAGTTATTTTTTAAGCTGAGACAAAACTAACGCATACATTGTATTTATTTTACAACACTTAAAGTTTATTTATTTAAGCTTAAGAGTTGATGAGCTCAAATACTCAATAAAGCTTTAAGGAATATTTAGGTTTGTGCCATTAGAAGATGACAGTGGTCCTTTTCAAAAGACATCAGGCTTTTTGTTGTAGTTGCAATTGCTAGCCATTCTACCGCATCTATTCCTCTAGAATTCGTGGTACACCTTATTAAAGTACCTCCGAACCGCTTAATATACTTTTTTTTGCAAGAAACGATAATTTTAATTTGAAGAAAACCCTGTGCCTCAGAAGTAGAAAGCATTACTTGTCGCTTGTTAAAGTAACGGCCTTAGAGTGAGTACATTAGATGATGACAAAGTAATCTAACGGAAGGTCAGGCAAATTACGATAGCATAATAGCTAGGTTTCAGGGTGCATACTTGATTGAATAGAATTATTATATAATTAATTCCGCGAGGAAATTCAAGTTTTCGTCTTAAAGGGTAGTTGTTTTTACTACTACGGATTTTAGATGAAATCCCTTTGAAAACCAGGTAAATTGTTATTCGTGTTCTATATGAACTTTTTTCTCACTTGCTTTTCGAGTAATAAAATACTCGTATACTACTTTAGATAGCTATAACACTTAAATTTTATTGTAACATGACGAACAAAAATATAGGTTTTTAAATTAAAAAATAATTACTCGTATACTTATATATATAGGATTTTTATTTAATAAAAATAGATTACTAACTTATTGTTCCTGAGAGGTTAGGGTGCCAGAGATCCGGTAATGGGATCGTAGGAAAATAAAATTAAATACATTTATTTTGCATGAGCTCATCAATAGACACTTTTTCTGTAAAAATTATATATTTAAAAATTAAATTAAATAAAAAAGGAAAATGCTAAACATTTACTCTCTTTTGTTGTGAATGTAAAAGTTAAAAGAGCAATAGTAGGTCTGCAATGTAGGTCTTTATACCAGAAGGCGCCATAATACATGGCTTATTGATAATTCTCTCCTTAATTTGTGGTTAAATGGCTGCTGCATAAATTAAAGAAATCAAAATTAATCTAAAAGTTAAAATAAATGATAAAAATATTATACATTTAAATTAAAAATTGTTAATTTTAATATACATTGTTCAATTTCTTTCAAAATAGTTTAGTATAAAAGCGGACTGCAAATTGGAAGCACAGTGTTTTTTACTGGAGGCTTGAATGTATATAATAAACACAACTTTTAAGCTTACCTTTATTTTTTCTTATTTATTTGTTTTAATCACTTGAATTCATAGCGGTAAGCGTAAGCCAGAGCTTTTCCCGAAATTTCAAGTTTTTTTTCCAATATATACTCAAACGCTGTATTTTATGAGTTTTAATAAACTACCTAATAAATACTTTTATTATACATATATATACCGTCAATTCATCGAATATTTTCGAACGAAATAGTATCTGTAAATATAAAGTTCTGCAAATGAAGTCAGCAATGAAAGCAGTATTCCTCCTGAAAGAAATTAAATAATAATATTTATAAATATATGTACATATAAATACATATAATTTTTATTTTCGTCATACCGACTAATAAAATGCAAATGCTAGTTATGTTTGAAAAATTTACGGGGAAGACTATATACACTGCTTGGCAAGGTGGTTTTCTTTGAAGCCTATTGTACAAAATTCGTCCGATCAACCCCGATTCTCTAGACCAGCTTAACCTGCAAAATTTATTTTAATTAGAAATACATTCATATTATCTAATCTCAGTCAAACGTGAAAAACTGTAAAGTTTTAATTAAGTATTCGGCTGTTTACGAGAGTTTCAGCCATTTGTATTTAAATAACGTACATACGTAAATATAATTGTTTTTATGAGTTCGTTTTACTTCGTCTTACTATGCTATAATAAACATTTATATATATGTAAGTAAAAGGGTTCAGAGCCACTCACGTGTATCGGAAAATTTCTGTATATTGACTATTTTTGTGCAGAATTCCATTCATTAATTCCGAATCCATCAATCCTTTTACAATACGTAATGCGCAAATATCATTTGCATCAAAATTTTTAGCGATTTCTGGAAAAGCGTCAACTAACTCACAATGAAATGCATGAGATCCTCTTTTTATAAAATGAACAGCATTTTTAATATTAGTATATATCGGCAAATCGTTTTCTTTACGCGGTGGCAATAACTTTGTTGCTATAAAGCGTATTATAATCGGAGATTTATTTTCCTAAAGAATATAAACGGAAAATTGTACCACAACAAATCACACACATGAAACCAAAGAGGAACACTGTAGAGAAAATTTATTTTTGTGATTATGCTTCTATGTATAAAACGTCATCGAGGTTGAAATCCCGACCCCGGTTCAGTGTGGTTAAATATATCTTACTTACTCTGAACAAAATTTTGTAATAGCCTATATCCTCGAAAGATACTTCAAGAGAGCTAGAAATAATTTCCTCAACGCTACTCGGTCCTTGTGCAGTTGAAGACAATAATCCAGAAACCACTGAAGAAGTATAATAGTTGTATAGTAGAAGGGAATATAAAAACATTACCAAAAAGGTTATTTTTACTGCCCCCAATTTAGACTCAGAACTGAAGTTCTGCTGACAAGTCGCAGCTATGGGAAATAACGCGATATTAGTTAAGGATATTTGTTCTTCTGGGATAAAATCGTCATATTTTCTGCCGTATTCGTATATTTTATTTTGATATCGAGTTCGTTGTTTATAAATATATCCTCGTGCGATAAATGGTGTTTTGTTTTTCAGCCGTATCGTGATATTATCCATAAGCCAATATATTAGGCTTAGTACTGTAATTAACCAAATTATTACAATCCAAACGCTTTTTTGAAAAGGAACAAAAAAGCTTGCACGCTCTATTTTAGTCCTTAATTCTGGCACGAACTTGTAAACGAAAGCTGTTTCGAATTTCCAGCCTTGGTGTATAATGTCAAAATCGGCAAAGCGATTTTTCCTATTGAATATCCCAGACGCGCCTATATCGGCTTCATTCCGAGCCATAATGCCCAAAAATCCAAGTCTGAATGTCGTATTATCCAATCTTCCCGCCCATCCACGAGCAATGCGAAATTCAATACTAAAATTAATGTGCTCCTTTAAAATATTTGTCAACTCAAAGTAATACTTTGTAAAAGCCGAGATCCCACTATGTTTCGCACGTTCAGAAAGTAAGACGGTTATTTCACCGTTACTCGTTACGTTATCGTAGTCAATCTGTAAGGAGTGAAATTAGCTATATCTCGTTTAACGAAATCCGGCGAAACCAAACATTTTAGTCCACTCTATTCTTTGATCTTATGGAATTTACAAAACCATACAATCCAACATTCGGGTACCCCAATGTTCGGCTCCATCCAAACTTCCTTACTTGCATTATTTTTATTTTTTGTATGTAAATACTTACAACCGTTACTCCTCTTAAAGTAAGACCATGAAACTGGTTCCTCTTTCTTGTGAGCTGAGCATCTAATATATATTTGCCTATGTTTTCCTGAGCACTTTCATTACGACGCACCGAGCCAATTAAAAGTGTTTTCAATGGACTTTTTAAGTGCATTCCATTAGAGTAAACGCTCCAGATTTTAATGGTAGATTTTGTGCCATTAATAAAAGTTAGCTGCGAATTGGGTCCAAGGTACTTCATGCCAGATGGTATGAATAGCTCTGCGTTTTGATTTTCTACAGACCACAAAAACCATTGGTATGTTTTGTTTAAAAACCGTCCAACCGATGCTTGCAATAAAAGGTTCTTTGTGTTAACGCAAGTGCAATCACTCGTTATCAAGGTTTTTCTATAACTTGCTCTAGTAAACACCGTATTAGGAATATAGTTGTCGTTTATGTTAATTATCTCTATAAAATTAGCGCCTTTCAACGTCTCTCTTGAGATCTGTAAAAGATCTTTTATGGAAAATAATTATAGTGTAAAAATAGTATCCAGAAACACCTCAGTCAGACATATTAAGTATTTTGGCTACTAAGTTAAATTTTCGTGTTTTTTAAAAAAGGATTATTTAAAGTAACAGGTATTATTTTAACTACGTATAATAATATTTTCTACATTCTATATATGTATGGTAGCTTTTAACAATACTCACTGTTTTTATTGCATGCAAAAACTATACCGTTAACCGTCAGCGCATAATTCGAAATAAACTTGTTCAAAATAAGACCCAAAGCATTGTGATAGTCACCTCGAGCATTGTGACTTAAGATTAAGGCAGCGCCCAGCGCAAATATAAATATTTTGCAATTCCACAGCATGGCCTTTCAATTTGACCACCTTTCTTCAACTGAAAATCCTTATTAATAGCTTATATACTTTATATAATATTAGGATACAAGCATGACCACAAATTGATTATATTTTACGGAAATTAGAAAGCAATTATATTAAACACTCAATATCAAGAATGATTATATTTATACCCTTCATGACCATACAATTTTATAGAAACTACGTTATAGATATTTACTCCAATTAATCGTCGAAATACATACAATTTCTTTCATCGAAACATTCAAGTTCTGTATTGTTAGAGGCATTCTTAGTAGTTAAACTTATTAATGAATCAGCCGTTGTCTTCAATGTCCCAAGTCGTGTATCTAGGCAGTTTAGCCTCTACCATTAAATTCATGTAAGACAAATTATGAACTAAATAAACCATTTCATCGATTATGTCATAATTTTAATTTTAATTCTACCACCTTTGACCTATTATACTTGCCTTTTAGGATCAAAGAAAAACCTTCCCCAGGACAGTTTTAAATTTCGACATTCAACAAAGTCTTGCCTTTCACAACTCAGCAAATTTCGTACGTTATGCTGATTGTGCCCTTCGTGTTGGTTGGGGTGGAGGAGGATAATCGTTTGGATTTTGATTATTATTATTATTATTATAATAGCCGACATACATACATACATATATGTATAAAAATAGAATCCGAATTGGATTTTCAAAACACGCTCAAGTATATACAACATTCGAATTTGGTACTATTAGTAGATGCACATATTAACTATTTAAAATTAATTGGATGTAAGCGTCGGAAATAGATGATAATTGTAAGGATTAACGTATTCGATTTGTCAAAACTCGTCTTTCTAAAAGCATAAGTGGTGGCAGCCACATTGATTATAAAAAAAGTTATTAACAATGACTAGTCACCTGAGCTGAAATTATTTGTATTTCAAAAACAACTAACTAATAACAAATCGGTTATCCGTAAATACCAAATAACACCTTACATGTTGATTGTATACACAGAGGCACAGGTTTAATAACACGCTTCAAAAAAACTGTGAGGAAATTTATGCTTAAAACCGGCTTTAACGATAGAGTGACGAAGCAAATTTATTTAAATTAAAAACAAATAATAATATGCTATATAATTGACGCTTTTTTGTAACCACTGAAGCGATTTTCGGCCGAGCTCCTCCTTCGATTTGTGATTTTGCGTCTTGATGTTTTTCCAACAATGTAGAAACCTACTGCTTATATTAATCCGCCTCCGAACGGATGATGATTTTTATGAAGAGCCTTTATTTGATGTCAAAAATACACTCGGAGGGGTTGACATTCCCTGCCGAGCGGTGACCGTAATTAGAAAGTTTAACTTAATTTTTTATTTAAATTAATTTTCTATAACTTTTGGAGGCTGGTCGCACGGGGATTTAAGCCGGAGCCTTCCGAATGGCAGTACGCAATGTTAACTACTCGGCTACCGCGGCCGCACAATGATTATTATATTGAACATTTTATTGGTTAAATTTTTCCCAACCGGTAAGTTGAAAATTCCACATTCGAAGAAGCCTTTGTTTTTACCATTAAAAGGAGCTAGAAGGAATCGAAATAAATGAACATCTAATTAGGCCAAAGGAAGGACTTAATTAAGCTTTGTTAATATTTAAGGAGCTATCAAAGAGATGTGAAATCTGCCGTTAGCATTTATGTAAAATTTGAAATTAATTGAAAGAATATCGAGGATAGTCTGACTGCTTAAGAAAGTCCTTAGCTAAAGAAATGTAGAGATTTCCACATTTGAAACCTTTACAGATAATGCTAAAAGCATTTAAGAATCTACTTCAAATATTTAATGTAACAGGTGCATGACATAAAACATTAGAAATATTATGGCACCTATAATCAAAGCTAAATAAGTAATAAAATTAAAATAGAATGTAAAAAAGTTATCTTTCTATAGCTACAATAGTAATAAATAATATAACTGCGCAATGGTAGCAAGTAAACTGGTCTTCAAATCGCACATTGCCTTCCTCTTATAAGAAATATGAGCAAAAATACTATAATATAGAAATTTTAAAGAAAATGTTTGAAACTTTGATGAATTGAATTCAAATTCGTTATTTAATTTTGGATGACACTGGTGTTTTGAACCTGAAGATCGCTTAAAGTTTAATAATTCAGTCTGAAAACGGTTTCTTTGCAATTATTTAATTAAGCAAATGATGAAACGATTATATTACATGTTTTCGTGATTTATATATATCTGATGAATTACCTTTCCAAAACCGCCATACACATTTGTCCATTTCTGTCTAATGCGTCGAACTTATAACTGGATTATTTCGCGAAGGATACATGTAATTTTTTACCAGTTATTGTTGGCAGAATAATTAGGGCCATTGGCGAAACAACGGCACGAATATATCGTTTTCCAATTGCATAAAAATATATACTTTGATGAATTTTTAATAATTAATTTCTATTCCCAACTACCGAACCCTACGAATAACTAAATAACAAAAAAGCGTCCATACCGCACTGTGTTATGGCACTAAAATTTTTTATTCAATATTTACACTATATTACAGTACTGTGCAAAGGGTAGAAATTCATTTTTAGCCACGAGCTTACTGCATAAAAACCAGATGTTCGCATAAACAGCACAAACAAACAATTCGATACTGGCTTTTCAAGTTTTTATTTAAAATATGTACATCCAACGTATTAGCATCCACTATTGATACCAATAATAGCTTAAAAACATTTCTGTGCTTATTATGGTACATAGTCCCAGTTCAAGCTGTGTGAATAGAAGAAAGTAGAGATTTAAAAAATGAGTGATTATGAAGTGAGTAAAAAAGTATTAATTTTTTTGTTTGGAAACTTTTGTATTTTTCTAGCCAGTAAATATAACAGATTTTTCTAACAGCTTTTTTCTAGTCAGTCTTTGTTGCACTAATAAGTCTGTAATCCTGGAAGTCCTTGATATTATATTTATTTTAAGTGTACATGTTACATGAAAATTGAATAGATATAGTAAAAAAAAATAATCTCGGTTATTTAACATTAGACCCTACTGAAAACACTTAAATAAAAGTACTTAGTATATACTAAAAAAATTTATGTAATTGTAACAATTGAAATATTATATTATCATATACGTTTTCGTTGTTTTTGCTGGTTCAAATTTTCATACAGATGTATATATATATTACTAAATTTGTTATTGTGATTTGTTTATTTATTTATTATAATTTATTTATATTCTTGGTATTTACTTATGCTTATATATGCTTGTTTATAACCTTTTCTTATTTTTCAGTATATGAGTGGTTTTGGATCTTTTTTTTCATCAGAAGATAAGAGATGCCCCAACTCGCTACCAATTGGTCAAAATTCTCCTCAGATATGCCCTTACGGGCTATACGCCGAACAATTATCGGGCACTGCATTTACAGCACCACGAAAAGAAAATTTGCGTTCATGGTTATACAGGATTCGTCCTAGTGTTATGCATGAACCGTTTTTGCCGTTTGCCGGTAAAACGGGCCTTTGCACTGATTTAAATACCCGGCCTCCGAATCCAAACCAGGTTTTGTCTTTATTATTTATTATAAAAGTTAATAGAATATTCAGTTTCGGTAAATTTTAGATGCGATGGAAGCCCTTCGATATTCCTTTAAATGACCGCATTAATTTTGTCGAAGGCTTACATACAGTATGTGGCTCAGATGATATACACTGCAATAACGGTATTGCTATTCATGTGTACCTTTGCACAATTTCTATGGAAAAAACAGCATTCTACAATAGCGATGGTGACTTTTTGATAGGTGAGTACCTCCGGGCACATATAATATATTCTCCGAGCATCGTTAAATCTGTAATCTGTAGTCAGGTTAAGAGGAAAAGATGTATTGCATATTGCTTTTTCAGCAATATTTTGCTTAGGTTAGGTGATAAAGGTGTCAGAGTGTGCAAAGGGGTTATCTTATCTGGCTTAGTCAGCATTTCGGGAACTAGAAGATTTATAAATCTACATAGCAGTCTGCGTATTGAAGAACTTGTAGCCAAATCGAACATGTTGTATTGGACGGAGGGCATGCATGCAGACAGATGCGCGTACACTCCGAGGTTCAAACATCGACCCGTAAAAATTTGTATCTTGTGACAATTATTATTTCTTCCTTAAATCGACTTCGAATTATTTATTAAAAGTATAAATCGTTTCCATTTTTCCAGTGCCCCAAAAAGGTGTTCTAGAAATCACCACTGAGTTTGGCAAATTAAAAGTAAAGCCGAATGAAATCTGTGTTATTCCTCAAGGCATTCGATATTCGGTTAACATAACAGAACCGTCAAGGTATGTATGAGAACTGAGTTTTTAAATGTTGTGCATAACTGCATAAGAATTGAATTTGAAGTAGGTTTAGTATAAGAAGAATGCGGTGCGTGGAAAGTCAAGATTGCCCATGATTATATGTAGTTTCAACTATCTAGACTTTGATACTCTTCACGTTTTAAAGAACGTAATTCATTTAGACATACATAAGTCTAGTTTTTCCTTTTGTTTTGGATCCTGTAATTTAGAACATTGAACCTCAGACAAAATTTGAAATACCTGCGTTCGAAGCGTTTTATTGGAATTTTTTTTTGGTTCGCGGCTTTCCGCCGAGTACCCCTTTGTTAATTGTCGAAGAGGTGGATAGCTCTGGGTTCTTTGCCGCACGAAAATACTTGTTATTCATTGAACAAAATTTGGTATTTAAGCAAATAAAGATTGGTTGGTCATGAAATGTTCATGCAGAGTTAGGATGTCCCATAAAAAAATTTAATTAGATATAACAAAAATGCATACGTGTATATATGTATGTAAGCTTTAATTTTTTAAGGTATTAGTCTAAATTAAAAATTATTTTAGTTAATTTCAGTATTATACTATTTATTTTCCATTACTTCAAGGGGATATATTCTCGAAGTTTACAACAATCACTTCCAGCTACCTGACCTAGGACCGATTGGAGCAAATGGACTAGCAAATCCACGAGATTTTAAAACACCCGTTGCCTGGTTTGAGGACAATGAAAAAGGTTTGTTGTTTGGATTATCACTAATAGTTGTGAATGTTTTATAAATAATTTATATTTGACGTCAATCGAAGGTTAAAATTAAATTCACTAATTTAATTCCACTTCCTCATAAATTTATATGAGTAACAAATGCTTGCTCAGAATTTCAGATTATATCAAAGTACCAGGGGCAGCTCTTTACTGCTACACAATCTCACTCACCATTTGATGTCGTCGCCTGGCATGGAAATTACGTCCCTTACAAATATGATCTATCAAATTTTATGGTTATAAATTCCGTTAGCTTTGACCATTGCGACCCCAGCATCTTTACGGTACTCACTTGCCCCAGCCTACGCGCAGGCACGGCTGTTGCAGACTTCGTTATATTCCCACCGCGTTGGGCTGTTCAAGAGCACACTTTCCGACCTCCATATTATCACCGTAAGATTCTTTTACTAAAACTTCATTTTCACAAACCGTTTGATTCTCTTGAATAGGAAATTGTATGACCGAATTTATGGGGCTAATTCTGGGTAAATACGAAGCAAAAGAAGGCGGATTTTTGCCTGGAGGTGCGACTCTTCATTCCAAAATGACTCCACATGGCCCGGATTACAATTGCTTCGAGAAAGCAACCAGTGCAAAACTAGTACCAGAACGAGTAGCCGAGGATACACAGGTAATAAACATGCTGGTTATGTACAATGTGGCATCAGAAAGTTTTCCGTTAGGATCCTTGTTGTTATAGCGGCTCACTAGCCTCGCTTAGGGACAGTCTAATAAGTGTGGTTAGTAATGTCGGGACTTCGTGGTATATCATAGTAAGCAACTTCCAAATTATCTTGTTTTGTCTTATCAAATATGAAAATACTTTTGCAATTAGCAAATTTTTACATACGAATTTCTTTGTTTTTAATGATAAAATATTTTTTTCAGGCTTTCATGTTTGAGACATCACTTAACTTGAAAACAACAAGGTGGGCAGAAGAAACATGTCAAAAATTGGATCGGGAATACTTTACATGTTGGAAAGGACTGAAGAAAAATTTTAATCCGCATTCCTCTTAATTTTATTTCTTAATAATTATGTGTCATAAAATGCGTAGAATACTTCGTCAATAAAAATTTTATTGTTGGTTTCAAGGAGAATCAATTAAAAGTTTTCTTTTTTCAGTTGACTATATTTTCTAAAAAAAAAATTAAATGTTTTAAATTCTACCTAAATATATAATGGGTCGAGCTATGGCTATATAAGAACCATATAGACATACAAATTTTATCACGATTCTGTAATTAATCCGAAGATTTCCGAAAACCATATTGGTTGCTTATATAAAAAATCTTTCAAGACCATCGATAACTCTGAAAGATTTTTATTAGATGATTATTTTATTCCATTGAGTGTATAATTTTAATATATTCTAATATATATATTTAACTTTGATCCATTGATGTGTTTTCAGGGTTGTTGGAATTGGAGTCTTTTTGAACACATTCATATATTTTATACAGATCTGGAGTGTCCTTAATTGTTTTTAAAAAGTCCATTAAATGTTGATTTTTATCTGAAAGGCATACGTTAATAAACAGTAATTTTACTCATAACCACGAAAAATTACCTGCACTTGGAATTTGTGATAAAGCAGACACAGCTCTGAGAGCAGATCTTTTTAACTCGTCCTGCTTCTCATGCTCTTGTTTGACAGAGTTAGCCTTTACTTTGTAAGTACAAGTTTCTCTTAATTGTTGAACGAACTGGTCAAGCTCTAAAACAAGAATATAATTTTTTTTTAATTTTATACTTTATAATTTCAAGGAATAAGCTTACGTTGTAGAACAGCATCTGGGCACAAAATAGCTAAGCGGGCTGTCATTAAATATGTTAGCATTTTTATATCATAATGATCGCAAAGACCAGCCTGCACGTGACTTAAAAATTGTTTCACATCAACTCGATCGAGTCCTTGTTCCAGCAAGGTGTACATACATTCAAATGCAGCTTTACGTATATCTAACCCATCATCAACTGTATGTTTAAATGGACCCATTTCAACTTCACGAATTAAATCACTCTACAAAGAAAACACTAATATAAATTACATGTCCAACCACTAAATTAAATAAAACTTACCTTCACTTTTGTTTCCGAATACAAGTAAGGTAATAAAGTTGGCAGAAGATCGCGCACCAATGTTGGTTTATTATGAATGGCGGCGTTGAATGTGACCAGTGCTACTCTTCTGACACTAGGTTCAGGATCGCGCAAAGATGAAAGAAATTCGCTGAGATTTTGTTTTAACAAGTGATCTATGCATTGCGGTTGATCGGATATAGTATATTTGATAGAGGAGACCACCACGGCTCTCATAACGGGATTATTAGAATATAAAGCATCCCGAAGTAATGGTAAAAGTTCTTCCGGATTAACTAGAACAAGCTTTCCAAGGCATTCCGCCACGACATTTCGAGAACCTTCCTCAGAACTCTCGGAATGTTTAAATAGTTGCGTCCATATCGATGGAACCGATGGTAGTAATTGAGAAAGTCCATATTGAGTAACCGATAAAGATGATATAACTTCTTTTAACGAATGCAATAATAAGTACTGACGTTTTGGCTGTACTTCTATTTCTCTTAGTATCAATGGTAGATAAGTTTTTAAACTTCCAACAGCCACAGCACCTAAGGCCAAACTTGAAGAGCTTTTGACATCTTCAGAACTAGCACTAAAACACTCAATTAAAGTTTGTGGCAAAGAAAATATTGGACTTAAGTCAAAGTTTCTGCCAATCTCTCCAATGGTCAAGAGACAAAAGCTCATTTTTAAATCATTAGATTCGGTAGATTTTTGAATATAATCAAGGAGGCGTGAAGCCAGAGGAATGGCCTCCCAAGGACATTTCAAAGTGAGTGCGGCTATACATTTTGCTATGGAATGATGCGCCTGTTTATGAAGCTGTTCGTTTCCTACAATTATTGGATCCATGAGTTTATTAAGCAATGAATTGTAATCCAAACTCTCTATATTTGTCTGCACTAAAACTTGAAGAAGGTCTAATGTGCAAGTCAGGGCACTACCCTAAAAAAAAAGAAATATAAAAAAATATGTTAATTATAGTTTAGCTCTTAATACCATTACTTACTTGTAAAAGAGGCGATCGTATTAGTACTAATACTGCTGGCAAGAATTGTCCATGAATTCCTTCTAAAGCTTTAGGATGTTTCTGGGCAGTAGTTGTTAAAAGTATTAAACAGTATTGAGCAATATGTAGGTCTGTGTCTGATATTAGTGGCTTAAGCTCAACAATCACTAAATGTAAAATCTGCGGATTGAATGCTTGGGAATAGTTTTCTACCAATTTGTTTAACAAATCAAGGGAGTTTAATTTCAGAGCCCTATGATTTTTTCTTAAGAAAGAACCCAAGACTGGAATTACATCTTTGATTATTAAAGACAAATCGATTCGCAATGGTGATGCAGCGATCATATAAATGGCTTTAACGCTACTCAAACGGGTTACTTCATTATTTAAGCGCTCCAATAATATGGGAAGACAACTTTGTACTTGTGGTACAAGAAAATCTCCCATGTTAGCTATAATCTGGCCCATGCAACTAATGGCACGATCTTTTACTTCTTGATCAACATCAGCGGTCAATAATTTTTTTAATGTAGCAGAGTACAGATCTTCCACATAAGTATTCATTTTAAAATCGTTGGGTAATGATAGTTGAGGATCCTCCAAGGGTCTTATAACCTTTACAAGTTGTTGCAAAACTTGAAGAGCCTCTGTAGAAATTTTATAAAACGAATCGAATACTGCAGTAATTATAAGCGGTACCAAAACAGATATATGTGCCTGGAAAAGATAAGAGGGCGTGTTGCTTGCTAACAGGGAGCATAAAAATCCCAATGCATTGATTTTAATGTTACTCGTTGAGTTTTTATCGCTTAAAGTGTAACTAATGCCAGGCACAATTTCATCCAAGTATGGTCCCAAACTTCCGGGTAGCACACTTAGTAATTCTCGAAGCAAATGAAAACAGTCCTGACGAGTTTTCATTGATCGCTCTCGCATGAGAGGTTGTATGATTTTAATAATATCCTTTAACTGATCTTGAAGTAGGGAAATTGTGCGAGGAACTTCTTCCATTGAATCGGGATCGTGCGCTAATGCGTTGGTAGACTTAATAGTTTTCAATAAAGTTATATATACGTGGAATATGTCTGATTTTACGTTTTCCTCTCTTTCTTTAAAGCGCAAGATTAAAATCGGGCCCAAATCCTGACAAAAGCTTTCCGTAAATTCTAAACGTGTTGTTATTAGAGACTCCAAGCATTTCGCGGATGCTCGACGAACTTTCCAACTTATATCATCATCATCACTGTAATCATCAGTATCAACATATTCTCCTTCTTCAGTGTCCATCAAAAGGCTATTTTGACCATCATCAGACTCATAGTTATAATTGGGATCGTAACTTAAATATTTAAGGCAAATCCCCAAAATCTATTTCAAAATAAATTATTTTTTAATTTTGGTAACAAATGTGAATACACATGAGTATATGTTCAGTTTAAAAAAATGGAGAATACTTGCCATACTAATGTGAGGTGTAACAGCGTCGTGGCACCGGTAGACAAAAGCTTCAAATGCCTGAAGACAAAATTCGTGAACTTCGTCATCGTCACTCTGACTGTATCTCTTTAAGATTTCAATAGCTGGATTAACGTGGTTGCATAAGCGAGGTCCAGATTGGCGACTACAATAGAAGAAATAATTAAGCCTATTTATAGTATTTCGATGTGAACATACCAAATTGATGCCAAACACTGGATGTAAGTTCGAACAGCACCGGAGTTTGAATTGTTTTTCAATCCCTTTAACAGGCGTTCGATGACACTATCAAAAATGCCATCATCTGCTAATGAAAGTAAATGTGAAAGAGCAACTATGGACCTTTTTCTCACGGCCTGCCGGGGAGATTCCAATTGAGGAATCAATGCCTTTAAAATTTGGGTGTGAAAAGGTACCAAAAAAAGTCCAAAACGCGAAAGCAAATCCGTAAGAATATCCAGCGCTTCGAGCTTTACTGAAACGTCTTCCTATTATAATTAAGGAAATACAATCCAATATTACATCATGAACAATAAAAACTAATAGTAAGTAATGAGGTACTGCAATTCTACTTCTACGACCGATAGGACCTAACTTGTATTAAAGATATATTCCACGAACCTTGTCTATAGCAATGTTAAGTTTTCCAGTTATTCTCCGACATACACTTGGCGCTAATGAATTAGAGGATTGCGGAAGTTCCAGTATAACGGTTTTAAGTCCAATACTAGAAATATCTCGAAGTTGTTCCACGTTGGATGTCATATTCAAACAAAGAGAATCTACAATAGTCTCTACTTGACTTTCTTTCACTTTGTTTACCAACGGACCGAGGCACTTTACCGCCAAATTTTGAACTTCTCCATTTTTATCCTCTAATAGTTTTAAAATCATTCGTACGACTTTTTTTTCCGATTCATCATCCAATTTAATACTATCCTTTTGTAATTCCGTCATTAAATCGTTTGTTGCCATAAAACGGAAATCCTTGTCACTAGAAGTCATCTGAAAACAGAATAGAAGATATATTCACGCCAATTAATTACACATTTAGTAATCACCTTTTCTAGCAAGCTAGCAATTTGATGAAATTGATACGACATGATTAGATAAAAATATATGTGTTATTTATATTCACTTCACTTATTTTAGCAAAGACTTTCTAGCCGGTATTGAATGGAATCAATTACTTAAAATAAAATAATTCTAGTCATTAATCGATTTTGTCCAACGATAGTCGTAAATGCAAAACTAAAGGATCAACCACTTACGCGACGACATACGGCATATTTTAAAATACAAGCCACCGTTAGACTAAGCTCGCCTTAAGTAAGGGAGAAGCCCAATTAATTATTTATTAAACTATTAACTACAAAAACTTTTATGTTACACATGAATATCTGCATTTTGATTTGTTGCTCTGTTGTTTGAGCTGTTGCATTGCTTAAGCAGGTCGCAAATAACGAGCAATTCTTGATATAATATATTGAGTGCTAAATAGCAGCGACAGCGCTACAAACGGTAGTTGTCGTCAACTTTTGCTTTCACTATATTATAGATTGGCGCTTTGTAACCGCTGAAGCGATTTTCGGCCCAGCTCCTCCTAAAATTTATGGATTTGCGTCTTGATATTTTTCCAACAAATGGAGGAACCTACAGCTTATACTAAGCCGCCTTCGAACGGCTCATGATTTTTTATAAGAGCATTTATTTCATGTCAGAAATACACTCGGAGGGGTTGACTTTCCTTGCCGAGGGGCGACTGCAATTAGGAAGTTGAATTTAAATTAATTTTCTGTAAATTTTGGATGTAGGTGGGACCGGGATATGAACTTGGGACTTCCGAATGGCAGTAAGCAATGCTAACCTCTCGGCAGTCCTTAGCGAGATTCCTTGTTGGTGGCACCGGGATATAAACCCGGGTCTTCAGAATGGCAGTACGTAATACTAACAACTTGGCTACCGCGGCCGCCGACACCAGGCTACCAGTTTTTAGCGACTTTCTTTTGGTGGTGAGAGTGGTGCTTATTGCCGAGCACAGAGTTGCGTACGTAAAAAACCACTATTTTATTCAGTCAATAACATACATTCTGTTATCAATTTAGAACTTTAAAGATATGACGACTTGTAATTCCTATACTATACTCATTTCCTTCTCTTGGAGCCTTATTCCCCACCATATAATCGTTAAATGCGGAAACTACCTACTAACATAGTAGTACACGAGTTCTTAGGCCACGGTCAAAGGAATGAAAGATCTAGTGCCGCTTCTCTGACATATAATATAATTACTCACTGACATCCTATAATTAAAGCAAGTGGAATAAGGGCATTATCCCTCTTGGTCATATAAACAAACCATTAATTATTATAATATTTTATTACTTTGCTCAACTTTATAAGTTTCGAGGGTTTTACAAATATAAGTAAATTTCATAAAAATCGGGTTTTAGAATAATATCTTGACAACAGCATTAAATTTACTCTAAAGTTATTTCTGGGCGAAATTGTTATTTGAAAGTATTTCACATGTAACAAAGGCTCCTGTACCAATACGAGTTCTAGATCGGCTTCTGCTAAGTTGAGCACGCCGTTCTGCTCCAGATGGTCGCGGTCTTCTTTGTCTTTGATTGCGATTACCAAAAGCGGTTCCCGTTTGCAGCGCTTCTAATAAACTGTCCATTACGCCTTCTTGAGTTTGTGTAGAATCCATATCCACCAGCGCTAATTTATGCTGCTGTCTTTCTAATTGCTCACGAAGAGATTGTTCTTTTGCTTCTTGTAATCTTCGCTTCTTGTTTTCTTCTTCACGTTGATGAACGTTATCCTGGTGTGCTTGTATAAAAGCGTCCTTAAATGCTTTTAGGTCAGTAAAGAATTCTTCTAGCGAATATTTCTTAGAATCGAACGAAAAATATTCTCCCAATTCTTTGTATAGTTTTTCCATTTGAATCTGCATTTTCTCTAAAATATAAGAATAAGCATATATTTGCGATTGGTATATTTTATTAACGAGAAACTATTGTATAGTTAGTAGATAAATTATTAGAGTTCTTTGTCAAATTTGAAATGCCGATTTCTCCTTTTAATCTATTATTGTATTGTAAGCTTTATACTTACCTAAAACATCAATTTGCTGTCGACAGCTGTGTGCGAAATCTCCCATTACTTCATTAAATTTGTCATCTGCGCATTGAGGTACTTTATTATTTTGTAAATCTGTTTCCAAAGCTTTGATAGCAGAAGTCATTTGACGCATAGCCTTCTGAATGGATTCTACATTTACTCGAGAAGCTTTATCAATATGTGTTAAGTCATTGTAAAAATATAGAATTTCAGTAAAGTCAGTTTCTATAACCTTTACCAAATAATGTAGTAGAGTATGCTTGTTATCCACATCTTTTGTGCTGGAGAGCTTCGCAAGATAGGACATTTCAAATCCAAATGCAGCTTCACTTCTTGATCCTGAATTCAAATAATTCCCCATTAATAAAACTAGTTCTAAAACTTTGGCAAATTTCTTGGAGTTTCGAACTTCTTCACAAGCTGCTATTCCAGCTACAATGTTGGGCTTTATGTCTTGAATAACATCAGAATATGTCAATTTGAAATTAAGGTTATGAAGACGCGGCATTAGCCTCTTTATTTCGCCTATCGTGGCTGCGAAGAGTTCAATGGGAGAGAGCGGATCTCCTTTCGCTTTTATATCCTGAAGTTTCTTTAGCTGGTCTGGCGATGGTAAATATTGAATTAAATTTTGCAAAATGTTTGAAGATAATATATCAGTATCGCAACGCAATAAACAAGTTTTAATTTGTTCATGGGATAAGTGCTTTAATGATCCTCCAAGTAGAATTGCCAAATTTTGAGCTGATTTTGAGTCAAGTACACATAGGCTTATATTTTTCTTTGGCAAAGTGTTACCCTTATCGACCGCATCCTTTTGATACTTTTTGACAGGTTTTGATGAAAATCTTTCAGAAAGCTCGGAAAGAAATTGATCTGATGCTAAGCGATCTTCTTGGCAACTAATCCAAAATGCCTTCTCTGACATTGCTTGTGGCACCACAACTTTCCAATTAACTCGTTTCATTGGATTGTTAACTTCCCATTTCTTTTTTGGTTTTAGACCTAAAGGAAGTTCGTTTACTGGACCAGAGGGCGGATTTCCAAGTTTAAGTCCAGGGACCGCAGCGGAGCCAAAATTAGGTGGTGGTGGCGGCGGTGCTGGACCAAAGCCCGGCATCGGTGGCGGCGGTGGTGCTGGACCAAAGCCCGGCATCGGTGGCGGCGGTGGTGCTGGACCAAAGCCCGGCATCGGTGGTGGAGGTGGGGCTCCCATTGATGATGGGGGTGGAGGTGGAGGAGGAGGCGGTGGTGGCGGTCCCGCAGCATTCTTTGAAATGCTGCTTTGTTTTTGCGAAATACCCGACTGAATATAAATAAAATACCCGTAGGGTTACCATGATTTTAATTGATGTTATGAGAATAAAAATTAAGGAGTTAATGATATCACACATTCATACCATATGTTTAAATTTAAAAATAAAAATTGTAGGTACAACTAGAAAGTTTATCATGTCTGAGTTTACACTCGGCAACTTTTGTTGCGGCAACTCGTAAAATGTTGAGGAGGCATATCGACCTCTTCGTGGTCCGCCAACATGTTTTGTGTTCTCATTCGACATGTTTCTTGCTTATTGTCAAATGAACTTAAGAAATTACAATTTTCTCTTTGAGTTTTTTACGAAAATCATATATTCATAATTTAATATATAAAATAAATAATGATTATCTAAAAGTTTATGAAAATTAGAAAGGAGTGGAATGTACAAAAATTTGCGAAAATAAATAAAATGAAATGTCAAAAAATTGCCGAAACAGAGAGAAGTTGCAAATAACAAGCAACAAAAGTTGTCTTATGTAAAACTAGTCTTTGGTCATTTCTACATTAACAAATATAGTTATAAATGAACCCAACTTACCACTAACACATTGTCATTAGATTCATTAGTTATTTTTAATTTTAATTTTTCTTCTAGATGAGCTACTTTAGCGTCTGCTTCCTGTTTTGCAATTTCCAATTCCTCAATTTTTTTCTCAAATTCCTCCGAACGTCTCGTTTCCTTTGCTTTTACCTTTTCAACGATATCGTCTAAAATTAGTGATGTATCAATATTAAAGGTACGATTTTCAAAGTTTGGATCGCAATGGCCTTTATGTAACACAATTTGTTGTATACATTCCTCAATCAACTGATAATAGGCCGGTCGAAAGTAAAAATCATCTCTTATGAAAAGTAAATGTTGAAGTATTGACAAAAAATATGGTTCGGAACTAGTATCGGCTATAAGATTCTTAAGTACTTCAAAACAGTCTCCCATATCATCCATGTTAAAGGTGACGTTCTCGAACCTTTGGCTAAATTCTTCGAAATCATCTTCTCTTATTTCATTGAAAATTTTAAAATGTTGCTTTAATGCATCGTTGTTACTTTTACAAACGATTTCATTAAATTCATCAAATTTCTCATAAAGTCCCATTCTCATTATTTCACAGCGTAGATGTAAACGAAAATTTAAGTCGCTGGGCGTGTTTGTCAATGTGTTAATAAAAATAAGACTATGACAGGCTAAATCTCTTTTTGTATCACTTTTTTCTTCCATAAAAAGTGCATCAACAATGGGCTTGAAGCGTTCACTAGATTTATAATTATTTGACGCTGCACTAGTTATTGCTCGCAGAACTTTATCGTAGCCGTTACGTTCTGGAACAAGACAGAAGGAGGCCAGTAATTTTACAGCTTCACACATTGTTTGTGGTCTTCGAGGATTTAACGATTGTGCCAATAAGAGTATGACTGTGTGCAGTTCAGGAGTTAATACTAAATTTAAGCCCCACGTATTATTCATAACAGCCTTTAGACATCGAATGCACTCAAACTCAATTCTATCAAATCCACGCTCTTTCAAGCAACGTCTTAATAGCAATACTATTTCATTTATGCCATCTTCCCCGAACTCTTTTATCCATGAAATAGGATTACTTGTAAGTGCCACCCGTAAACTTTCCAGACATTGATAGATTTTATTTTCGCTGTGTTCTTTATTACGCAGATATTCGATATAGTCAGATGGTTTTTCGAATCGGGAGCTTGAACGATGTTCATTAGAACTTTTACCTGAAATCCACAAAAAAATAGAAAATTTCAACCTTTAAAGTGAAAAAGTTCGGTAATTAAATGGTTTAAATATATATGTATATATTATATGCCTATATATACATAATATATATATAATTGACGTTTTATAACCGCGGAAGTGATTTTGGGCCCAGCTCCTCCAAATGGAACGATTTTCATGAAGAGCTTTTATTTCATTTCCGAAATGTAAGGGATTGACATTCCTTGATGAGTTTCTTATTTCCTGTTTAACGGATTAAGACTTGAACTCGTCCGCATGGTGGTATGCACTAAAAAATTGGCTATTGTTGCCGCCTTACTTTTCCAATTTTTCAAAAGGATTAATCTTAGCAGGTCGCCCGAAAAGCCTCACCCAGTATATTCTTACTTAATGGCTTCGGTTTAGGGTTAAAAACTGTCGGAGCGAATTAATATGTTAGAATTGCAAAAATATCCGAATCACACAATAAACAATAAAAAGTCTAACGGAGGCGATTAGAAAAAAATAGGAAGATGGATTGAGAACAGTTTAGCCAAAAAGAACAGCAGATAATCTGCGAAAAATAACTAAATAATAGAGCAAACTGCCTTTATAAAAAAATTTAAATATATTATGTAAATTAAAATAGGTGCTGAACATATCTTAGTAATGGAAAATGATATCAACTTAACAGGTATCACAAATCTAAAAGTTAGAAAACTGGGGAAGCCAAAAAATTTCTATCGGCAAGCAAGTGCCATAACATTTAAGAAATAAACACACAAAAGCTTCTCAAATTATTAGCTAGATGTATACATTTCAGCTTACCTTTTAGATGCATGAATATCATTTTCCGCTTTTCTTCCAAGGCTTTCGCCAAAAGGGGCTCTCGTTTGTCCTTTGGTATATTCATATCTTCTAAAATTTCTAAAAATTTCGAATGTATCTCGTTGTCGCCGAGATTTTTAATTCTATATTCCAGCTCTTGAACATCAACTTCATTATTATCTACCGTGTTTGGCTTAGGTGGAATGTTTGAAACGTTGCTGTTGTTTTTTTTCTTTTGACTACCAAACCATCCTTCAAACCAACTGTCCGTTGAAGCCGTTTTTGTTTTATCGTTTCTTGACATTTTCAATCTAAGGAAAAAATAATAAGCTTAGTAAATTTTTTAAGTAATGATACCTAAAAAAAATAATTTGCGATCGATGTAAAGGAGATCGCTAAAATTTTTGTTCTATTATTTTCTCTGGAATTCTCCGTAGAAATATTATCTCATTATTATTGTTCTTTACGTTTGTTTTGCCTACAAGCAACCTACATACATACATATGTGATCATACCCTGAACTTGTCATAGTTTGACAACAGATATTTTAAGAAAACTGAAGCGACGTATGATATAGTAGTTTTTAATACTTTTACGTCTTAGAACAAGATGATGCTGCGTTTTCATGGGTATTATACTAAAGCCCACAAAATATAAACAAAAATACACATTACTTTATTATCCAAAATTCACCCAATAATATGGTTTGTAGTATTTTCCTATTGTATCTCGTTTCCATGACAATTTTAATTCTGTGACGTACCTTAATTTTCAGCTATATATTGTCATTAAATTAAATATATGTAAATGTATATCAAATCAATTAAAATTCAAAGGCACAGTAAATAGTTAAGTTTTTAAGATCCAATTGTTTAACAAACAGATAGTGATGCCACATGATCGCTTCGAAAATTCGTCATCGATAAATATTTAATCAACCTATGTAGCTCCTAAACTACAAGCAAATTTACGCACGCCAGTAGCAAAATTCTGTAACCTTCCCGACGCGATTTGTTGGATGGCAAACTTGCGATTTTGTCGCTTACGCTAACGATTACGCGATTCTCCAACTCAGTTTTTACGATAATTTATTAAAATGAAGAAAAGGTCGCGCCACAGCTGAACAAAACATCAAAATATGCGAAAAGCACAAGGAGAAATGAAAAAAAAACAAATAAATTTGTTATAGAAATTATTTTTATGAAATGAATTGCAATGCATTACAAAGTTTGTCAAAACAAAAACATGTTTTGGTTTGCACTTTCATGAATGACACATCGCTCTGTGGAAGAGCTCCAAATAAAATAATTGTGCTGCGCTCTTGGGTACTTGGCATTTGTCGCTAAATTCTTGGGATAAGGATCCCATAACTGTGTACAAATATAATGAACTTTGTTACTTAAATAGTAATTGAAAAAAATTTACTGTCACCATTTGCATGTTGGTAGAATGGTATCCATGAAGGTTGACATAGGATTCTTCGCAAATGGCCATGTAATGGGAAATCTAACTTTCGCAGGAAACAGTCAACCGTTCACTGCTACTGTCACACAGTTAGTACAATTGCTCACTGACGACTGACTCATGGCTATTTTCAATTACTTTCCGATGGGACAATTATAGCACCCAGTTGTTTAACATTCAATATATTATAACTAAATATATAAAAGTATTATTACTATTTGTTTCTCAGTAGATAATGCTTTTGTTATTCTGTCTTTTAGTTGACTATCTAGTTGCATTCAAGTGGAAACGAACTTCAACATCCGGAAGAAAACTTCTACTCAATGATAAAGGGTACAATGCCTCCTCATTTTGGGATAAAACGTATGCCAGATGCTCAAAAGCCATTTTTTGTTAATAATTTTATTTTGATTTTTAAATAACTTAAACAATTTCCTGATTTGCTTCACTCCATTCAATCTTAATGAAATAACAATAGTTCATCGATATCACTAACAGCTTAAAAGTATTCAGCGCTTAGTTAGCGATTTGTCGAGTAGTTCGAGTAGTTTACGACCACAGCGGGAGCGAATGTCGTTAAAATAAGTAAACTGCATCTTAAAATCAATGTAACTATCGCTAAGTCTTCTTTGCGATCCGAAAATCATTGCACCATGTTAGAAATAGCGAATATCGTTAGAATTATTGTAAATTCATTTTAACGACCCGAAAATCGTTATAATGTATGTAGAGAATAGCGAAGTCGTTAACGACCCGAAAATCGTTATAATACGATGGAGAATTCCCCTAAGAAATGGTTTTGGGACGAGTGACAAATACATACCGTTGGGATAAAAAATGAAGTACATAGAACATTCATATAATGTTTTTAGAGCTATGTGGTACAAAGGGGAATATTTTGCAATTTACAAAGGTTATATTTCGAAATATTCCGCACCGAATTTAACACGTTCACGCCGGGGTCGATTTTCATTTGCTTTGCTATGAGGCGGCACTCAAACTAATATATCGCGTTTCACCTGGCGGCGCATGATTATTACTGGTTGCGATCTGCATACGCGTTGCTTGTTGCTCTGCAGTACAGTGAGATTTTATTGTGCAAGTTTTTATTATTTTAATTTGTGGGATCTAATAATCCAGAACACAAATGTGTACCGCACGTGACCCGCGCCTCTCAATAGGACAATTCAGTGCGGGTCACTAGTGGCTCGCGCCGCCTGATGAGACAGTTTAGTGCGGGACACCGACGATCCGCGCCGGTGTGAACGTGTTAATAACATTTGTTTTGTTAAAAAGCTAATTGAGATCTCTTTATTTACATCGACTTTACTTAAATAAATTTTGAGAAAACCCATTTAAAAGAAAATATACAATTTCTTTTTATGGCAAAGCAAGTTTTTTTTTAATTCCATGTGGGGATCTATGTTATATTTCGATTATAACGATTTCCGATCGTTAAAAAGGCTTTGTCTTAATTTTAACGATTTGGATATTCGCTACACCCATTTTAACGATTTGGGGATCGTTAAATAACTTAGCGCTAATTTTAACTATGCTAATATTCGGTAGTTATATTAACGATTTGAATTTTGAAGTTGTTAGCGCTATAGACAAAATATTGTTATTTTATTAAGGTTAAAGTGAAGTAAAGTAGATCGGGAAACTACCTAAATTATTTTAAAAATAAAAAGAAAATTATAAAAAAGTCTTTTGAATATTTGAGCTACGTTTCTTCATAAGATGAGGAGGTATCGTACCCTTCATATTTGGATAGAATTTCGTTTTGGAATCTATATAGAGATAACGCTAGATTTAGTTGAAGAAATTGTCTCTCAACTTGGTAGCCAACTAACTGGCAAGGTAATAACAGAAATATCTGCGGAGAAACAGGTAGTAATATAACATTTAAGTATTCATTCAGTTTTTTCACACTAAGTTTTTATAGGTCTTAACCATCTTGCGATTCTTTCCAGCTTAAGCTGCCAACGTCTAATTGGAGAGCAACGGGAACTATGGAGAGCAATGGGATATGATGATTTCTGCGAAGATTAGTTTTCCCATGACCCACATAGAGCGGCAAGCTGCAAATGGAATTTCTGCCTCAGCACCGTCACCATTTGTTACAAGCTCTATTGGGGCTATTAAAAGCATTAATGTGTTAATCAAGAGTAACAGAAATCGTGCAGCGGAGTTTTAAAAGTGGAAATCATAACATGTTTTCCCTCTTTTTGCTTTTTGCATATTTAGACATGTTGTTAAGCTGTGGCACACCCTTTATTCCGTTTTAATAAAAATGAAAGGTCCATGGTTAGCGCAGCGAAAAATTCACATGTTTGCGATCGGATAAATCGTGTCGATGAAAGTTACTGAAATGCATTATTGGTATATTATATCATTCGCAATGTAATATATTAAGTTGTATGCATAATTAACATAAAAAATATATTCTTTCATTAAGACCGTAAGCTAACCTGTTTCTGCGTAAGACTGACCGACACGAGATCCGTTTAATTACGATCTAAAGTCATCGTATGGGCTGCCAACGCCTTTCGTGGAGTTCAAGAGAGCTTTAATATCCAATTTTGTAGACTACCGTAGGATATCTAGATATATAAGACGACTTATGCCAGACTTATGCCTTCTCCCTACACTTCCTACATGAGTAACCTCTTTTAATGCCCATTCTGCTTGTATGGGTTGCCAGTAGATTGTGGACCGTCATTAGGCCAAAAACTGCTACTTCACATGATCTTGGTGGTTTTGCATGTCTCTAAATGTGTGTTTCACCTCATTCTGTGTGTTCCACCTCATTCTGACCTGCACTCAGCGCTTTCGGAAATTTCATTATAGATTGTTTTTAGGAACTTTTGTATATCTTGTACTGGTTCGCTTTGCTTCTAAGTGCATTGCCTTAATGGCCGCCTGATTGTCGACATATGAATATATTAGTATTTAGTATATAGTTTTCTGGGTTGCTAACTCAGCTCTAGAGCTTCTGTCTAGTAGAGTCCGTCTTAAATTTATGGCTGCTGAACCACTAGAAATTTTCTCCTTTTTTATTTCAGCGTTGTTAGACAACTTTGGATTACAGTACAATGGTTGGAGTTGTTAGTTCATCGCTAACACTTTCCCACTTTAATTCGCCGTACTTAGCTTTTGATGCAGAGATAAGTTTAAGTGAGACACGGGCACCCTTGATTGTGCCTAAAGTTTGGTTCTCCCCACCCAGAAGATCTGCCCTAATGAAAAAACTAGACAATATTGTTGGACGATTTGAGTGCATAGATACACCTTAAATGACCGATCACTTGCCTGGGAAGGTACTGCGGTACAGCTAGCTGATGTCTTTGTTAATTAAATTCTTCAACTTCTCGTGATTTTCGCTCATGCACCGTCAGAAGAGAAGGACGATGCGACTAAAAAGCTTTAAAATATTAGTAAGAGAAGAACGGCTCTGAAAATGTAGAGAAGAATTCTTGGGAAGATTATTGCGATTATCATATCGTTTAATGTAAGTGAGGACCACAAAAATAGTAGCGTATGAAACTCTAGCATTGCTAGATTTTAGAACGTACTAATTGTGCTTAAAAAAATATACAAAGTCCAGCCGGGTGGTGATGCGACTTGATAAAGTACTGAGGTCTTGCATAATTTTGATAAACCTTCGATAGAAAACGCCAAATAACGTAGCGGGGTTAAGTAATGTATGCACGACTAAGTCACTAACACGAAAAATTGAATTTCTGACATAAGCATCAGAGGCAAACTTCAAAATCGTAGAATAAGCTATGAGATACATTTCATTCCCTTACTTGACAAAAAATATTCGGGCATCACAATACGGTTGCAGCTATAAGTTCTTATAGAAGATTGGATCTTATTGGCTTAGCTCTACTGCTGGCGGCATAGGTAATGGGTATTGTGTGAAATTTACTGAAATATCATTTGGTACCGAATATCTCGGAGAGCCTTTTCTCAATTCAAGATCTAGTGGATCTAATATCTCTGAAGTCGCAAAGGTCCGATTAGTTGAAGGTGGGCTTTAATCGTTTGCATATCACGCTAGATGACCTTACTGTAGGGTGGCTGTTCCCATGGATTGGCTCGAGCGTATTTAAATCCGAAAGACCAGATATGCTTTCCTCCGAAAATTTACTGCAATGTATACATCATGTCGCAATCCCTTGTCATTGGTATTCGGGTAATAGGTCGATTTCTCTGGGTATTTCATTTTCATCACAATTAAGAAGGATGTGGAAATGTTCCTTTCGTACCTCCTATAGGATATATAATGACATATATGTAGGTATAGGTTAGTAATGTGTACTAACATTCGGAAGGCCGGGGTTCGATTCTTGGTTAGAAGAACATCGAAAATTATTTTTACTAATTGCGGTCACCACTTCGCAGAGAGTGTCAAGCCCTCCGAGTGTATCAAATATTATTATAAAAACTCCTCATAAAATTCCATCGGCTGTTCGGCTCAGAAAGAACTGCAGGCCTTCCGTTTGTTGAAGGTCGGCCGAAAAGCGCTTCAGCGGTTAAAAAGCGCCATTTATTGTCATTATTTTTATAGATGTAGCAAATTTAATGCATGGTGTAAGCAGCCAACACATATTTGGCTCCTAGAAAAACGGTAAGTGAGCAGATATACTAAGTCTAAAATAGATCTTATATATTATATTATTATAGTTCTTATATTATATCATAATTTTTTCTGCTAGCGAAATGCCAAAATTTTTATTTTACCCAATATTGCTATTTTATAACGCTTTATCACTCACCAATCAGTTCCTTTCTGTTTTATTATTAATTTAGTTAACTACATTTTACATATTTGTATGAACTAATTTTATTGTCATTAATTAACCATATATGTATTTATGTAACGCGTTTTTGTCAATTGACTGCAACGTTTTTTATTTAGTCTTGAATTGGCGTAATGGGTTCCTATGCTATGAATATAAATATATGATTGTGGTTTCCTTCATTAGCCAAGTAATTAGATGTGGGTGTGGCTTAAAGTAGCCAATTAAATTATTAGCAGATGAACGAAAAGGACAGCACTACCGCAGCGAAGCTGGTTACGTACGTGTGGAGCACAAAAGAAGGCATGTGATAAGCAATGTTTTAGTAAGACTTTTTTGTAAAAGGGTTGGGTAAAACAAGCATATGTATGTACCTTAATTTCTATTGGAAGCCATGAATTGAATGGCAGATGTTAGTTGAAAAAATGGCGCCATTAATATAGGCAATGGAAAGTAAGTTTTACCTTCCATTGTAATAAACAGTTTATTTTGCTAAAGCATCAAACAACCTCGTATATCCACTATTTTAGAGCTCTTGAATTCGCGTCTATATATTAACGAATTGACTGATTGACCGATTTCTTTTTACACAATCGATTAATAATTTAGTGTCTTCTTTTTGTATTATAAATAATAAAATGTGAAACAAACTTTTTGTGTAAGAACTAATATACAGTATATATTTGCATAAAAATAATAAATCAAAGTGAATGCAACAAAAATTTATACTAAAAAATGAAAATGCAATATTCAATATAAATCAAATAAAGTATAATTTAAAAGCAGTTCGGAAAAATATTAAAGTTGTAAATAAAAATGGTTTCATACTACAATCCCATGACTTATTCTCAAAAACATAGTACGAGTTCTTTGAATTATCCGCCCACACAGCCTTGGCAATGGACCGCAAACTACCCCGCGTCAGCTAATCACCATCAGCTTCTTAATGAGATGGAGTCGCCGCATAGCCACCATCAGGTGTATTATAATACCCATCATATGTTTCACCCAGCAAGCAGTTCTACCGCAGAATGGCATTCTCCATTATCGACTACTGAAAATATTTTGCAAAGTGCACCAAATGTACAGCAAATTATAAATGAGTCCAATGACGGTATCGGCTTGGGTAACAATACAAGCCCGGATCGAAGCACCAATTCTACTGCTGCTTCTACGGTTGAACTAACTTCAGCAAATGAATCGAGAAGGGGTATGAATGATCATCATATTGCTGAAAGTTTACCATCTCCATCTCTAGCTATATCAGGAAGCAATGCTTCTAGCCCTGAAGTTTCAATAACGACGGCATCTACACAACATCCAGTTAACAGTACTGCTTCAAATCTGTCTAATTACAGTTCCCCTGTAAAAACGCAGTATTATGAATGGATGAAAAAACCATCGTATCCCACACAACCTGCTCCCGGTGAGTGACATATTTTATAGATAATAATTGAAATGTCAAAAATTATTTATTGCATGTAAACAAAAAATTATGATTAATAATATCACGACGTCGTCTTTATCTATATATCTACATATTATATATACGAATTAATAATGAAGAAGAATTATTTAAATACCAACTACATTTTTTTGTAACCGTAAAAATTTCATATCTCATAATTATTGCCTCCGGTAGTAGTAACTAATAATATAATGCTCAATGTCTGTATTTCGTGAAAATCTAAAATTTCGTTTACTCAATATATTATAACATTATAAGTATTTATTGATATGTAAATTAGTTTCAAGAAGTATCCGTGCGGCATGAAAAAATAAAATGTATGTTCGGTTTCTGGGCGGTTTTTTGGGCTATCAGCAGACCGACTCAGTTCGTTCATGAGTTGATCTCGTCATGTCCGTAGGTCCGCCTGCCTATTTGACCTTAAACACTGGCTAAAGATCTTTCTAGATGGTTTTCGAAATATTGTGAAAATATCACACCTTTAGCCCACTTACAAATTATAGCTGATTCAAATATGCAAATATGGGATCGGGTCATGACAATCAGAATTCTACTCACACGTGGAAGTACGGAGGTGTCAGATTTAAGTCGATCAATTTCGGTAAAGTTTTTCGCTACACAGGCTTACATTCTGTTCATGGGGGTGTTATGAGGTGTAGTTCTGGGCTTGCACTTATAGACTTTACTCAATTCTAGGGAACCATTCCATGGAAAATTGGTGGCCCTGGGGCACAGCAGAAAGAAAGGTAGTTTTAGTGCAGCCATTTCGACATATTCGGCTTATGGGTTCACTAAAGTCTAATTCTAGCGTCTATTCACCGGAAGTGCAGTTGAGGGCATGGATCGGTCTTAAACTTAACGGCTCGCTATGTAAATGTGTTTTTAATTTGTGCCCTTTAGTTTCTATTAAGACTTACAAAAAGCTTTTATTAGAAACTCAAGTGTCGACCATTAGAACCGTTTTAAAGACTACAATTTGTAATGGGGTGTAGTAAGGCTTCTGGGTATGCGGCTACAGTTGCGAGGCTATACCCAATTCCTACTCTTGCGACCACGTCGCGCACACAGGAAACGTGAGCATCCCTCCGACTTATTTGGTTTAAGGGTCTTCTGAAGCCTAATTGCAGCGTCTGTTCACCAGAGGTGCGGCTGCGAGCGGGTGTCGGTCTTGAAGTAAGCGGCTCGCCATGTTGAAACCGGTTTCAATGAAAAATTTTGCAACGCCTCGGATGAGATACCCCCTTTCTGTTGACGTCCCCCGCAAACGAATTAAGAATCACGATTTGAACGCATGCACCTGGAATGTCCGGTCCCTTAATTGGGTAGGTGCTGCTGCCCAGCTGGTTGATGTACTCGTAAGAATAAAGGCTGACATCACCGCCGTCCAAGAAATGCGGTGGACGAAGGCGAGTAAGTTATTGTTACACTATTTGGTGTTGGATTTGTGGTGGGATAGAGACTCCGTCGTCGAGTACTGGCATTCACCCCGGTGGATGAGAGTCTCGCCACAATCCGCATCAAAGCGAAATTTTTCAACATATCGCTGATTTGAGCCCACGCCCCGACGGAAAAGAAACACAATTTGGCCAAATATGCCTGTTATGAACGCCTATAGCATACTTAAGAGCGCTGCCCCCGACACGATGTGAAAATCGTGCTTGGCGATTTTAATACCAGGGTGGGCAAAGAAGGTATCGTTGGTACGACTGTTGGACAATTCAGCCTTTACAACGAAACATCCCCCAATGGGTTGTGGCTGATTGACTTCGCCGGAGCCCGAAATATGGTTGTCTGTAGTACTAGATTACAGCACAAAATAATGCATCAAGCTACTTGGCTGTCCCCTGATCGAAAAACTCAAAACTAGATCGATCATGTTGTGATAGACGGAAGACATGTCTCCAATATCCTTGACGTGCGTACACTTCGAGGACCCAACATCGACTCGGACCATTATCTTGTTGCAGTGAAGATACGCATGCGCCTTTGTATATCGAAGAACGCCCGTCAAATAACACAAGGAAAGTTCGATGCATGCATTTAAAATTTTGTCAGATGAGTGTATGTATTAAGATTTAAACCCACATATGTGTACTCTACCTATCACTCAGTATTATCTTGCGAACTGTGAGCAAGACTAGTTACCACCGTCCGTGAACCGACTCGATCTTATCAGAGCTGACCAGATCGTACAGTTATAATTTCGAAGTTGTAGAAAATTTCGTCTATCTATCAATCTAAATTATCACCAATAACAATTCAAGTCCAAGGCAAAATTACTGTTGCCAATAGCTACTAATTTGGAACGAATAGGCAAAAGAAAAACGAAGTCCTCAAGCCTTCACAAGTTGATTATCTACGGTGTTGTTTTTATTCTAGCGAACTGCACCACCCCGCTTTGTATCAGACAAACTTAGTTCAACGGAAGGCCCGGTAATCGAGATGTTTAGATAAGTTTGAACCGTAGGGTCAAGTGTTAGATGACTAGGTTTTAGTGGGCTATTTAGTGTCGTATGGGGACTTATTGCATGTGGGACATAAGCCGATAATACCGATTACGTCATACAAGAAAGAGAGTTAATAAAGAAGGTGACATGTTCTCTTATGAATGATATTTAAGGACTGTTATATGGGGATTAAATAACTTCATTAAGTACCCGTATCCAGATATCCGTGGGACATCAGAAATGATAACATTTACGGTTTCCAGTATCCGCGCTCAGATGTTTTGGCGGGCTTATAGCTTCTTCATCTGCGTTTCGCTAATCCTCGTTGTCGGCCTTGTAAGTTGCGAGCACCGATGCTTGCCTTTTCTCCATCTACTGTAGGCTAGTGATTTGGTGATTTTTTTGCTTTAGCAAAGAAGAGGCTAAACCTGGATTGTAGTTGTCGTGCAGTAAACAATTGGAAAAGGTAGGAGAAGAAACAGTTTACTTTCGGAAAAGGCTGTAGAGGAAGCGGGATATGAAAAAAAATAAACAACAGTAGGAAGATGATACGGCTCTGCGAAACACCTTATTTAATTTTTCTCAGCTTTAAGTATAACCCCGAGGCCGGCAGGTAATTCATGGCCCACCTTTTCAACCTCGGCCAATACTAACTGCAAAGAGGTCCAGTGCAACGAGATCAGTTAGCGCAAATACTTGATTTTGGTTAAAGTTATGAATAACGTGGTTGTATATGTGGCGTTAAGTAGATCTATGCACTTTACGGAAGTAATCCTGAAGTGCTGCTGGGAGCAGCAAGGCCTCAAGTGAGTTCGCTACCGCAGAAAGGATGTCGTTCAATACGATTATTCTTTGTTGGCTGGTTTTGGCGGTTTTGGTAACGACATGCCCTTGGAGACCAACTTGTGGTCATCTCTATGAAAAAATCAACGGTCACTCGTGGTGTTTAGCAGTTTTCGTAACCCGCGGTTCACTTTCGGCTTCGTTCTGTCACCGAATGAAATTTTTAATGTCTTGTCGGGTTTGATTCTAATTTGACGGGAACACAACAATGAAGTATACGACATAAGGCAAATTAAGTGTAACTATATCTACAAGGCTGGGGCTGAGCATATTATTTAAAATAAGACGCCTCCACCCTCAGAGCGCTAGGTACATCCAATACCTTCGGTACAGAGGGGACTAGAAGAGCTCTGCTCATTTGAATTGCTTCAAATTTAGACCCATCGCATTTTATCCTGCTCAGGAAGGAGTGTGAGGCTTGAAGTTAGCTGAAGATCTGCTTTTCCAGGATAAATTGATACTTAGTCCGAGTTCTATTGCACATTTTTGTAGGCTGGTCTTTCATTATTTCCTACAGTTAAGTTTTCGTAATAAGCACAGAGGGAAATCAACCAAATTTACCTTTATGATGTGAGATGTTAGGCTAATCAACGTATAGGGTGTAGTGTTTCTTCAATAAATCTTTTACTAAGTTTTCAAATTTGTGGCAATTCAACCATAAGTGCGGTGTACAAATAGTCCAACCTGAGAATATTTTGGGCAGGTAAAATAGCGCGTGGGATTTTTCCATAAATCTGAATGGAGCGAAAATGTACTTGAAATAAGGACTATAAGACCGTTACGAAACGCCACCTCGAGCAGCACCTGTTACTGACACAATTTTCTCCCTCAGAGTATGGCTCATCCCTGGTCTCTATCGCAGCCCAGAGTTTGAGTTTAACCTTTCTGCCAAGTTGCACCTTTGCCACCATCCTCCTACTTCCCGAGACACTTATTAATATTCAAACAGAGCGTCTTATCCTATTCTACCTCGAGCTTGAGCGTATATAACGGAGTTCTTGAACATCCATTGACGTATTCGTAGATAAAAATACTTAGACTCTGATCAAAAGCCACATTTTTGAAGTGTACATTAAAACAGAGCGTCTTATCCTATTCTACCTCGAGCTTGAGCGTATATAACGGAGTTCTTGAAGCCCATTTTGGAACTTATTTCTATGTTGACTCAGAATTGGGCTTCTCGCTTTTCCTGACGGCGAAATCGGACTTTAACACTTCTGGGAATAGTTGCCTTCCTAAAGTTACCAAATCATATTTTTTGGGAGCAGAACGGCACTTTTGACGGCACTTGGTCGAAAAGTTTCGAAGTTGAAGTACTCTTACCCATCTGAGTAGATGTTGTCAACGTAGTTGATATCTCTGATATTGTTACTAGATAGGCGACTACCACTTCAAAGTTATGATGGTCAACAGTGATATGGCGACATGCAGGCAGCTCTTTTTGGTGATGACGAGGGCTGCTTTCCGAATGATGCAGATGTGTTTCAATTCTTTTTTCATTACTCTTTTCCAAGATTTGGCGCACGATTAATGGTTCCTTTATCAGGTTTAAAGTCACACTGGCGGTCACAGTTTGTATCTCACATAATACGCTTAATAGGCCATTATATGCGGGTTCGAGTAGGTTTTTCTCACGGTAATTGGGAAGACTGTCGCATCCCTCTTTTT